ACCCCCCCCCCCCCCCCCCCCCCCCTTCCCAGTCTACGCCTGGACCGTCGGCGGCGACTGCTTCGGTGACCCCACGGAGCCGTCCGCTGTCTTGGAGGCCTTCTGGCGGGCGAGGTACTCGCGGATGCGCTTCTGGCGGGCGGCGCGCTGCTCGTCGAGGGCCTCCTTGCGGCGGGCGATCTTGTCCTCGCGGTCGCGACGCATCTCGAGGAGGATGGCCTTGGACTTGCGGCGGCGGTGGCGCATGGCGACGCGGCGGGAGCCCATCTTGCGCTTCTCGGTGCGGATGAGGGAGCCCAGGCGCCAGTTCTCCTCTCGGTAGCTGTAGGAGCCGTCCTGCTGCAGCTTGTAGACGCGCTGGTCGCGCGGGTGCGGGGCGCGGCCGAAGCCCTCGCGCACGACCTGGTTGGGGATGCCCGAGGGGCTGAGCTCGGGCAGGGCGGGCGCGGCCTTGACCTCGGTGGCCGTCATGCCCAGCTTGCGGCGGCGCATGGCGTGGGGCGGCGTGGGCAGGGTGTCGTTCTTGTCGAAGACGACGCCGATGTACTGGCGGCCCGGGTGGCGCAGCGGGTCCTTGTAGTACTTGACGTAGCCCTGGACCTTGGCGAAGAGGGTGTGGTCGCGGCCCATGCCGACGTTCTCGCCGGGGAACCAGATGGTGCCGCGCTGCTTGTAGATGATGTTGCCGGGGATCACGAACGAGTCTGCGGGCGTCAGAGAGGGAGAGGCACGGAGAGAGGAGGAGGAGGACAAGACATACCACCAGTCTTCTTGGCTCCCATCTTCTTGGGGATGGTGGCCGAGTCGCGCAACCGGTACATTCCCTGACTCTTGACCGAGGCATACCTCCTGCCCTCGACGTTGACGTTGGCTGTGGTGTTGGCCGGGGCGGCACCCCGTATCCTCAGGGCGGCGAAGGCATCCTGCAGCAGGCGCGGGGCGGCGGGCCTCGCTGCGCCGGTCGAAGCTGCGGCGACGGCGGGCCGATGTAACTGGGACAGCCGCATCGTCATGTGTGTCGTGGGAGTCGTAGGATGGCTGCGGTGTTCGCCCGTCTGGCGGAGGCTGTCGGGCGTGATGGGAGTCGAAGCTCGTCCCGGCCCCAGAGCCGCGAAAATTTCGGCTTAGCTAATCCAGCCAAAGCCCAGCCCCAGGCCATCCAGCTACAGATCCAAGCTGCAGGACTGACAGGGGGCCCCAGGGGCCTGGGCAGGGGGCCAGGGGCCTAGGGACCATCTGTTTAGCGGCGCCTGTAGCGCCCTGCCTCCCGCCAGCCCGCTAAATCCGGAACGCTGATAGCGATAAGACCCCCCCCCGGCCCGTTCCAGTGGAAGTTGACAGCTAATCGCAACTTCAGTTCCAAGGTTTCTGTCCTCCAGCTGGCCTCACGATTGCCGATTGCCGTGAGCTGGCCTTCACACGACCGTCCAATTCTTCCTCCCGCACGCCAACCTCGTGACTGTATTCGGCTCTTCGACGACCGGAAGAGACCTCATATTCGGACAAAGGCTCGCCATCATGAGGACCTTTGGCTCTTCGCTGCTGCTCGTCCTGGCGGCGCTGCTCGCCACGGCGACAGCGCAGTTCGGCTTCTTCGACCAGATGTTCGGCGGCGGCGGTGGCGGCCAGCAGCAGCGCCAGCAGCCCCAGAACGTGCCCAGCGACTCGTCCATCTACCGCCAGAACTTTGACTCCTTCACCTGCGACAACTACCTGTGCCCGGACACGTTAGGTACGTTCTTCCTCTACGCCCCTCTGCTTCCTCCTCGTCACCAGAGACGGGACGCCATCGAAGGCCACGGTTGTACCAGTGGGACGAGGGAGATCGAGATGCTAACTCGGAGACTCGCCCCAACTAGCTTGCGTCCACTTCCCGCACCACTGCCCCTGCCCCTTCCCGGCCCAGGAGGACAAGTTCGAGACGGTCGACGGCCATCGCCTGTGCGTGTCGCGGGGAGGCTTCAAGGCCGGCGAGGCCGCGCGCAAGGTCGAGCTGGCGCGCAAGGGCATGCTGTAGTGGCTGCCGGGACGGACTTCGGGTCTCAAGGGTAGTCGGGTTCGTCGGTTTGAGGGGGGCTGAAATTGCACGCCCCTGCGAAACAATATACCGAGCATATCGTCGTGGGCCGTAGCGTCTGGGCCGGAAACACAACTGATATATCTTGTCGGTTGATGATCAATTCCGAGCATAATGTGGTTAGACTTGGCGGGCAAGTTGCCCATATTGGACAAATATGCCGTCTATAGTCAGAACAACTCAAACCCGGGAATGAGCACCTCATAGGTACCTGCGGACATGAGGCAATGGCGAACCGCGACGTTCGTGATTCGGGATTTAAGATTGTTCCAAGACTATACTATCTACCACCCGAGGTGAAAATCGGTTCGCAACACACAGTCTCCGGATTTCCTTCTCCATGTGTACCATCATGCTGCATATAGAACGCATAGGATTGGCGCATTTCCTGACGCAACGTCTCGTCTTTACACATATTCACTGCAGACCTTGCCTGCTGCACATTCCATGGCAGGTCCCGTGTATACCCACAGCGTTTCTCTTCGAGCCAAAGTCAAAATCGTCTCAATGAAGAAAATGATGTACAGCCGGCCGCAGAAAGGGGGGAAACCTGTATACGGCCCCCATCAACGCTTGCTTCAAGGAAGCCAGAAAACTCCATAGTCCCAATGCTGTCAGCCGTCCACCGCCACCACAATCCTGCCTTCCGCTTCCAGTTCGTATCGTAATTCTCGTTCCTTCATTGCCTGCCAGTCTATGCCGTGCCTTGTACCATCACACTGCGCACATTCCTTTCCCCCAAGGTTCGTCGTCTACCTTATGACGAGCCGTTGACGCCCGCCGGGATCTTGGGCACGGGGGGCACCTTCTTCTCCCCGTCGTCGTCGTCGTCGTCGTCGTCCCCGTCCACGTCCTCGTCGTCTACGATCTCGGGGTGGCCGAGCAGGCCGACGGCCTCGCTCATCTCGTAGTGCTTCTTGCGCAGCTCCTCGAAGCGGCGGTGCTTCTCGCGCTCCTCGGGGGTCATGCCCAGCATGTTGGCGTCGGCGTCGTGCAGCGGGGTGGCGTCCTCGTCGCTAACGTGGACCTTGCTGGGCTTGCGCTCGGCGGGCGGCACGTCGGGCACGGCCTCCTCGGGCTCGCCCAGGCTCAGGCCGGGGATGGCGTCGCCGCTGCCGTCCATGTAGGCGTCGTCGTCGTCCGGGTCCTCAGCCGGGTCGTAGTGCTTGGCGTAGGGCGTCTTGGGCTCCGTGATCTTCATGGTGCTGGTGCGCTCCTGCTCCGTCAGGTACAGGTTGGCCTCGTCCCACTTGAGGCGCGCCTCCTGCGACTGCGCGTTCTCGCCCTCCTCGCCGGCCGAGGCCGAGGGCGTGCGCGACGACTGGCGGCGCGAGCCGGGGGGCCGCGAGGCGGCGCTAGACGAGCGGCGGTGGCCGGCGTTGACGGCCGTGTTCTGGATGACGATCTCCTTCTCCGACAAGGCCCTCTCCCTCTCCCTGGTGGGGGAGGTGGGCGGCGAACCGCGGTACGAGTTCTTCAGGATGCCTAGGTCCACAGCGTGTTAGCCTCGCATCGTCTTCTTGTCATGCCCTCCCTTCGCGGCCGCTCCGTGCTGGCCATGCACGGGCGGGCGAGGCAGACGGCGAACACAACGTACCTCTCGGGCGCTTAGCCGCGTCGGGCGGCGGGGGACTGTGCAGCTCGGACGGCGGGCTGCTCTGGACCTCCATGGTGACGTCTCGTGGGCGATCTTGCTGGAGCGGGAGGGGTCGGTCCGTCTGGATGTCCGCCTGGATGTCCGCTTGGGCAGAGACGAAGGTCTGGGCGCGGCGAGAGTGTGAGGGGTGGTCGCTGGCGCGGGCTGCGACTATATTGTGATTGCTGCTGCAGTGGGGGGAGAAGGCGAAAGAGTATCTAGCGTGAGGTTGCGTGAGGTTGCGTGAGGTTGCAGGGAAACAGACTTTGGGCCTGGTATTTGTTTGCCTCGTCTGCGGTAGTGCAGTGGAGGAAGGGAATCCAAAAGTCAATGTTGACGTTTCGGCAGCCCGGCAGGGATTTGGGCAGAAGTAGTAGAGAAATCTTGGGCCCCGCTGAACAATGACGACGATGATGGATGGGGTCACGGGTTCGACCTCGACGGGGTGGCCCGCGAGATCATGGATGGGATGCGGCGATGGGCAGGCGGGCGGATGGGGTGGCTTGGGGGTCCCAACTGCAAGTAATGGCGTGCCCAGGTCAAGATGCAGGCTGCATTATCTTAACAACTACACCCCAGAACACCAGACATCCATTCCATTGTACTGTACGTGCAGAGATGTCCTTCTTCCCAACCTCACTGTAACTTTTCCTGGGGCGGCGCAGTGAACAGCCCACCATCACCAGCAGCAAACAGCTTTCCCCCCTCCCGACCCGAGGCCGCAACTAACTATCTTGGGCTACCTCAGCCTACCTACCTAGGTACCCTCAGCTAAACCTTGGAAGCTGGCAGGAATGCGGGGGGTTTGAAGGGACGCCTTCGCCTTGGAGAACCATGCACACATCACGTTCAGTGACGAACCCTCGGCCGGTTGGGTACCAGGGTCAGGGGAGATGGTAGTGAGGCCATGTCACGGGGACTAACCCTCACTCGTCCGCCAGCCAACACTGGATTGTGATAGACAGCACAGCACGATAGACAGCACGATCAGCTGCCGGTGGTTTGAGGGCTGTACTATGTACTTGCCAGGGAAGATCGAGTGGTTAGATAAGGCACCACTTGACCCGAAAGATGCTATTTCTGATGCAGACTGGCAAGACTACTACTACGGCACGAGGAGCATGCCACCACTGACGTTCGGAAGAGTCCGGGATACGCAATCAGATGCCCTGAGAACCAGTAGACTGCTACGAAATAAGCTTGCTAGGGATGGGTATCGGGATGGCTGGTAACTTGGGCAAAGCTGGTATCTGCAGTTCCTCATTCTTGCGATAGGCCGATGCAGAACCGATACGCGACGAGCTTTGGGACTCGGACGAGAGGCTGGGATACGAGAGCCACCATCCATCCATCAACCCCCCGCCATTATTGTCCCTCTTCGCGCGTCGACCTTCCCACGTCCTCGCCCACGGCTCCCACGTTCCATCCCTCTTTCGTGACATTGATGTCACGATAACCCCGTGGTATCTACTCCCGTCACATGCTCCAACCACTACATGCAAACAAAGCCACAGCAGAAATTGGCAGTCTCGTCCATGCGTGCCCGGGATGGCATGGCACGTCGGCTTACTGCTTACGACCCCAGAAACCCAGCGCTAACTTCGCACGACCACATGGCTGTGCCTCCAGCCTGCTTCATGCAGGGCGCTCTCGTTCTGGGAACCAGGATTGACATCATCGCCTGCAGGATTGGGCAGGCTGCGCTGGCAGGCAATGAATCGACTGTCGCACCCCTACAGTACTATGTGAGCTCCTGTGAAATACTCTACCCCACAGTCCCCAACGATGGGCATGCTATGGCGTCCGAGGGCTATCCTCTTCTAGCTGCTAGTCACTGTCCTCATGGAAACATCCCAGGTCCATGCAACCCCATGGGGAATTAAGGTGGGTGATACTCGCAGAATGGACACCCGCTGGCATCCGTGCGCGCGAGAGTCGTCCCATGCTGGAGTGCCCTGGTATATATCCACTGTAAGTTACCTAGTATGTAGGCAGAAGGAACAGCCACCTGTCCGAGATGGTGGACGCAAACAACGCAACGCAGGCTGTTCTCGGCCTCGATCCCTTTCACTTTGACGCCCGATCCCATCGTCAGCGCTATATGGCAATGGCTAGGTAAGTAACCACTTGTCAGGACATTTTGCCAGCCTTCGTAGGACGGCCGGAGTCCAGTCAGACGGCGCCACCTATCAAGCTCTCACGCCGAGTGGGAACACCCGCGCAAGTGCTGCAACCCTACCCTACCCTATTGCACTGCCTAATAAGTGGTTCTGTCCCCAATCCCGTCCCCCGCCTGGCAGGAAAGAGCCGGATTGATCGATGTGTTTCCATTCAAGGTTCGGGTCAGGAACCTGGAGGCGGTCGTCGCACTGGCATTGGCACCGTGTTGCTGGCAAACCCTGCAACTTATAGCACGCTTGGTCGTGACTGGATCAGAATCATTAGCCGAGATGATTAGTCTATTATATTACTATGACGGGGAGATGATGGCCTCCATGTCTCACGCGTTTTCCCAAAGGTTGCCGTTTTGTGACCTTCTACGCCTTCTTTACAGTCATCGTACATATCCTGCCTCCCAAATACCCTGTATACCTTATAATACACGTGGCTTATATGTATACTAAGAACACCACATTTGTGTGGTCTCTGCTGCTGCTTCAAGCAAACATGTCAGTAGAGTAGTAACTACTATCACACGATTGGCGGTGGGACTCAGTGTTCTACTCGTCAGTCTGTACAATGCAAATGTTTCCTTCCCACCCGACAAACGTGTTTGGCGCAGCCTCTATTCTCATCCATGCAACGGATGAGCCTGAGTTTTATGCTCAGGCGGCGATGAGGACACATCTAGCTCTCATCCTCTTCATCCTTCTTGGCCGGCTTCTTTGGTTTGACCTCTCTCTTCTTGGGCCGCAGCCACTCCTCCATGCCGACGGGCCAGTAGACGCGCCGGTTGGGGCCGCCCATACCCACCTCTTCAGGTGGTATTTCGGCGGGCGGCTTGACTTCTACCACGTCCGGCATATCAGCGTCCTCGTCATCCTCTTCGGCTTCCTTCTTCCCCTTGCGCTTCTTCTTGGGTGTGGCCTTGGGCTTGGGTGGAGGCTTGTTCTCGTCGTCGCGCTCATACGGGATGACATCGTTGAAGCTGTCCCAGCCAGGCAGGCGGAAGTTTCGCATGAGATCAAAGACCGCCTGCTCCTTGTCCTTGGCTTCGATCATGAGGTCCATAGTATCGGCACACGGAGGTAAAGTCATGACTCTTGGCCGATGTTTCCGTCGCTGACGGGGTGTGATAGCCTCGGAGCATTGTTCGCTGTAGTGCATCTTCTGCGTGATACCTTTCCTATCCCATGTCGCCTTGATGCGGGGATATAGCCCCATGATGTCCTTCGTCCCCTCTCGGATCTTGTCCTTGTCGAAGTAGATATTGTGATGGTGGAAATCCAGGACCATCGGGATGTTCAATTCCTCGCAGATCGGAAGCAGGTCGTGGACCGACCAGCAGACATCGTCGTTTTCAAGAACCAACCGGGCCTTCACGCTTTCTGATAATGGGGCGTAATTTTCGCGGAACCTCTGCAAGGTGGCTTCCTTGTCACCGAACGTCCCGCCCATGTGAAGAATCATGACGGCGTCTTTGTTCTGCTGTTCTGGCAGTCTCAGCAGCGAGAGCAGCTCGTCGTGGTATTCGAGGTCGCGCACTGCATTCCTGACGACTTCTTTTCTCGGGGACCCAAGCTGAGTGAACTATGCTGTATTAGTCAGCGTGTTCCATAACCAGAGCATTGCAGTGGTATACCTGGCCGGGATGCGTTGTCAGCCGGTGCCCCAGTTCGCCTGCCACCTTGCCAGCTTCGGCGAGGACATCAGAAGCAAAGGGTGCCAACTTGTACCCATACTCCTCGTGGCTCGCGAACGGGAACATCTCGGAGCTGAGACGCATAAATTTGATGCCATACTTGTCGTTCCACCGGAGCATCTTGACAATGTCTCGCGCATTGGCAAGGCCGAGACTCTCGACCCACTGTTGTCCTCTTACAAGATCAGGCGGTTGCTCCTTGTCGGGGCGGTTCTTGGTAGAGTGTTCAGGTTGCGACGGGTCTTGCAGAGGATGCCGGTGCTCGATGATAGAGGCTATCCTACAAGTCCTAGAGCTGAAAACTGGGGGATTAGAGACGCGAAGATACGTGTTCAGACAGGCCTATAAGACGTTAATACGGTAGGTCAACCAAAGCATCCGCCTCTCTTGAGAGGCAGTGACAGGGGTATAATTTACGTAGCCCAGTCTCCCTTTCCACGGCAGCGGCAAGTAGTCACTGTTCACCGGAGGTGGCCGTCCGCCTTCCTCTTTCAAGGAAGTGATGTCGTCTGGGGAGGCATCTTCCTTTTCGCAGCAGTCGGCGTCTTGCTCTACCTCATTTTCCTCTTCCGAGGGCGCCGAGTTATCTGCTTCTTCCTTCTTCTTCGTCTTTCCCTGGATCCTGGGCTTCCTTGGCTGCCGTGAGTCTGCCGCAAAATCTTCCTTGTTCTTCTTGAACTCCTCAGGGAGGAAGGCTTGGGATTCGGCATTGGTGCCGACATCCATGACCTTACTCGACTGCACGGCGATCTTCTGACGCTTCACGCCCTTCTGCAGCGTGTCTTCCATCTCTTGCAGTCTGTTGATAGCCGTCTCGACACTATGGCGGCCATGCGGCGAGGCTGCAACAAGGCTGTTCTCCTTCTCCTGTGACATGGGAAACGATCCCATGTCTGTAGAGCGCCTGTTTCGACCCGACCTACGCGGCCCATAGCCGGCGTCGATATCGGGGGCGTTTCGCAGCCCTCTTGGCGCAAGGTCCTGCTGTAACAGTGCCATGCTAGACTTCTTGCGTTTGGGGACCATTGTCAGTGAGAACCATGTACCGGGCCGGACGAGTATATGTTGGACGCAGGCCGGAGCAAATGGCGCGGTCCTGTGCCTCAGAAACGGCGTGGGCAAGTGGAGATGACGAATGGAATACCCCTTTGGACGCAGCATACACTTGCAGCCGGTGGAGAACCAGACGGCAAGGAAATCCGTGGTGTGTAGGGGAAATGCTGTCCTGAATCGATATATGGGGTCACGAGTCTCCCGTCTTTGGTCTGGGCCGCCACGTAAGTCAACTCCCTAACAATGCAAGTGAAGGAACGGGAAGGAATTCGATGAGAGCAGCGGCGCAGGTCGTAGGCATAGCGCTGGCATAGGTCCAATAGAGAGCATTCGAGTAAGGAGCATAAGGTCCAGACGCCCAGTGATAAGTTTATTGTCCTCGATTGACCGTACAGGCTGCTGATCTGGGGACCGACTTGTCTTCTTGTCTACAGAGAGTCAAGTCCGGCCATGACAGGCCGCACGTCATGTATGCAGTTATCCACCACCCGCCACGGGAGTTTTACTCCGCGTGCGGCTTGGATCGCTTGGGTGCCCTACGTGCCCCCATACTTGCCCTGCCGTGTTGGCGCTGTATGTGATGCCAATTCCTTACAAGCCTACTGCACGGTTAATGCAAAAACCCTCCGAGTGCAAGGGGTGAGGGAAATGCCCCTTGAGCAACTCAAAGACGTCACCGCGGCGCGTGTGGCCGATCGCGTTTGGAAATGTAGATGTTGGGGCGCGGTGTCGTCATAAGGCAAAAGTTCGGGAGGGCCTTGGGGTGGATTGATCGGGATCGATGGTTCCTTAGGGACTCGGGTACCACCGAGCTAGCGCCCCCGGGAGCCCTGACACCTAGGCAAGGGGGCAAGCTAGGGTACTATAGAGCTGAGCTTGCTGAGGGCCCCGCCAGAACCAGACCCTACCGGGGCCAAGCACGGCCTAGGGCGCAGGCTGGTAGTCCTACCCAGCTGCCAGCTACCAGCAGCCCTGCGGCTGTCACGATCCACCGATGATCGATCCTTGGCTGTCTTTCGTTCACTAATCACAACGACAACAGCGCAGTAGTCATGGTTTTCATACGAACGAGTGCTGAAAGCATCTCTCTCGTGATCTTGAACACTTACGTAATTCCCGACCTTCTCACATCTACTTGGGACAGTCTGCTTCGCTTTTACACCCTCCCTCCCCTCTCGGTTCCATTGTAAATGGAAGCAAGCTCCGGTCCACTGACTGCCGGACCGCAAGGCATCCCAACTGCAACCCGTCTTCTGCAGTGGATCGCCAGAGGCTTCCATCTTATCTGAGTTTTGGAGAGCGATATTCAAACTACCAGAATGCTAAGATCGGCATACCTGGCTGTTGATAGCTCAAGTCGCCTCTGCTCTCCTCGGCCTCTGAGAGTTGATAGTATGGTGTGCGACAGACCGGGCAATCGTATCGCTTCCGCAGATACCACGATGCCAAGCAGCGCGCATGATACATGTGCTGACAGCGCTTCATCTTCAACACCTCGTCATCGATAGGCTCAGGTTGCCATGGTGCCCCATTTGCCTCAGTGTTCTCTGATGCTTTTCCTGTCATTGTGGTGGTGGTGCTGGTCGTCGTCGTCTTGGTGGTTGATTTCCGAGATAACCCTGCTTCTAGCACTATATCCTCATTGCAGGCGGCCCCTTCGTCCGTCAAGACCGTGTAAAGCGAGACAAGGCATATGGCACTTGGCAAGGTGGTCCCGGTCAGTTGCGGTTCTGGACGCTGCGGCGAACAGGGTGGCTCACCAGTCCCTCTCATCCGCCTTCTGCACCTCGCTCCTATTGCCCCTGTATTCAGTCACCTTTGACAGTTCCGCGATGGCCCTCTGCAACGACAGTGGCACTCGTTGGTGCGGGGCCTTCTTTTTCCTTATAATTCTTCTTTGTCGATATATCGTGATGGCTTTGAGAGTCCTGCGTGGCCAGTCAGCAGCGCACGACTTACGCGAGAATCATAGGTAATCTCTGGTGTCTTACGCGCCAACAATCAGTAGTCCGCCGACGGTACTGATACAGACAGCGAGCACGATGTCCCAAGGATATTGCATCGTGGTGCTGGGGGCAATCTCCCATTCCCGTAGGTCTGTTCAAGTGCCGGAGAAGTCGTTTTCCAGCAGACCGCAGATATCAGCCCTACCGGCATATTCCGTTTGCGACTCAGCGGTGAGGTTTAGGTCAACAAATTAAGCTTTCGGGCTACTCGCTTATATCAGACACACAGGTGGGCTCGATGGGCTTTTTAAGACGTGATGGCATTGTCGCGAGAGGTGAGGAGAGCCAATCCCAGAGGCCCAAGTGGCAAGGAGACATACCGGTGTTGGTCCTGACTTTCTGGCGGCACTTAGCCTGTATTCCTGTCCGTTCGATCATCCAGGGCGACCATGAGCGAGGGGTGACTTGCCAAGTGCCAAATCAGAATTTCGATGCGGCCCTCCCAAAGCTTCGCGATCCTGTAGGTTAGGAATTGCCGGGGTGAAACTAAACTTGGTGCCATCAGAGACACCCAAGAGGCGTGAACGGGTCGTTTTACGTGGCAGTCACCCGTTTCACGGCAATTGTACTGCTTGGCTGTGGCTTGGTGGTATCCAAGGCCACAGGCCAATCACAAAGCCAATCATGCGCTGTGGACGCCAGCGCAGTAAAGATACGGGTATCTAAGATGCTTAAGCAACTCGTATTGGTGACTTCTGGCTACTAGGTCATAGGCTTATCTATGAACGAAACTTAAGCTGATGCACTTGTCACGAAACGGACGCCTATTCGATGGATATGTACACGCAGAGCTTGTGTATCCAGTGCTACGACCGGATGCCGCCCGGAAACGTGTACCACGTGTTGCACAGATTAACTGGACTAGAACTTCATTTTTATGAATACTTCCTTACTCTCCTGGTTATCCTAGGCTTGTATGTGAATACATCGATTTGCACGAGATATATCCTATACTTAGAAGACAGTAAGAGGCGCAACTAATGCCAACGCATACGCCCGTCTGGTTCTATTACATGGGCATCAAGTCTCTATCGCCGAAGCTCTTCAGCATCTTTGGGCATGGCTGCTGCGATCCGACGGGCTAAGCCGTTCATAACGTCGGCCGAGATGAGATCCTGCATACAGAAGTTGTCTACTAGGCATAGAGATGTCCAGAAAGTGAGGTTTTGGGTGCCGAAAATGGAGGCTCGCATGCCAAATGTCAGGTCTAAAAATAGGAGACAGTCACATGACTTTTCATTACTGGTTCGGGAAACTGCTTAGAGAGAATGTTCTCTGAAGATGGACGCGAGCTTGTTCTCGTCGAGATCTTCTGCGGCATCTTAACATCTCTAGTGCCGCCATGAAGAAATCATAATAAGATCTTTATACTGTGGGCGTTTCGGGGGAAAGAAACCCAACTGTTAGTCCTTCTGATTCCATTTAATTGCCCCAGGACAGCGCTAAAATTGAAACTAGAAATTACAGAGGCGGGGAGTGACTATGGACGCAGGAAACACATAGGATGATACTTCGACAGAAAAAACAGAGACACTGAACATTTATCTACCTACCTGTCTTGTGACTGATGGCAATCCATTTATGCTTTCTACAGCACATCTTCTCGACCCACAGATTCCAGAGACGTGGAAAGATGAGACGAAATATTTGGATAGCTTCGTAACATCTTCATACCCCCTATCCATTGGAACATTTGCATCCTCCGTAGAAGACCGCCATCAGCTGCCTGGACAGACCATGTAACGCGGGGTTGCCTGGTGGGCGTTTGCCATAGTGTGTGACCGAGCAAGGTCGTTGGACTAGTGGCACTGAGCAATGAGAAACCTTCAGTGGAAGAAACCTGTGGCTTGCATACGACTAATTCGGGGCCCTTTTTGTGGTATCAACCAAATTACCTTCGGTTCGGAGGAACGGAAGGTTCCCTGGTGAGGAGGTGGCCGGCTATGAACCTGTTGACGATTAAGTCAATCAAAACCGATCTAATAGTGCGGCTGAAGGCGCCCATTTGCATGGGTTCGTCCCCCAAGCCGGGGCTTTTTCACCGTGATCCTAGTTAGCCAGTAGGAAAGTGACAAGAAAAGCATTCTCAACCGCATTATTGACGGCGCCTCATCCGGAGCCTCGCATTTGCCATTGTCTCAAGCCGGCACCTCAGCCTCAGCCTCGTCGGTAAGCAGGCAGTCAGCGGGGCTATTATGGTTTGGATTCTTTTGACTTTTGCTTCTTTTCCTTTTCTTCTGCCTCGTCCATTCATGACTCCCTATTTCACCAACCAGCAACCTGTCGCTGACTGGTGAAAATAGCTACCCGAGTGTTGAGACAACAACGAGGCTGCCCTCTGCGCATCACGTACCGCCTAGGCCCCATGGCAGAGAGTCTCGCCACTCACGATATTACCAACAACACACCAAACGATGAGACGGTGGAGAGCAATGTCCCGCCTCTTGTAGAAGAGCAGGCTATCGAGAGAAAACCCTCGGCTCAGACAATTGAAGCAGAGCCATTGGCCGAGAGGGAAACCTTGTCGTGGTGGTTCCCGCAGATCAACGACGACGAGCAGAAAAGCTGGCGCATATGGCTGTCAAGGCGGAGCCGTGCGCTCGTGCTGCAGATTGCCATCGTTGTTGTGATATTACTTGTCAACATCATCTTAACCTTGGTTGCCGTGTCGACATACGGAAGTCAGAATGGCGTGGGACTCATTTACAGCGGCGACTGTGATACCGTCACCCGACTCGATCGGTGGATCCATCTCCTGATCAACCTGCTGAGCACGGGACTGTTGTCCGCCTCGAATTACTGCATGCAGCTCCAGGCTGCGCCCACACGCGGAGACGTCGATAGTGCACATGAACAAAACACCTGGCTGGACATCGGGGTGCCAAGTTTGAGAAATCTTCGATACATCGGCGGATGGAGGAAGTTCACATGGGTACTGCTGGCCTTTAGTTCTGTTCCCCTCCATCTTCTGTAAGTGACCACGCTGCATGGCGGCTGCCAAGGGCGAGCAATAAACTTTGCTAACGATTTGGCCAAGGTATAACTCAGCAGTATTCCAGTCCTTGGCATCAAATGACTACACCATTGCCGTCGTGAAGGATTCATTCCTCAACGGCTCGTCTTTCAATCTCACCACTGCTGAACGTAACAGAGAAGGAGACTACGGGTGGGACGATGGCAGGGTCAACCCGCAGCAGAACTACATGAACATCGTGAAACAGATGCAACAAGCAGCCATGTCAGGGGCATACGAACTGCTAAATACCTCTGCATGCTTCGATTTGTATGATGATTACTGGGCTCCCCAAAGCAACGGACTGGTTTTCGTCAAGAATGAAAGCGTACAGGTCCCAGAGAGCGGGAGCCTGCTCATGTATGTCTCCGTTGTTCCTCGCTATGACGACTGGGCCAAGAACATGTGGGCTCTCGGAAACGGCACTGGATCCTTCGTGGCCAACTCGCCCAGCACTCCTGTAACCACCTGGTACCTCGGACCGCCCCATTACGAAGTATCGCATTGTCTTGTCCAGCCAAGAAGTGGCTCGGTAAGCCGTTGTCGCTTCGAATACTCACCGCAGATCATGTTTACCATTTGTATACTGAATCTGATCAAAGCAAGCGTGATGGTCTGTGTTTGGGTCATGAGAAGATGGCAGAACAGAGACCGACCCGGCCAGACTGTGGAGGAGAGACAGCAAGCCATGAAGGATCAAATCTTGTATACTCTCGGCGATGCCATCGCGTCCTTCATGCGCAGGCCGGATCCCACAACTGAAAATATGTGCCTTGCTCCTAAGGAGGATTTCTTACAACACCGAACCTGGGCCAACAGATTGAGAAAGCAAAATCCGATGCCTTCTCAGGAGGCCCGAACTTGGACATACAAGGAGCGAAGATGGATGTCGTCCGCCAGTCTGAAGAGGTGGCTCATCCTCCTGTTCATGTAAGAAACCCCCGGGGCATCCCAAGCAGAAGGCGGAGTCTTGGTGGAAACTGACATCACACAGCTGTGCCCTGATTTTAGCAATCACCAGCGGCCTACTAGGCATAGCGGTGCACTCTCTCCGCCACCGCAGCATAGACGTCACGATGGCCAGTCTCTGGAAGCTGGGGTTCGGCGCGCTGACGCCGTTCACCTATCTGGTGCTGGGCCTTCCACGAACAGATCCTGCCGGCCTGATTTCCAACGTGCTGCTCGCCAACCTGCCGCAGCTCCTCATATCCGTCATCTACGTCTTCTACAACGCCATGCTCAGCACCTTCATGGTGCAGCGCGAGTTCAGCCTGATGCACAAGCCCGGGAAGCGCAAGCCGCTCCGCGTGTCGGAGCCGACCGGCATCCAGCGGTCGAGCTACTTCATCAGCCTCCCGCTGCGCTACGGGATCCCGCTCTATGCGTCCTCGGGCATGATGCACTGGCTGATTTCTCAGAGCCTGTTCTTGGCTCGTATCACGGCTATCGACCCCGATGGTCGGTACGACAGCACTTACTCATTCTCCACTTGCGGGTATAGCCCCATTGCTATCTTTATCAGTAAGCCGCTCTGTATTTCTATCAGTCCTTAATATGTCCTGGTCATGATTCTCTAATACGCCGGCCCCGCCAGCAATTCTCGTAGGGGTGACTCTGGTTGTTGGCATTGTTGCGATTGGGGCGCGCAAGTACGACGGCACCATGAGCATGGTCTCGACGAATAGCCGTGCCATCAGCGCCGCATGCCATGTGCTCGAGGGAGACCGGGAACATGGCTATATTTTACCGATTCAATGGGGAGTCGTGCACGCAAAGGGGGATGTCGGACACTGCGCGTTCACGACTGCGCCAGACAGCAAACTTCAGAAACTCCAGCAGGGCATGAAGTATAAGTAGTAGTACTGAATCGGTGATCAATTCAGGATCAGTTTTATAGCATAAGAAAAACCATAAAAGTGCCAAGACCGCCGGTGTGTAGGTGAGAGTATACGGATACTTGGTGCTGAACCACACTACGCTGGATGCGGGATAGCGCATGCTATTTTAAAGGGGGAAGTAGGTCCTAATTGGTAGCATTTATCTTAATAAAAAAAGGGAAGATTCTGTTAGCTGTTTGCGCTTTGTGAGAGCGCAGATGAAGGGCTCGAAGAGCCCTCTTTGGGCTTGGTCATGTGCATAACACGTGATCCCCACCAGTCCGGGCATAGTCCGGGGCCATGACACCTTTTAAAAAAGAGCTCCAGTCAGCCGTAAACCATATTGAACTGGAGTGGTGCTCCGGGACCAATTTAAGGCCTATGGTTCACGTCACAGCTGAAGCAGTCTTTGCCCTCACTTTACCGAGGGATCCAACGTGCTTCGTGTAGTGCAATCTTACTGATCGGGTTTGGGTAAGAAGGCACAAGGTAAGGGTTAGTCGGTAGAACACAAGGGGTCAAAAGATTGGCCAAAAAGAGTGTTAATTCTCGAACGAATCAAGATGCGGTCCGCGAAGGTTCAGAGCAGACCTGCTTTGGGTGCAAACCATCGTTCTGTCCCGGAGGAGACCAGGGAGCGTCACTTCGTATCGCAAATGCAGAGATGGCCGAGGAGAAGGCGAAGATGGAGAGGCCAAATATAGACTTCATAGCGAACCCGACGTAGCTAACACTAGTAAGCAATCTTTCGTTCAAGCTGACGGAGTTAAAGCAAGAATGTGTGACTGTGTACGCTGAATCGTCAAGAAAGACTTTTATGGCAGAGCCCTCGTTAGTTGGAATAAAATGATACATGACCAGCTTGAGCAGCTGACGCCACAACCCTTGCTAGGACCGACTGAAGCTCCACGACCAACGTCAGCATCGTGTCGCACGAACCCGGGATCTGACAGTAGAGTGAGCCACCAATGATCCTTTGTAAGATTTCATATGACCGTTTCCTGTTTGGAAAGCCCACATGTTTACCTGTTGGGTCACGAGCTCACACAAGCAGCCTATTTTGCTTTGCAGTCCGATAAGATTCTCCTTGTTGAGTGTATAATGCAGATATATGCTGATATTAGTAGCGGCTCAAGTGTAAACTTCGTACAAGAGACAGATCAAACATTTCACCAGCTCGTGAGATATCAACAACATGTTTGGTTGAATATGCACTTATCCAATGATTTAAGACGTTTGGCCTACGTGTCCAAAAAACCAATGTGAGGTCAGGTATGATCAGTATCAAAGGTGTGGTTCTATTCCTAAAGAGACTGAATCTTGTGCGTCTTACGTATAAGGGGACAAGAAGGGGAATCTACACCGGATGCTGCACGGGGTCTAACCGGACCTCTGTAAACCTAATGCATCGCCGTGACACTATGCATGGGATGGAGTTTGTCTGATTACGCCATCGTGTCTTTGCATCGTGTGCGCCTTTACATCTTTTGAAAACGGGATTATTGGAGAGTTGGATGCAAGAATTTCCTAGCAGTATGCGATGAACGCTTCAGGGGTCATATGCCGACCACTACGATGATACGGACCGGCTCAGAGCTGAATTCATGTCACAGAGAAAGACTTGGGTTTTTTTGGAGGGGAATAAACCACTTAGACGGATTCAGATCGGTGGAATGGCGCCAGGAGAAGAAAACGTGCATGAGTGCTGTATCAAAAGCGTAAGAACCTAGAAAGACTTTCGACATTTCCGACTTGGTTTCCACACACAAGAGGGCAACTTGTCCGTGGGATTAAAAGAATCTTTTATTACCAATATTATTCCTAATTCTGATCCTTTCAAGGGGAATAGGCAGTGGCTTTGCTTTTGTAGCACTGAATTCTAGGAGTAAAACTGCAGTACACTCGGTTGAAGAGTGTGAGCGATGTAGCCTTTCAGGTGAACTGAAAAAGGCCAGAACTATCAAGAAACGTCGTCAGTGAGACGAGTGTTGCAACTAGCTGCACTGATGATCTCCTATATCAAGAAGCCCCTCCGGCCGGGGGATCCGCTGTTCATAGACTGTGCATCTCAGTCTACATTTTCTGCCGCTTGGCTGTAGGTTCTGCAACATCTCCCGGGCCATTCATTTTGTTGATTTTGTCGGCGGCCAGGTCAATCGCTTGTCGCAACAGGTTTTTCTCACCAACCCGAACCGCCACAGCCATTGCCTGTCGGCCCGACACTTGCCCACTCCGTGCGAAACTCAGATCTTCTGCTTCCGTGGTGGGATATTGTGCTAGCCTGAGCTCCAATGCTCGGTGGATGGCGGCAACAGAAATCTCATCGCGTTTCCGCTTGTCCGGGATTGACTCTGGGCTTGCTTTCCGGATAGCCTTGAGGAACGTGTTGATCTGCTCTAGGAGATCTTCTGGGAGTCGCTTAAGAGCAACCTCACCATGCACGTCACCCTTCTCGTCGGGGCCGTCTAGGTCTCTATCGATAACGAAGCAGTCCTCAATCTCTTCATCTTCCAGTTCATTGAGCTACACCGTAGTCAGAGATGTCTGTGGTAAGAAGTGTATGTGAAAGGCCACCATGACTCACCGCTTTGCCCCATTGGTTGTCATCCAGATTGAGGCGTTCCTGTAGGACCGAAAGTACCAAATCCCACGGTAGCTCTACTACATCATATCGGGAGTGCTTCTCAGAGACGTAGCCATACCGTCTCAACAGATCGCCGTTGGATAAGGGGCCATAGTAATTGAGGACTTCTGTGCCTGCAGGGATCGGCTTCAAGCTGGTGACAGTCAGGCTCTCATCCTCGTGGTTGACATGAGCCTGCGAATGGTCAGAATAAACGACGCCCACCGGGGAACATGAATACAAATGTCCGGGCACACTTACATTGAACTCTGCGTCCGCGTTCAGGATATCCGCCATTGGGACCATGCCCATCATGATTTTACCATCCCTGTCTTCCATCCACTCATCGTCATTCTCCTCGTCTGGTTCTTCTTCATCGTTCTCGAGGTCGAACGCGTACGCCATGATGGTACTTCCCATCCGATGAGCCAGCGTCATTAGTTGGTCTTCGCTCAATCTTTGGGCTCCCGGGGGGTAGAAGACATTAGCATGTTCCTCAATGGCGGGCAGGACCTTGGCGCGGAACATGTTGTCAGCCTCGTCCTTGCCGATTTTGGACGTTATGGCGCTGGCCTGCAGCTCGTGGAGCTCCGGTTCGGACCAGAACATGAGCGTGTCGAATTGCTCTGGGAGCACGTCGAAGTAGGGCTTCCAGCGCGACTGGTCTCCTTGCAGGAACTCATAAATCATGACCAAAATGAGGGAGACCCACGAGTCCGGCGGCCCACTGGCGTCACCGTCCTCATCAGCCTCATTGTCGGCATCTTCCAAGCCTGTCGTCGAGTCCTCGAATATCTGGGGGATCCTCTTGGCGAGATCAGACGTTAGTGAGTTTATGATGGCATTCCTGGGGATTGTGAAGAGCACAGTGTCCTCTGGGATGTCGGCCGTCGCAACTGTGTTGTGTAAGCAGGGATGGAAATTTCAGCGCTTGCCAGGACGGACGTACCAATGCCTCTGCCGGCACTGCGAGGCCGCAGGTCCTGGATCTGGATGCTTGGGTGGAATGTCGCACCCGGCAAGGCTCGGAACCAGTTGAGAAACGAGGCCGTTCTGGCATCGAATGTGGATTGCGCCATGTCGAACGACTTGGAGGCGCGAATCACAGCGCTGCTGTTGGCCCAGGTGGATGGCTCGCGGAGATTTTTTTTTCGGAGCAAACAAAGGCTCAGAGCTGCGAAGCTGCAGGAGAGCTGGGCCAGCCAGGCCAAGGAACCTGAAGAGCTGACCAGAGAGAGCCAGTGAGCCAGCCGGGCCATTGGCTTGACTGTGGGCGCTGGACGGCAGCTGAGATCCACTGAATTAAAGCTGGCGGTGGGGCAACCTAGGGGGGGGGGGGAGGCGGCCCAGGTAGAGCTAGCGGCAGGCCGTCCTAGCCCCAGCTGCCTGTAAGATGATGAAGTGTACCCAGCCGCTGCCCAGGTGTTCGTGGGAACTGCGCGCTGGAGGTGGGTTGGCTGGGTTGGCTGGGTTGGCAGGTCGAGGATGGATGTCAGGACACCCGTCGGGAAGACAGTGGATTCCATCCAACGTACCATCCAGGAGCCGATCTACCTACCTACCCACTGTAGGTAAATGACCAGGCAGCTGGGCACATGAGTGTATTCCAAGGTTATCTTGGGCACACTTCACTATCCATACGTCAGGCGGGTGGGTGAGGTCGGTCTGATCAGTCCTGCAATTCGTAGAAGTAATCCCCAACTAACTAACTACCTGCCAGTCATGGGTAATATCTGAATCTCACGGCAACTTCTCCCCCTTGCGCGTAGCTTGACCCACTTGCGACTGCGTCGTATCCTCTGCGTATCTCTGGTATGCCTTGATGTAGTCCTCCTCATCGCTCCAGGTGTCCTTGACGCTCTTGCGCTCCGATACTGCATCGTACCAGTGCATCCATCGGTTCCACACCGCGCCATCCTCGCCGCCCTGGTCCACTGGGATGGAGAGGCCACCAGGCTTGTAGTGGTCGATGAGGAATAGACGTTTTGCCCACGGCGCCAGCATGACATCCACCATGCTGAACTTGTCGCCTAGGAACCACGGCCCGCTGTCGTCCATCTCCTTGACGAGCGTTTGGATGTGGCCGAGGAAGTCGGATCGCGCCTGGTCGATTGAGTACTCCTTTTCGGGAGTGTGCTGGATAAACTTGTAGAAGCCCGGGACGATCTTGGTGCCGATATGGTCAATCCACAGCCTGCACCGCGCCCTCTGGTACGCGCTTGATGGGTACAGGTCTGGGCCATACTTGCTCTCCTCTGAAAACTCCTCGTTCAGATATTCGCAGATAACCGTACTCTCGTACAGCGGCTTCTGGACATTGCTTTGCCCGTCCATGGGCACTGCCAGAGTTGGCACCAGCCCCCGCGGATTCAACGCCAAGAAGTCGGCAGCCTTCTTGTACGGATTGATCTCAACGTACTGGTACGGGATGTTTTTCTCTTCTAGCACGATCCAGCTCCGCTGCACGAAGGGGCAGAACCAGCCTGCGTACAGCTTCATTGGGTGCTCCAGGGCGTGCGCCGAGACCAGCTTGGCAGCTACCCCAGACGCATGAGCGTCAAGGCCAGTGTCTACCGCGGCCATCTTGTTCACAGCGCTGTAAAACGAGAATCTCGCTGAATGTGATCTAGTGAGCAGGATGTGCGATTTTGGGGTCATGGCTCCGGCGTATGTCCCCATGTGCATTTCGTAATGTCCGGTCATGGTTGGGCGATGACATCACGTCGGCCTGTCGATTGAGTGCCCCGCCATCCTGCTCTGTGGGCGTGTAACAACTGCAGTATATCAAACTCTCTGCAACCCAGTAACTCGATACAGGTCACATTGAGTGGCATAGAGGAACTGTATAGTTTAATCCCCAATACAATTCCCGACTAATTCGTAATACTTCAAGATGCATACAAGAAGAAAAGAACAAAAGAGAATGCTAGTCACACATAGCAGGACCTCGGGAATCTCACTAGACTGCACCATCGACCAATCTAACAATAGGCCCAAGCCAAGTATCGTGATCCTCAAGCACATTCTCATCCCCTCCCCACCTGAGAACACTGACAAACCACCGATAATCTCCGACTCCGGGCGAGTACACCGTGCCATCCGGGGCTGTAGCGGTAACGCCGGTGCCTGACGGCCAGATCGTTGTCCCCGGCTGGATCAGACCTGTCGCGTTGGCAATCGTTCCGTAGGATGGGAACCCGAAGATCGAAGACTTTGGTCCCGTCTTCGATATGACATAGTCATGTTGAACGGTCTTGTCAAACCCGTACTTGTTTGGCTTGATCGCCGTGTCAGCAGGCAAGACATCAACCCGGTACGACCGCGTGTATTGGTCGCGGCTGATGCTTGATTTGTACGCCATCGAGGAGTTCACCACCAGGATGTTGGTATCAATGGTCGTCTCTCCATTCGGCAATGTGTAGGAAACTCGGGGAAGAGGACTGTTCCGATCGTAGTGGATGTAGTCTGTATTGAACACGGAATAGGCCGCCCCCTCTGGTTTTCGACATGATGGCATCGTAAGGATTGACCAATCCTGCACCCTGCTGCACCGTTGCTGAGAGCATGCTCTCGTCCCACACCCACTTGACGGGCTTTGAGTTTGTCTGTAGCAGAGCGAGAATGTCATCGACTGAAAGATCAGGGAACTGCGATTTGACCAACGCATACGATCCCGAGACGTATGGGGTAGCCATGGATGTTCCTGACAAGATGGTATAGCCACCCAGCGGTCCTAGCGGCCATGTCGATAAAGTGTGCCCACCAGGAGCAGAAAGCTGGGGCTTCATCGTGTAGTTCAACCAGACGGGTCCGAACGAGGAGTACCAGTCCATCTGGCCGCCAACGAACTGCGGAGGACTGGAGTAGCTTGAGTCGTTGAAGAATAGCTTGTAGCTCCCATAACCACCAGCGGCCTCATATCCTGCCAGCAAGATTAAGCTGTCATTCGCACTCACCGCGGCGAAGTGCGCGGTGCCAAAGTAACCACTCGAAGGGACGTCATAGTCCACATAGTAGGGAACGCTGGTCTCGGAGTACATTCCCATCATGTAAACTGGTGCTGTGATCGTGCAGCAGCTTCTCGCATCCGCTGGTCGACACAGGTCTGTGACGCGAAACCCGATGACTGTTGAATTGAGCTTGCCTTCGTCTGTAAGCATGGCCACGGCATTGTCCCACTGCTCCCGATTGCAACCATCGTCGATCATGTATAGGTCAGCCCCTTCCGGATACTCAATTGGCCACAGCGAAGCATATGGTATAACAGATCCCTTAGAGTCGACAACGGTCCAGACGAGAGGGAAGTTCTTGTTGGCTATTGCTCCGACCGCGATTGCTCCTGGTAGCTCACTAGGCATTCCCTCAGAATACATTTGTGTCGCAAACTTGCTCCACGTGGCTGAGTTACCCGCCGCTACGATGACTGCTATGCCGGCCTCGTGCAGTTTGGCGGTAACTTCTGTGAGCGGATCATTCCCAGAGGGGAGTTCCTGTCCGATACCAAGGGACATGCTCACTACGTCTACACCATCAGCCTCCGCTCGGAGCATGGCGGCAAGGATGTCGTCGCTGCCACCAGATTGACTGCAGTCAAATACACGATACATGTACAGCTCAGCCTCGGGGGCTACACCTGTCACGTTGTATCCTTGTGTTTCTCCTAGCGGATCCATGCCAATGATTCCTGTATCGCGGTCAGCCGAGGAAGGATGCAGTCGGGTGTACTGTTCCTACATACCTGCCACGTGAGTCCCATGTCCTGCGCTCAAGCATGTAACCAGTGGGTCAGAGCTGTTGGCATGTGTCCCATCATCCCCTAAAAAGGAATATCCTCCCGCAATCTTATGGCCAGGGCCGAAGCCTGCACCTAGTGCCGGATGCCTGTAGTCAACTCCAGTGTCAATGATCCCGACCTTGATGCCTTTGCCCTTGATACCGAGAGCATGCAGTTTATCCACACCACCCATTTGTAGAGCAGAGCCAAGATTGGCGTCCGCTTTTGGCATTGGGGCCGCATGAATATCAGTCGCATCATTGAAGACCAGCGATGGATCAGCCATGATTGTCGAATTCGCGAGAGTAGGGTCCGGTAGCGTGATCCTGAATACAGGCGTAACATCTTCAACGCCAGATATAGTCGAGAGTTGGGCTTGGATACTGTCGTGAGAATGACCGCTATAGACCTGAATGGATAAACCAACATAGGTCCCTGGTGCATCATAAGTATGCCTAATTGTGTAGTTCAAGGAGGCATCGGTTGCCCGCTTGTGGAACAGTTCGTGGTGGTCCGGGGAGCGGTCATCTAGGTGAGACAGTTCCGAGTGTTGCGAAAGCTTGACAATAAATGTGTTCTCGAGAATTGACTGGTCGGACCCTTTGACACTTGCCACCAGGCTGAATCCCAGGGCGAATATGATCTTGAAGGTGGGCATCCCGATACCAGTTTTCAGGGTTGGAAAATGAGTTTAATGTCTCCGCAGATCAGGAGGTCCAGGACAGTCTTCGGTGTAATCAATACGGTTTATATGCTCTATGCTGCGCCTTATAGGCTAGCAGTGCTGCTCCTCACGGATTAATACTCGTTGAATTGATTCGTTGTTTCAATTTCTCTGCATCCCTGCTATCCTGCACGAGTCAGCAGTTTTGGGAATATTGGAGTTCCTTGCAGAACATAAGTTGATAGGTTGGCCAATAAGCCCAATGGAATCGTCCGGAGAAGGGCATCTCAGGCGCCAAAATTATGCACGATCATTAGGGTATAAGGCTTGTTCTGGAGGTGTTGGTCGGGCGCAATGTACGACGCCCGGCGTGCCAATCGGGGTGCGCTGCAAACGATCCTATCCTTGTCCGTTCATAAATGCAGGGCTGAGGCTCAAAGACTCAGTGGTAACTCACTAAGCGGCCCGTCAGAGCAGATTGCCTAGGGTTGTTGGGAGATTGACGTGATCCTACCCTGACTCCGTGTGGATTGCCCTCTTCGAGAGCTGTAAATACGAGTTGAGCCTCAGGGCTCAATGCTACATGTGGTTATGTTTAATTTCCACCAAGTTCAAGTAACATCGGACATTCGTATGGCGAAGCACCACCGAGGCACTGACGAAGGCATCATGATGGGTTGAGAACCTAGCCTGGCACGCAGTCAGACGAAGCAGCCGCTATTGCGGGCCGAAGGCCGCCCAGCAGCATCAGACCTGACAAAGCCATGTTCTCCGTGTGGTAGGGAACATATGGCAAGGAATAAAGCACTGCACCTGCTCGACCGACCTTGACCGGTGACGTCCGGACGTTGCAGCAGGGACCTCGCCATCGCTTCGTGCACTATGGACCTATGTGGGTTCGATTGCTGCATGCTCAGCGGTCCATCCCCCTGTCACAAACCGCGTGAATGACCCATGCGCTTGCATAATTATGTGTCAGGGGGGTAGTTTACCGAAATAGAAGGTCGCAAGACAAGGACTTCGAGGCTCAGTAAGCTCACTTGCCAATTGATAACAACTTGCGGTCAGTGGTCACCCTGGAATGACTCACCTTTGCATTTCTGACTTGAAAGTCATTCTACACAGTACTCTCCGTCTAACAAATTCTAATGAACTTATCAAGAGTATAGGGAAATTTCTGAAAATCCTGGGTCTTAAGGGCCCCTTCTTTGGCCACCCGCTTTGGCCACCCTGTACCGTGCCATAGGCCAGGGTTGGACAAGAGTTCGAAGGGATACGCTTGAAGAGCGCTGCTTGGCTTTCGAACTCTCACAACGCCATTATGTCGGCATCATCACGTTCAAAAACCTTGATCAAATATATCCGAACATCACCCCCGACGCTAGCCTCTAGAGTCTGGCCGGTAGGCCGGTTTGTGGTTTCCTAAAGTCTGATTGACAAGATCGTTCAGCGCGGTGGGAGCGCTGCGCCTATTGTCAAGCCTCACTTCTCGAATATCAATTGATATAGATGTATCGGAAATACCTGCTGTGATCTTGGGGTCGCTCATCAAGCCGTAAATAATTCGCATATAGCCAGATTGCTATTATAAGTTGATGTAGGCTTCCAAACTACTTCGAGCCTTCGAAACCATAGTCAAGCTGATAGCGTCTGGTTGAACAAAGCTGGATAGTTGATGAGAGTTTATATGATCGTATTCCCTGCGCATCTTATAGGAAGGTGCACTGTTGGCTGATATAGCTCGAGATACAACAACGATATGTCGGCCAGGAAGCTTCAGTCCTCCCAGTCGGATCGGTAAAAGGTCAAGCAAGCACGGAATACCTCAGACTAGTCATCGAATATATTGAATTTTCTGTTCCCATGATTGCCAGTGGGAAGCCATACCTGTGACGGAACCCAGCAAAGGCTTTTGCACGTGACTCGGGATTACCTTTGATAGTGTCTCCAACATCACCTGATCTTCAGCTTCAATGTTCTCTACATTCTGAGTCTGATATCCCACCTAACAATAAGGACGCGAGCCGCGCTCAAAGCTGCCGTTCCCAGTAGCAAGCATATTCCATCCCAAAGTTGCGCAGCAAGGTATCCTCCCCTGGACTCAGAAATCTAGACACCAGCTACAGACGGCCCAGTTAACAGCCCCAAACTCATAAGGGTGAGTATCATGCCAGCCCACGTTCCGATTTTGTCCATATCTTTCGTGAGTGAAGGTACAGTGCCAGCAAATAAACCCATGGCAGCTGCGGACGCCAACCCGTAGAAAATCGTGGACATGTAGAGTCCGGTAGCTCCCTTGACCGCCGCCCAACAGAACATAAGGATACTGCAGAGAGCTACGCAGGGGATCAAGCAATTCATTGGTCTAATGTATCGATCAGCCAAGTAGCCGAGAGGTGCACGAATTGGTAGACCGGCTGCATTGATGATAATAATGAGATTGACACCTCCTGTCTGGGAGAGGTGCAAGACCTCAATCGCAAAAACTTGAATCTGCAAGGAGCCAGTCAGTCTCATCAGAGTGCAATGATTTTGATATGCAAAGCTTACGTAGAAGGACGCAAAATAGAGACTCCAATAAAACAGGAATATACCAAGAGTAAATAACATAGAAGATGGCTCTTTGAAAGCATCCCATTCGATCAGGGGCCCAGACTTTCGTGGAGGTATCCGAGTGCGGACTAGCATTACGATGACAATCGCCATGAACAAAACTACGAAACCCATGCATCGGACAGCCCACGGAAAGCCTTGCGTTTGGAGTTAAGTCAGTCGTTTGATGATTTCTTAATGAGCCAATGGATGACATACCAATTTTAGGTGCTAAGTACTATATCATTGCTGGGAAGATTATTCCCCCCGTGCTAGTACCTGTTGCTGCAGCGGTCACCGCCAGTACCCTCTTGCGCACAAAGTACGTTGATAAGAGCGTCACGCTTGGCAACCACATGAGACCTTGTCCAACACCGATGCAGAGGCCTTGCGCCAAAAAGATATGCCAATACTCGGCAGCCAGGCTTGTCGTAAAAGTGCCAACCACAATTAAGACAGCGCCAGCAGCTACTATGTGCTTCGCCAGACCTGCGTCGGAGGCTCGTCCAGAGAGTGTAGCGATAAATAAAAGGCAGAAGACCTGAAATCCACCAATCCAAGATATGTCTGACGGCGACTGCGTCAAGATGCCTTCGTAGTAGGTCTTAAATACGCCAAAGCTGGAGGCATCGCCCCACGTGAGTGCCACAACAAGAGGGCCTGATACGACTTGAGCCCAGGCATGAAATCCCCCGTCTGGCGCTATTTGCGCCTTCTCATTCTCGGGTAGTAGCAGTACACCGCGGCCACGTGCCTTGGACCGTTGATTGATGGGTAAAGATGGCATACTATCCAGGTCTTTGCTTACGTTGGTGCAATTACCTGCGGCAGACATGGCAAAGAATTGCAGCTTTTTATCTTCGTATTCTTATAGCCCAGTGAGTATTGATGAAATACGGGAACAGGTATCCATACAAGCCAGCAGTGTCAGACTTATCAAAAGCGAACAACAACAATCTTAGTGGCTAACCCGCCCTACTTGTTAGGTGTTGCTTTGGAGGGCACAGCGCAACCCAACTCTACACAAATCGCTCAATATAGCATATGCCGACTGCTTGTATTGCAAAATCATACGTATTCCCGTGGGGGAGCGGGGCGAATAGGTCCACTGATACATACAAACAGCAGTTGCCCTTTTAATTCAACACTTAGACCAAAACCGGGGCAGTATTGTTTTGATGCGTAAGAAAGTGGAACTTATACAAATTCAGTCATTAAGAGTCCTCGTCGTTCATAGTCACTGGAAAAACTCCTTTCACTCATGCCTTCCGGTCCTCTTTGATGAAATCCGCAGCTCTCTCGGCCACAGCATATACCGTAGCCTGAATAGTCCCAACCGTCTGCAAGGGGAATATACTTGCGTCCACTATACGCAAGTTTTTGCAACCGTGTACGAGCAAGCGCTCATTGACGACACCACCCTGTGCTCTCGGCAGCATGGGCAAACTGCCACTAGGGTGGAAAATGGAGATCTGACGTTGACGCACGATCTCCTTGGCGTCATCGAGGCGATTCCCCACAAGGATAGGCAGCCTTTTGCCCCCAGGCTTAAGGGCTGCGCTGAAAGGTGCTGTGCTGATGATTTTCTCTACGTACTGTACATGGCGTGCCATAATCTCGATGTCAAGAGGGTGAGACATGTATTTCGGGTCCCACGCAGGCTTAACATCGATATCAGGGCAAGTTATGTGGACAGATCCTCGTGACAAGGGATGGTTCAGGACTGTGATGACAGTGATATAGTTTTCAGGATGTACTGGTGTGAGAAACTCTCTCAGATGCTTGGGATCCGCTGTAATGTTCGATTGGAATGGTACGAAGAGGTACTGAGCAGTGGGCTCATCAGGCTCTAAAATCACGGTCCGGAGGCAGTCTGACTCGACGTTCCGTTCGAGGTGACTATCCAAGAGAGCTTTCTTTTCATCCTTGGAGACTGGGCCTGACTTATCCACTAGTGAGAGTTGAGCACTGACCAGTGGACTCATACCGAGCGGACCAGCCCCGTTGTCTTTCAAATACAGCTCTGCAGCAGCCTTAACGAGAGACTGGTCACGGAATGCATCAGCGGATGGGATGCCATCAGCAACCTGAAAACTCTGACAGACAATAGCGTGATCCTGCAGATGCTCCCCGACGCCAGGATTGTCTATGATGACGGGAAGCCCCTGGCTTTCCAGCAGTTCCCGTCCACCGATGCCGGACAACTCCAGTATCTGAGGAGACTGCAATGCTCCTGCAGCTAGGATAACTTCTTTTGTCGCGATGATGATTTTGTCTGTTTCCTCGGTTCGGACAACAACTCCTGTTGCAATAACATCGTCTCCATGCTTCTTGGTCGTAACCTTTTTGACAACTGCCTCCGTAAGAACGACCAGATTCTTTCGCGTGCGAACGTCGTCACCATAATAAGCGGTTGCTGACGAGCTTCTTGTCTTTGTATTAGGATCAATGCTCGCTGGATGTTGGAAGGCGCCAATGGCTTTACCGGTTCGCGGGTCAGCCGTGGTGTTCCAACCCAGGGCATTGAAGGTTTCGATCCATGCTCCTTGAACAGCCGAAGTGTATTCCTCGCTGAAGGAAACCTGCACAGGTCCATTGAATGATAGCGTGTCGTCATGATACCCGTCTAGTCCAGTGACAGCACGAGCTCTTGGACCAGGCGTGTGCACCGTACTAAACTTTTCATAGTAAGGAGATAATTCATTAAATGACCAACCAGCATTCCCCATTTTCCCCCAGATATCTAAGTTGGCACGAGAGGGATACATGATGACTTGGTAGTTCAATGCGGACGAACCTCCCAGTTGGCGGCCCCTGGGTTGGATTATCCGCCGGTTGTGCAGCGCTGGCTACAGTCACAGCAAACATTTTAGTGACATCTAGCAATCATCCATAAGATCTGACGCCACGCACCTGGGGGATGGATGAAAAGTTCCAATCATACTTTTCATGACCGAACTGTCCACCGACAAGACCTGGTGTCAGGACAAGAGGGTCCTGCGTATTATCCGAACCGGCCTCGACCACCAGAACACGGATGAGGGCATCTTCAGTCAAGCGAGACGCAACCGTAAGGCCGGCTGTGCCTCCACCTATGACAATATAGTCAAAAGATGTAGCAAGATGTGAGTTAGTCATTGCAAATCAGAAATTATGATCAATAAATAGAGATACGTTTCAATGATTAGTCCATGGGTCATGTATTCTGTTTATTCGATGCTGCCTGCGTAGCGTGTTGCTCGTTTGTTTGGGGAGCCTTGTGTAAACCAGAACGCGAAATAGCTAGATAAATCACCACAGGCATCCACCATCTACCTTCTCCTCACATTTTTATCTTCTTTTCATAGTTTGGGCAGGAGGAATCAGCAATACCCTCCGTATTCTAATTCCCCATCTTGACCACATCTGCAAGCTGCTCGCATATCGTCAGCTGACGTGAGACATAAGCAGTCATCGCCTACATAGTCCATTGAATTGGGTCACTGCCAATGACTAATGTCTCTAACGTGAGCGCTAAAGCATTGTTGGTCGTACTCGCGTTTATAACATTCAGCTGAGACATCAAAACTTCGCGTTGAGATACGTGTTTTTCATCGCATCTAGCACCTGCATAGAATGTTTCAAGGAGAAAGTCATGTGTGCGGAAAAGTAAATTCTGTCAGTGGTAGTATGCCAAGCCCGAAAGGGGTACACGTACGTGCAGAAAAGCCCTACGCAAACAGCAGCCAAATTACTGAAGTGGTTTTGTATTTCTTATGGGGACTATCCAAGTCTTTTTCAAATTGTATCGCCTGGATTACGTGACTGACGTGGCAAGTCAAGATAACTGCGTTCTGGGTGCACTCGACCAGATAGATATCTGTTTGTCACATGATCTAGCTACAGCATTTTGTCGTCAAACACCTGCCTCTAAGCCTGCGAATACTTCACAGAATAGTTCGAACAGCAGAAAAAGAGAAACACGGAAATGAAAATGAACTGAACGGTACTAGCCGATATCTGTCTTAATGAAACTTGACTTTCGAGTGGGACGAAACAACTCCCAGGGTGTGGTTTGGAAGACCATTTCCAAACCATACCTATTGACCCCTACAACCGATAATTCAATGCTACAGTTAATAGTGTCCAGCACACTGATATATAGGCTAACTGTTGATGTCGTCAAACTCTACTTTTAATTACTTGCGAGTTAGCTGCCCCCAAAATATTTCCAGTCTCTCTATTGGGCTTATGGTGGATTGGCAACTTATTACATTATCATCTCGCCTCTTGAAACAGGTGCGCAGTATCTGAAAAACAATATTGTCGCCGTCTGATTCCTTATCACTTTCACTACCCTTCATCTCCAAGCTTTTATATCGGAATTGTAGCCAAATGCAGAGTACAGCGGTACCACACCATAGCTACGTAAGGTTCATATGAGTTGAACTTGTCGCAATCATTGTTTCCAGGGGCCAGTCCTGCTATTCCCTTCAATGCGCTTATGTATGTATTAGATCAATGTAAGGGGTAGCTAGCTTTAGAGAGGGCTATGTTGCGATGTAAGCAACCGCTCACGTCATGCGACGGCTGCAGGTGCAGATCTATCGCCAGATGAGTTCTCCGGGACCAATAGCTTATTGAAGTGACTATAGGCGCTAGTATGGAACATCTAGTATGCTCTTTGAACAGCCGTAAGATGCCCTTTAAGGAACCGAGTGTCTGATGGAAGTGAATTACAGAGTAGGCTTTTAGGCCGTCATTCTCATGACCTGACCACCATCATGACGTTACTGTATCTGCAGCTAAGTTGTACTCGGTGGAATGAAGCGAGCCTTTGAAGCACGATACCTCGATTCTCCTAGAATCGAGAAGAACTGTTCGCTAGATAGGGAAATTCTTGAAGGTACGTCAGGCACGGATATCAACATGCAACCATTTCCAAACACAGCAAATACCTGAATATAAAAGCAGTGAATCGCTCCCACATTTTCCAGCCATCTCCATCCATCAATAAGTCCTTCAAATCTTTCAAAGAATTCTCACACAGAAGCAACAATGCAAATCTCGACGATTACCGCAATCATGGCCTTCGGTACGGCCGCGGCCTCTGCCACCACGATCAACCTCTTCTCTGCGACGAAATGCGCTGATGGCGACTACATCAAGACCTTGGGAGGCTTGAAGAGCGGTTGCCACAAGTTTGGTGTCGCCAATGTGAAAGCTGTCGACACTCGCAACTTGAGCGGCAAATGCACTGGTAAGTAGACAAGAATCGAAGATAAACTCTCCTCTCTATCTTGCGCGTAATCATGGCTTACTTTCATCCATAGTCACTGTTTACTCTGATGCTTCCTGCTCCGACCACGCCACTCCCGCCCGCTTGGACGAATGTGTTCCCCGCGCTGGTGGATGGCAGAGTTTCTCTGTTGACAACTGCTGATTGAGCGGCTTTTGGAGAAACATAGCCCATGGGGTCGGGGATCAGCCCAATCGATTGGGCCGGAAATGAGGGCTATGCAAGGTGCCTGTGGACAATTCTATTCGTGTCATGTTTTCCCTGCTGCAGCAGTATCACTCTTTTACTATGAATAAACCGAGCTCTACATCTTACGTGTTGCGTGCTACGCCTAACGATGATTTCGAGTGATGGCAAGATTCATTTTTCTTGCAGATATGCATATTTCATGGGATACCCCAACACCCGCCCCTGTGATCCAAGCTTCAGCTGCGTAATACGTAATTTAGGTACTCGTGTTGCGACCGATAATGATAGCTGCTGAACTAACCTGAACGTCTTACTTAATTATTCGTAGAGTGGCGCACAGCGAGTCCCAGTGATGTGCTCTTGATCTATCTTAAGCATTTGGTGCAATTATGCATGGATACACTACATACATATGCCATCCTATCTAAGAACACGGTAGGAAACTGGACACAATGGCAATATCGCGCTATAGAATAGCTTATTAAAAGGGGGATTCACTGAATTTCCATAATAATCCTTCCGTCATCTCCATAAATGTGATGGGAACCTTGTCAACCACAGCAGATGTCACAAGGCGTCCTGGGCCATGCCGAATGCGCCAACGAGACATAGTCACAACGCAGTATTTGCTCTAGGCCCTGGTCATCGCAATCGGCCCTACTAGGATGCAAGATTTGCTTCAGGTGAACGCAACTACTCCGTTGGGCCGGGATTATGACATCCATATTGTATCACCGATTAGAATTTGGTCAGTGTGACAAGATCGTCAATCTAGGCATGTAGAAGAAAAGGACCTTTCAAGGAAATTTGCATACCTCGTGCCAGCTTGTGGGGCACGGGGCTGGCCGTATTGCTTAGTAGTCCTAGCTTGACCATTTTGGTTGGCGAAGACAATTGACGGGATTCAGCCCGTCATCAGCCTCGTCTTGTAAGCCTGAGCCGGCCTTAGGGCACAGCCAATCGCGGCGGTAGAACACGAGCAAATATTCTCAAGACACTTCGTCGCATGATCGCGTCTCGGGATGGTATTATTATTCGCATCCTTCTGAATAGCGGAAGGTTTGGAATACAGGCCTATATAACGTGGCATAGCAGTCCACGGTGTGGAGAAAGTACTAATGAGTATTTGACCCCTATCCGCTTCGACACGTACAGGTTTCACTTCATCTAAGATGAATCTCTTCAACCTTGCTCCTGCTATTGTCCTTGGCTTTGCTATGATAGCTGTGGCCAGCCCAACTCCAACCACATCTTTGGGTCAGCGAGCCAGCAATATCTGCCAAGTCATACCAACGTGAGTGCTGGGTCCTCATAACTGCCAGTACAGGACCTTTGCTGAAATGGAACTTTTCGCAGTTGTTGTGCTGGCAGTGGCATCACAGTTCGGGATGATGCCCCCAAAACCTGCTGTGGCTGCTGGGGTTGTTGCTAAGAGGGATGTTTAAATGCGGATGCCCCTTTTCATAAGACACTACGGTTAGGATTATCAGGAGATTGGTACATTCGGGAACCGTGTGCAAGCCACACTCGTCGTCGATGGTAAAATATATGTTGAGGTTCTGGAGTTACCTTGCAAGTTATACCATACCCGAATATGTGGCTTGTTGGGTATATCAGCACTATATCATTTCAAATGCTTATTTCCTTACCAAGTCAAGTGGAGTCATTCCACGGATAACACAGCCAAGAACGGTTGAAAGTTGTCAAGTGCTTGGCATCCAGTGGGGGCGCAGGGTAGAACAGCGGTTGTATGTCTTGTGAACCAAGTTTCCGCTTGGCTAGTCACCGTTCTCCCATTGCCTGCCGGTTTGGGTTCCCGTAAATAAGTGAAACACTCGGGAAGGGCATTTGCCGGTTCTTTGCGCGGCGGTTTGCTCTTGGCCGGTGTTTACCTAGGTACAGACAGACATCAGTCGTCTCACGCTGCACGCATCGAACAGAACAGCAGATAAGCCACCATGCCACACGGGCAAACCAGCCTGCCAGGCATCTGTCCTCATCACGAAGACGACGACGCACCCGTCAGACGGACGATCCCGACAACCCCGCCCCAGAGCCGAAAATAGCGCCCGAAGCTGGTGAAAAATAACCCGAGGCGCTAACTGCCGGGAAGACAGGACGAACACACAGCAGACAGGGGTCCCCCCAAGCCGCCAACACTAGCTAATGGAGGTTAACCGAAATCCTCCAGACACCCGACAGGAAGCCAGGAAGCCAGGAAGCGAGACGGGAGGACATGGAGCTCACCGCTGTGACGTCATGCCTCACGACCTGATCTGTCGGCCCAACGCCAACACGAACCATCCAGCCAGCATCCCCCATCCCGGCCGCCATGCGGGAATTAGCCCGTCTGAAGCCTCCAAGACGTCGGGTTGGAACTAGTCGTTATTGGGCGGGGACTGGTACGGCAAGTATGGTTTCGTCAAGTCGGATCGCGAAATTGCGGTCAGCAGCCTGGACCCTGTGAATCTCTAGCATCATCGTGCGTTTCGCCGACTTGTGGTTGCGCGAGACCATAACTCGTGATCCCCTATGCTGCATTATCTCTTTCTGACCCCACTGCCGTCCGTCTGCGCCGTGTCCATGTCCCACGTTCCCCTAGCCAGCGAGAGGATCATCCCATTTCCTAACACTGGTCGAGCCTCACGCGACCTGCCCTGATCTGCCCTGGCCTGCTTTCTTTTCCTCCTGCCTTTGGTGGCCCCTCCATCGGCTTTGCTTCTTCAACTCTGCCGCCCCCTACGTGCATACAGATCGAGGCGGCTAGCGAGCTAGCCAAGACAACGTCGCCAGGATGAACTACGCTAATATGATCGAGGAGAAAAACCTCAAAGTACGTGCTTGCAGTCTGCATGTCTCAGTGGAAGCCCTGGCTCACCCTACCGCCAGAAAACCTTCATCATAGCGACCCTGTGTTCAACACTCGTTGGCACCTTTACCTCGTCCATCGGCCTCTGGGACCGCGTGGCGGACAAGCGGAAGCAGAAGAAGAGGGACACGAAGCAGGATGGCGAGATTGCCCAGCTGAAATCCCAAATCGAGCAGGCAGAGAAGCGCAGCAAGGAAGCCGAAGACCGGATGAGAGACCGCGATCGGGGCACAGACGATGTCGGCTACGCCCTCCAACGATCCGGCGCTGCCATCAGCAAAGAGTTCGACGACGGCTATGCACGCCTAGGCCGCAGGTTCGCTGTCGGCGACGCGGCCACGGAGAACAAGCTGCAAGCCCAGGTCATTGCGCTGCAGCAGACCGTCATAAACGTCCTCCAGGATGCACTGTACAGCGGCCGGCAGCTCGACCGGGTGGACATGGCCAAGCTCATCGCTGCCTCCAACGCCGCCCGCGACGGCTCGCTCGACGCCCTCCGCCAGCAGCGTGATCGGCAACTGCTAGCGCTCGAAGCGCCGCCGCCGCCGCAAGCCCTTCTACCACCGAAACGGTCCTCGACGGTCTTGGAAACCGAACCGCTTTACTGCAGGTACGCGTTGGATCTACAGTACATCAGAAACAAACCCCTTGCAGCGAATTTCGCCCCTGGCGGCAGCTGCAGATGCCCCGATTGTGGCGTACGGTTGGATGTAGAGTCGGACGACTTCTGGGTCATTGACAAGCGTGCGCCTCGCCTCATTGCCGACGGGAGGTACGAGAGGGAAGTCATCGAGGAGCGTGAGTTCCACCTCGGCCAGCGCTTCGTCGTCAAATGCCACACGCCCGATGGTGAGTACGCCTGTGTCATCTGCAGCAGGCATCGGGAACGAGATGCTATCTGTCCCTCTGTTTCGTCGCTCATCAACCACGTTGGACGGTTTCATGATATGAAGGAACTCGAGAGCGAGGTTGACATTGAGCCGAGGTCGAAGGCGAGTCCAGGAGCGCGACTTCTGGCGCTCCCGGCCCCTCCGCCGAAGCAGCGAGCTCTAGAGTATAACCCGCCTGTCCGTCAACAGGACGATTTCGACTACAAGTCGAACAGCGGCGGTGGAATCGCTTCGGCCAGAGCTTCCAACTACTCATGACAGAACCCAGCCATTTTCAATGAAAGTTAATGACAACCAAAGTTGTTTCGCATCACATATATTAGACTTGGCGTATATAATGGAATGGGCAAGGAGTTCCGGCACGGGTTTAGCGAATCCGACACCAAACAGGACAGAACTGGGTTGGAATAGAAACTGAGTTGAACACCACTCGATTATATATGAGTCCTTAGTACCTTGATGAGTGGCACTCAAACTTGAGGGGCCACATACCTAATTTGTCAAAGCCGCAGCCCTTATGAACGCAGGCCAGATAATTCCGGTACCATTTTTCAAGAGTCCATGCACAAATCTTTGGTATAGTTTTATTTGATTAAATGTTGATGGTTACCGCAAGTGAATCGCCTCACCAGTCTTGAATCACATATACACTAGAACTCGATAATCCATTACCCCTTTGCATGCCTCCACGTCCCCTTGCCAGCCAACCTCCGCCTCGTAGCCCGTTTCCGGTTCAGCTCGGGGATCTGATATTCACTCTTGCGCTCCAGCCTCACGGTCTCCCAGAAGTCGTACCCACGCTCTCTCTTGCGCCGGCCCAGCCTCTCGCGCTCCTGCTTTAACCTATTCCGACTCAGCCGCGCCTCCTTTTGCTTATCCGTCCGCATCTTCCCCAAGTTCTCCTTCATGCCAGCGACCCCGCTCCTCGAGACGCGGAAGACCCATTTGAACCCGCTCTGCACGCGGCTGCTGAACGCCGCGACAAGCGCAAGGGCGATGAGCCCCGCCGACGCGGGCAGCGAGATGGCGCCGATGTCGCGCAGGCTGACAAAATTGTCCTCGTCGCCGCCCCACTCCTTGGTGTTCATGCCGAAAAGGCTGGTGAAGAAGCTCAGGGGCAGGAAGATGACGGTGAAGGTCGTGAAGATCATGACGCTCAGGTTCTGCGTGCTGGCCAGTTCCGTCTGCAGGCGGCTCCAGCGCACCTCGTCCACCTGCGCCTGGCGCTGCACCATCTCCAGCAGCTTCTCGTAGTCCTTGCGGGTCACGTCGATGCGGTAGCTCATGTCCGAGACCTGTTTGTCGTAGTCCTCGAGCCGTGCCAGCGCCTCGTCCAGGAACGCGCGCCCGTTGTGCGTGTGCTCGCGCAGCTCGGGCTTGTCGTACAGGTCGCGCATCTTCCCTATCACGTCTGTCTGCTCCGCGAACAGCGTCTTCATCGTGTTGAGCTCGTCGTCCATGTCGCGCAGCTCGAGGAGCGCGGACGTGTTCTCGCGGTTCTCTCGCTCAGCCTGCTCGAGCTCGCGCTTGTGGCGCTGCTTGATGGACTCAGAGCGGTTGTCCTCAAAGTCGGAGCCGTCTGAATCGGAATCGGCGATCCTGTCTCGGAAGGTCTGCATTCTGAACCGCTTGAGAGAGGACGTCATGCGCTCGGTTAGAATGCCGATGGCCTCCTCAAAGATGCGGAATATCTCGAGGTCGGGGTGCGAGGTCCTGTCCAGGAGGACGGTCACTGCGTGCAAGGTAATGAAAGCTGCGAGGTCTAGGGAGTTCTCGCAACGTCCGGTCAGGTCACCGTTGAGTTCGTTATAGACGCTGTTCCTCAGATCGGCCTGTTGAAACATGGGTCCTTCTGTTGGGTGCGAATCCCTCTTCGGAAAGAAGGTAGTCAGTGTAGTAGTGTCAACCGCCCAGAGCCAGAGTTGGTCCACCATCAAGACGTTGCCGTCTAGCAGATCTTCCTCTATCTCGGTTGTGGTTTCGCGCTTGTCGTGGATGAATAGCTCTGACTTAACAGTGTCGACTACGGAAGCGAAGCGGCCAACTGGTGACGCTGTAGACTGCTCTCTCATCGCCCGAGTCCGGAATATGTCTCTTTTGTTCTTGAATGGGAGGGTGATGCGCTCCTTAGTAAGCTTGTAGAGCATTTGGTCATCGTCGCGCGCATAAGTATCTCGAAGCGATGGATATCCATACTGATCAATTGTGCGACGGGTATTCAGCGGTGGATCATGTCCGATGAACTCCCAAATCACTCGGAGATCAAGCGAATCCAGTTCGGCAACATCTTTAGGCACGGGCCTTGCCCTACCATGACCCATGCGCCTACGAATGATGTTTCGCCGCCGTACAAGGTTGAGATATGTATCAAAGTGCAAATAAGGAAGGTAGAGGTAGATGTGTGGTGGGCTGTTCAGTGCTGGACTACTGCGTCCGCTAATACTTGGTGAGGGAGGGCGAGGGGAATCTGTGACCGGTTAGTTTATGTTGACATTTATAAAGAGTGTCACTTACGAGCTTCGGCTGGCACAAAGCCGCAACCCGGCTTCACGTAGGAGGCATGAGCTTGTCCATGCCGTCCATGTACATGTCTATCGACCCAGTACTCATTCCTCAGTAGTCGTGTATAGTTCCATTGTTGGCTTTCGGAGAGTTTATCAAAGATACTCTGAACGATCATCAGCGTCGAGTAGAAAAGTCATACCAAGGCAGCTTACCTTGACCCAGTGTGGGTTGGTGTACGGCAGGTGAATCCACATAAACTTCCGCTTTGAGGGGTCAGGTCGAGAGAAGCCGGCCGTCAATTCCTGCAGGGCTGATACTCGACTGATTCTGTCCTTTCTAGCCTTTGCAGCAGTTGGATTGAAGTCGCGCTCGTCAATGCCCGGAACAGCATCCTGGGTGGCCTGGGAACCTAGGGGCTCTATTGGAGTGGTGTTTGGTGAGATGTTGTTCTCAGTGGCGTTGATCAACGTATGTGCGGTTTCATCGCTGTCTGTCGGATCACTGCGATTGCTTCCCTGACTACTCGGTCGATGAAAGCCTGGCGTCGAAAGGGAAGGCACAGTAAGTCCACGGCTCCTCAAGGGCATTACTGTGGGCTCGGACACGACACGGCCTTGGCCTTCGGCAATGGCCGGCCGCTGACCATGGTTCGTCACCACAATTTCGGGGCGTGCTTCACCAGTCTCTGGATGTGGATGTGGGCTTGATGGTGAACTTCCAGAACGAGCAGAGCCACCAGAAAGGATCCGTTGTCCAAGCCCCTGAACGTTGTTCCATATACCTAGGGCGCCAGACCCGATGTTGCCGAACCCGCCGGAGCTTGGCCTTGGTGGAGGAAGCGTAGCTCCTCGCTGCGGTTTGGCCGCCACTGTGTTCAGACGTTCTCTCAAGCAATCTTCCGGACCTTTCTGTAAAAACTCGTTCAGATAGTGTTTTGACACGTAGAGTCTGACATCAGACACAGTGTCGGGATCAGGGTCGTCATAGAACCCAATAAGCTCCAGCTTGACGTTGTCAGCCAACTTCAGCGGCGTATGGACGTAAGATGAGCTGAGCTTCTGAGCCTTCTTGACAGCCTGTCCCAGATCCTGTAGATAGGAGTCCATAGTCCGCATATTTTTGGAACCGAAAGATGCGCAATTCGTATGCACACTCTCAAGAGAGAAGGCTTGTTCGTATCTGCCTCCTACCAGGCATGATTTAATGGACGCAAGCGGAGCACTGAAGTGGACCTCGTCGAATTCAGACACGCCGAGGCCAGAAAGCTGAGAGTCCATAGTCTCGTAGAAAGTCCATATATGCATCTCGCTTGCGATATCAGTGAAGCGGTCGTGGAGCTTCAGCAGCGGACGGTGGTTGAGCCGAAGCTCGTCAGTCATTGACCGCGGCAAAGGCGTTGACAGGCAAAGAAGATGTTGAATGCTATCACGAAGATTTGGCATCGACATATAGCTTGAACCACGGTGAGGCGTGGCTGGGACGTTTCAGCACGGTATGAAAACCAGTCAGAGATCAGACTCACCGAAAAAGGTCATTCCATGACAATCAAATATGATCCAACGCAGTTTCTCGTCCTGACTCGCCTTGACAAGTGCCCGCTTGGCTACCAAGCCACCGATACTATGGCAAATAAAGAAGATCGGCCGCGCCTTTTCGTGGCCCGCGCGCATTTGGCAAAGGTTCTGAATCAGATCATCGGCAAGCTGCTCCAGGGTGACACCCTCTTGTAGCACACGGTGCCGATACAACATCACGCGCGCAGTGTCTGCCTCCATGCGGATGCCCTGCCGAACCCACAATGGTTGCGCCTTTGGTAGATGTCGGTTGATCGCGGGAGAAAGGATGGCATGCCCGGGGAGCTCTTTCGCAGTCGGATAGCTCCCCAACTCCGCTTGCGTCGTTCCAAAATACCCTTCCGGCAGCGGATCTCTCGTCCATGTGTCCAAAGGTGAAGCACCCGGGCAAGGCACAGCGATAATATCAACCTCGGTCTCATTGTAGCCAGGGCCATTGATATCTCCATCGACTAGATCGAAGCCGGGTTCAGGGTTCCAGTGAGAGTAGCTTTGGGGAGTTGAGCTCGCGGGATGGTCTTGTATGTCTGCCGTAGCATCATTTTGCGGTCCAGGCACCCTGGGCTCTTGTCTGATCCGCCGCTCCCCAGGATCGGAGGAGGTTCTGCGATGCGCGGCTGTGAGCTGCTGCAACTCCACCCCTGTGCCTTCGTGTTGCTCTCCCTCAGACACGTCCGCCATTCTTTCTTCTCTGCTCTTCGCAAGAAAGCAATACCGGGTTGAGATCTTATGCCAAAAAATACAGCCTCATGGCAGTAGTGACGCGGTCTTCGTGCCAGCAGTCTCACACGCGACCAAGTGGCGCCGGATCCTCTAATAAGCACCTCGCCGCACTGAGCTTGGGCGGACAGGTCCCACAAGGCTGCGTGTTCTGCGTGTTCTGCCTATTGTTGCTTCACACCACCATGCACACACAGCCATGTTGCATCGGGCCCGACAAAGCAAAGTCTAGCTGCTGACATCGCCCACACGAGAACGCCAGGTTGCTCTTCACCTGACTCCAGATTAGAGGATCCGCGACGTACAGTTTAGCGGCCGCGCTTCTGCTGTGATTGGGTCGACGTAAGCGGAAGATCGGCAGCCCTCAGCCCAGCTGGGCTCATAGATGATCCTGCGGGTGTGCTCCCTGACCGCTGATTGGAGAGATGCTTGCACCACAACGCACCATAGGTGGATGCAATTGCAGGTTGACTAAGAAAAACGCTGCATCGTGACATATTGGAGGAGGAATGTGAGGGTATGTATGGTCTCATGCTGCGAAGGACGGACGACCAAGCATGTTACGCCGATGAAAAACGGTTGGTTTCGTAGATGCCACAACGAGGGGAGACATAGGTATACGCCAGGTACGTACCCCAACCGCGTTATCCCAGCGGTGCGGGCCGGAAGTCTAATGACGTGCCCCACTGCATTGCAACCACTGTCGGGGGCGGCGGCAAGAACGGCAACTAGAAGCAGATTCATGATTCAAGTTCAAGTCACTTTCTGGAAGGACGCCTCCGTCCTTGGGTCTCTGTGCGAATATGCCCGTGTAAATGAACGGATATCCATGCCTTTGCGTAGGGTTATACTGATGTTTTCACTCAATCCTTGATCGATCAAGTTTGTTTCCGCGGCATCTGAGAGCTTGCCAAAACGCAGCCACGAATAGTTCCTACATAGTCTGTGAAGTATTGTGTGCCAGCCCTGCGACAGTAAATCGAGTCAACTTGCACTATATACACTCCATCGTTCCAATGCATAATCTACTGCGTCCCGCTAGTAGTTAAAAGTTATAGAGACCTTGGTTAAGAATCTCTATCTTGCGGGTGCGACACCACATTAACCCACCACGATGTTGGGTTGAGCCAAGCTTTCAACTTGTAGTAGCATCTCATTTCAGATTTGGGATACAGTTTCGGAGTAAAGTATCTCGTTTAGCATGCCCCAAGGTTACCCTTATAGGCTACGTCTCTACAAGTGTCTCCACATCTTCAATATTGGGATCCCGTGAGTAGACGCGTCGGAGGCAATATCTCACCTATCAAATCTTTACCAACGAGTGGCTTTTCCACCACTTGGCGTGTTGGTGTCGAATCAAGGCAAATATACGTCTTAAGTTTGGATACTTCATTCGCCACTAGGCGCATTGTTGTGTTTGGTCTGCAATATCCATCAAAGTTAGGAGTACCCAACCAAGCTACACGATTATGACTATTATAAAGAGATCAACTGACTTACAATTACGGAGCTTCACAAATTCACCTTCATCTGTAAGGACTGAGTCTGTCTTCTCCTTTTATGACTAATCATGCCGCTTGGCCTGGCACCGAGTATCCACTCGCTAAACCCTAAGCGCTCCACACCTCGGACTCACGATGGCTTCACAATTTCCTACAAATCCCGCAACAGCTGCAACGTCTGCAACATCGATGACTAATCATCTGAAGGTTAAGGGGATGTGGTCTAGTGGTATGACGTTTCTTTCGCATGTTCTCGGAGCATAGAAAAGGTTCGGGGTTCGATTCCCTGCTTCTCCATTTCGTTTTGCTATAGGCGGGCTCTCTTTTTGCAGGTCTGTTTGACGAAGGCTAGCGCTACTTCTAGCAAATTACCTGATACTCTTAGCATGGTGTCGATATAGGTCGCATTTAAAAGAGAGCGGAGTGGCTAAAGATTACATCTCTTATGAGCCAGAACTGGGGCGCTCTATGTAAGGGATTGTCTATATCAGTCCATATATTGGTGCGATTCACTTCTGCCATTCATTCAACGCCGAATAAAATACAGCGCAACATTTAAACGTCACAATTCAATAAGTAAGACTGAAAAAGTAAGCCACTCCGCGTAAGATCCGTCCCAACGTGGTTGCACATCTCGTGTATCACTTGAAAATCAAGTAGCTGGAGGCTTTGGGGACATAAGTTAGAATTTATTTGTCAAAGCTGTCAGGAATAGAAATGATAGTCGCCCATGCCTGCTATAGTCTTCAAGGTTGAATCATGTCGGGATCTTGAGATGTGAGAACCACCTCCACGAGTGAGCTGCATTGTAGGAAATATACTCAGGCTTGCCAAGCTCTGCCAGTGCCTCATCCAAGGCTTGGACGAGAGCTTCATGGTCAGCCACATCCACTTGGTAGGTTCGACGTTCAGGCTGGTGTTGACATCTTGAAAGGCTTTCTTCTCGATATTCAGTTGTTCCGCAATGCCTAGCAAATAATGCAATGTTGTGATAGAGTTTTGAACCGAATAAAGCCATGACCGAACGACCAATCCAGGTCCAGAACCAATCACGAACAGGGTTCAATCTGGTGATGCCATGGTGTAATGGTGCAATGCAGTCAATGTAGCTGACTTGGTTATTGGGAAGCAGGTGTAATAGCGAGTCCAAGTAGATGGGTTCCGGTGATGGTGTTGGCTGCTTGGTTTGACTGTTGAAGTATGAGATGTACTGTAGCGGCTTCTGGTCCTAACTATGATGACTTCTTAAACGCTAGAATCCTCGAGAATTTAATGACAAAGACTATCTAACGTCAGTACTGGGGGACCAGCCAATATGGGCAAAGTCGCAGCATTGTCTGCCTATACTTCGGCTCTTTTTCTTCCAGGCGTAGTGTTGTAATCCTAGATTCTGGTTAGACTTTACGCCGGAGAACGTAGTGCTCGGTCTTGTTGGGATTCGTGCCAGAGAGCTTTCCAGAGAACGATGTTAACTAGTCATTGTTGACTGGTGTATCTTAGACCGGCGAATCGTCCCTCTCTCCATGTTCGAAATTACCTTCGGTAGCTTCAAAGGACTGCCCTAAAAGGATACCTTTTGGCTCACGAGCCTCTCGATCAGCTTCAACAGTTCCTAATTTGCGACAGAGTTCATCGTTCAAGGCTTGATAGTATCTGTTTACGGACACCAAACATGGCTGCTGTGTATATACGTACCAATACTTTGCACAATGTGCCAGCTGGTCTACATCATGAGAAAGCAGCATATGACTAAAGAGATAATATAAGGTGTACTAGCTATCTCTGAATATAACGCGCTGCAAGCAAGAATAATAGCCAAACATTGGCCAGTCAGGTACGACGTTCATGTTTGGGCCTTATGACTGGCTTCGGTTCGACGAACGACGCACTTCTTGGGCTTGAGAAAGCTGCGAGTCTCCTTTTTCTTCTTGTGGCGAATGCGATTCGTCGCCACGGACGACTGCTCTCCCAATAATTATTAGTGGCTGATTCAGCTGATAGCTCATACGGGCTATAGCCTGCTATGCCTACTCGCCTCCTCAATTAAGAGCTTTTCCTTGCATTCAGGAACAAACCCAAGGCATCAAAGTACTGTGCGCTATTGTATTTATCTTAATGCTTATGCCCTTCTGTTCACGCTATTCGCAATGCACCGCGGAGATAGGATTATCTGGACTCCATCACTCATTCTACAATGCTGAACACGACACGGTTGAGCCTATATGAAGGCTGTTGAACGTCTACATAGTAATTGGGAGCCGTGCGGCTTTGACCTCGAACTGAAGTCCAACGGTGACGCACATGGAATTGAAGCTTCGTCAACCTTGTCACAATGAGGGGTGCCAGGGGCCGATGGCGCATTTGTCGGAAGCATTATTGAGCTTTAGGAGACGCAGAGGAATATACAACAACGGTTCACGAGCCGACATTGCTAGTAGGCCCCAACAAAGGAAGCTTACGGGAAGGGATATTCTGGGAGTGAGTCCACTAGAAATGCCGGCGAAACACAGACCGATACCATTCAATGTCCAATAAATGCAATTGATCTGGCCAGATACATACACAGTATACATTTAAGTAATGATAGCCCAGATTCTTCCGTATGTTTCTTCACTTCTCCCATCTGACAGTTGTGCGAAGGAACTGAATTACGTGGGATCACTATGTGGTGCTAGTCCCATATGAGATGGGACATTGCCGTCAGGTTTGAATTCTTGGGCCCGCTTAGTCGCTAAAGCTGGCCATGATGGAATCATGAGCCACCCGAAGGTCAAGACTCATGCGGCCAGGTCGCGACTTTGGGCCATCGTCCTTGGATCGCTGCCATGCGTTCAGCCCCCATTGGCTGCGCCCACTGACGAGCGCTTTACTAATTACGAAGTCTCTGCTTCTTCCACTTGGTACTGGCTTGCAACACGCACATGCTAGTGACCACCCCGGAAGAAAAGTGCTTGCCAGGGCTGTGGCTATGGGTTTGAGTGCTGGGGCGAACCACCGCTGAGGCAGTAGACATTTCAAGGAGGCATGGCCCGTCTACTCCAATCATCACTCAAGGGCCGAATCCAGTAGCGAACAGGTCGACGTCCCAGCCCGGCTGGTGCGCGGGAGATGAGTGGATGATGAGGGCGTCGTGGAATTCGTCAGACTGCGGGACATGAACACTCATTCAAACGCTTGGCTGGCAACCTCCTGGCGTCCGTATCGGCCGGTCCACATGGCAGATAAGAAGGCTCAGGCACGGCACGTCGTGTCTGAGTGTCGGGCCAGTCCAAGAGCGGGAACGAGGCAGTCTTATGAACGCGAAAAGCGTGGACCCCTGCAGTGATTTACGCGTGGAAACAGGGCGGCTTCCGACGATGGTCACGATCTGTGGCCGAAATTGGCCTAATGCGGACGGCGGGGCCTGGCGGATTGAGTCTCAGTCGGCTCCTGACGCGATGATTGGTGAGAGGAGCAGACGAGCTCATGACCTGCAGATCCGGGCGGTGCATAGTGAGACTCTCTTGACGCTCGCCTGGCAAATCAGGACGGCGCCCTGGAGTTGCATGAAGCGTTTCCAAGGCCTCTGGTGCATAAGTTCCCCCTTGCACCACGAACCTGGAAGCCGTGGAGCGCCTCTGCGCATTGAAGCCGGCTGAAATTGCCCAGATTGCCAGAGAGGCCAGAGGAGCGCTGGAAAATGGGCCCCACCGGCCGTCAGTTCTGGAGCTAGAGGCGCCATAGGTGCCCATTCATTGGCTTCCCTGGGGATACACGGCGGCCAACACCAACTGCACGCGTCCGCTACACGCCAAAGTAAAAAAAAGTCTGCCAGTACCAGGTCTGCAGGTCTGCCCCGTCCGTCCAGGGCCCAGGTGGGTGTCTGCCCTGTCTGCCAATGCCTCCCCGCGCCCGTCGCCCGTCGCCCGTCGCCTGTCGCCCGTCGCCTGTCGCCCGTCGCCTGTCGCCCGTCGCCTGTCGCCCATCGCCCATCAACCCATCTGACTTGACCGATCCAATCTTGACTTTCCGACCTGCATGCAAGCCTGTTTGAGGTCTGAGCGTGCGGGTGCCATTCCATTCTCTCATTTCAGACGCCTGCTCGCATTGCCGCACGGCGTTGATTCGCGCATCTCCCCCGGCTCCAATCCTCCCTCGGTCACCCCAGAGTCCCGCGCTCTGTCTGGCTAACAGCGGGCGCGTGCTGATCCCACCTGGGCGTGCTAATCTCGGCGTGCAGCCCTCCAGACAGTTACGGTACACCTCCAGCGCAGCATTAAGTTACAGTAGCACCCGTCGGCCTCGCCCTGCGCGGCCACCACCCAAGACCCAAGACCCCCCGCAGCCCGTCGTCGTATCGAAAGCACTCGCTCACACACCTGGTGCTGCAATAAGACGCCTCGATTCCCTCCTCACACCCGCCTCGCCACTCTCCGTCCTGTTCCCCTCCTCTCCTGCGCCTAATCTGAGGATACCCGTACCAGACCATACCTAAAGGTATCAGATCGTACCCTACACCACTGGCTGGACTCGCGGAGGAACAACAAACAAATAAACAGACAAACAGACAAAGCAAGACACCGTCGGCGCCGTCTCTCACCTCGGCCAGCACACACTCGCTCTGTCCAGCATCCATTGGCGTGTCCGGACGTTTCTTGGGCAGAGCAAGCTCGTCGCCGCACGGTTGCGCTGGCATCAATCAGATCAGTGTGAGCTTTCTCTTTCGACAGCTCGACTGGGTACAGTACCTGGCTCGACTCCACCACGTTCAACGGCAATCGCTCCACCATGGCTGCTGTCACTCGTCAGCCCTTTGCTCCCCTCGACGGGGCCCGTCTCCAGACATTGACGAGTTTGAAGAACAGACAGAATGGTATGTTGTTGTCTTGATCCTGCCCGTGAGCACCGACACCCGCCCCGTCATCAATAAACCGCCGCAAGTGCCCCTCCAAGTGTTGCGTCGCGTCTTGGTTCCTGTACCGCTCCCAAACAAGTGAAAACCACCCCAATTGAACTGCCAAATGTAGCAATCAATGCTCTACTCTTCAATGGCCTATGCTCGCTCAATCCCTGTGCGCAATTCTCCGTTTTGCCTCGTGACACTGACCAAATTACGCGCAGCTATCACTACTGCGTCCCCTGTGAAGCGGAAGGCGTCCGATATCGTGGATGCGGATGATTCCGAGAATGTGAACCCAGTGCTCTTCTCTAAGCGATCAAAGGGCGCCGACGGCTTCTCTCTGCCCAAGGACTTCATCAAGCCGGCCTCTTTCGTCCTTACCAAGTCTGCGTCTACCAGCAACATTGCAAGCCCGCCCAAGGCCGTCACGCCTCGTCCTCGAAGCCTGTTGCACCCAAAGTCCCCAGCTGCAAAACTCAACACCGGCATCGCCAAGTCCTCTCCGCTCTCCGCCCCAGCCGGTCGCTCTCCGACCCGTGGCAAGCGCACCGGTCTTCTATCTTCGCGGCGTCGCACTGCTGGGTCGTACGGTCGTATCGACCCTCCCGTCTTCGGACTTGGTGCCTCGTCCAGCTCCTCGCCCGCCCCATTCTCACTGGACGCTGCTCTCAAAGGCACGATCCCAAGTTATGTCAACCGCACTGGCTCGTCATCTACCAGATCAACTGGTTTGGGTGATCTCCTAGACGCCCCGGCGAGTTCGTCCTGGGACTTCGATATCCATGAGGATACCGCAGAGCAGGAGATGACCAATCTGCTTCAGCACAGCACTTGTGTCTTGGACATCAGCTCAGACGAGGAGAGCGAGAGCCGCCGGGAAAGAGAACTCGCCGAAGGCAAGGAGAACGTGCCTCCCATGGATGACGTTTCCCAGACGAGTCGTCCAAGGGCTGCTCGCGCAGCAGCCGACCTGGACGATATGATCATTGAGAAGCAGCGGAACCCGCTGGGCGAGATGAACGTCAGGGACTACTACGCCGAGGGGTGTGACGAGTCGAGCATCGTCGTCATCCCCGGAGATGAGGACGAAGAGCCACAACCTGCCGCGAATGAGTTCCAGTTCGCTCCCGAGCTCAAGACTGCTGATTCTGCGGAGACAAAAGTGCCTACTCCAGAGCTGGCGTCCGAGCCGGCGTCCGAACCGCAGCCAGACGATGGTGCGAAGACGGTGGATGAGTTGATGCAAAAGACGGAAGAGCCAGCTCCAGGTGCTGCCCTTCTCCAACCCATCGATGGCACTGGCGACAGCTTTGAGGTCTGGGAAAGCGGGAGCGCCAAAGATGAGACCGAGGTGGCAGTGGATTGCTAATGACAGTGGATGATGGAGACGAGGTTTACGAGGCATACGTTCCATGGGCCAGCTCAAGTGAGTGGCTTCACACTGTCGCTAATAATTGTGAAAGGGTAATGAAAAGGAGGAGTCTCCGGAGTTCTTGGGCGTTTTCTCGAGAAGCCATGGTCGGCTTGGGTATACTGGTTTTGGGTCCACGTTCTGGTACGAATTATGTATATACGTCTGTCTTCTAATGAATTCGGGCGTTCGAGTTCTGAATACCAGCAAAGTTTTTGACTTGTTCATATCACAGCTATACTGTGCTCTCATTTGGTCTGCTCCCGAGACTGTCACCATGGGGAAGTTGGCGATCAGAACGGCAGCACCCCGTAACCTGCAGGCCCATCACGGATGGCTTCGCCCACACAGCATCCCGCCCGGTTGGGCCTCAAGACCTATTATGAGACTAGGCGGGTATACGAGCGGCTACGGTTCCTAGGCGCTTGGAAATGCTTGGGTATAGGTAGACTTGCTGCCGCCTTTCTTGCCACCCAGTGCCGGGTTCACGTGACCGTACCGACCACTCAACGCGTCGTCGGCGATCAGCGCGACGTATGATGGTGGTCTTACAGCGCTTCACACGTCATGCACACATTGTGAAGCGTCAATGCATCGTGAAACGCGGCAGCAGGTAGCCAATTGAGTCTGTCCACTGCTGCTGTTGTACATGTCCATACCACCCCGGCGCTGATCAATTGGCCCCGCGCGCTGCTCGTTCACCCCGCAGAGGAGTCTATGTCCACAGCGCAGCTAAGCTCAAGCTACAGCTCCGGCTTCTCCAGCTTGCCCACCCAATCATCCCGACCAGAGGCCCTAGATCCCCGAAACTTGAGACACCACAATGGCGTCTATCAACGACCTCGCGACCGCGGCCACGATCGCTTCGTCCGCCGTGGCTCTGCAGAGCTCGCCCCAGCAGCAGGCGTCACAGCCTGCTGCTCAAACATCGCCCCCGCCCCAGGCGCCCCTAACCCCTTCTTCTGCGGCCGCGGCAGTGCCAGCCCCTGCCGCCAGCAGCAGCACCACCACCCCGGGGCCTACTCCGGCACCGGCACCGGCACCGGCTCCTCAGAACACGCCACCGGGACCCTCGGCTCCGGTGCTGGCAGCACCCCAGATCTCGCCGTCGAATCTGCCCCCGGCGCAGGTGCCTGCGTCAAAATCACCGTCCGTGCCGGCGGCTGCTCCGGCTCCCGTGGACGGGGCCGTTGCAAACGCGGATGGCGCCGCAGCCAAGTCAGCCGCTCCGCCGGCGGAGAAGAAGAAGCCGGTCCGGGGCGCCTTTATCATCTTCGAGGGCATGGACCGCGCCGGCAAGACGACCCAGGCAAAGCTGCTCCAGCAGCGGTGCATCGAGGAGGGCAGGACGGTGCGGTTCATGCGGTTTCCTGGTAGGTTGTTGCCCGTATGGTGCCGTTGGTCAATCAAGAATTTCGAGTGAATGTATGGGTCGACTGTAGAGGTGTGCCAGTGACAGGTTCACGGGGATTAGATGCTAAAAGTCCGCAGACAGGACGACGCCGATCGGTCAGATGATTGACGCATACCTGAAGGGCCAGACGGATATCGAAGACCACGTCATTCACCTCCTGTTCAGCGCCAACAGATGGGAAGCACTGTCGGTTTGCTCCAGAGCCCTTATATGCGTAGTCTACTAACTCTGCAACCAAGGAAAACTATCCAAAGCGCCCTGGCTTCAGGCACCACCATCATTTGCGACCGCTACTACCATAGTGGCATTGTCTACAGCGCGGCAAAGCAGAACCCTTCTCTTCCGCTGTCCTGGGCCAAAGCACCCGAGGTCGGACTGCCGCGGCCTGATCTTGTCCTGTTCTTGGACCTCGAGGAGCAGGTCGCCCGTGAGCGCGGCGGCTGGGGAGGAGAGATCTACGAGAAGGGCGAGATGCAGCGACGCGTGCGCGAACTGTTCTGGGGTTTGAGTATGGGCGATGTTTCATCCAACACCAAGGGCAAGGGGAGGGAGGAGAAGGCCGCCGGCGAGAACGGGGCCGAGAACGGCGCCCGGCGCAGCAGCAAAGCCGGAAGCGACGGCTTCAAGCCGGGCGGTGACAAGGGCGAGTTCAGGCAGGAGGAGGAGGATATCCAAATCATCGACGCGGACCTGAGCGTCGAGGAACTGGCCGAGCGCGTCTGGGAACATGTCCTACCGCGTTTGGAGGCTGTTGAGAGGGGTGAAGTGGGAGACAAGGTGAGAGTCGTTAGATGATGGACTTCGCTGATTCAGAAGCCAAGTAGTTGTTCACACACTTGGGATGAATTGCATAGCCTCAAAAGTTCAGACCAAAATACTCCCACGAGTTTGAAATTCGCCTCGTCCTGCGGCATTGACTTGTCGGTATATTGATATCTGCTTACCCAACTATAAACAATGCGACAGTCTTTGCCATCAAGCCTATTTACTAAACTGCCAGTATTCAAAGTTGAAAAGGAAGTCGGTGCCACTACCCGTGAACTTGAAGAACAGATCCTGGGTCCCCGTTGCGCCGTTCACGGAGCACGTCACAGTCTTGTAGGTCTGCCACCCGCCTGTACCGGGAACGGCGCAGGTGCCGACCAGCGTGCCGGTCGAGCTACCTAGGCGCAGCTCGATGCTGCCGCCGTTGGTGGCGGAAGCGACACGGGCCGAGAAAGACTTGGCACCGTCCCCAAAGGCCACGCCCCTAACCTTGATGTAGTCGCCGTTGTTGATGTTGCCCACATCGATGCCCCCCTCGCTGCTGACCTCGGTCTCGACGCCCTGCTCCCACGCCATGGTCTCGGCCTCCTGGCGCACGTACGGGTTGAGGGTCCCGACCTGCGCCGGCCCGCCGCTCGTCCAGGGGATCTGCGGGATCGTGCCGTCCGAATTGTACTTGAAGCTCTCGACCGCCACGGAGCGCGTGTAGCCGCTGCCACCGGGCAGCGCCCCGTTGTGGTAGAAGAAGTACGAGGTTCCGTTGAACTCGACGATGCCCGGGTGGTTGGTGAAGCTGGCGCCCTGCGACGGCATGATGACGCCCTTGTACGTCCACGGCCCGACGGCGCTGGTGCCGGTCGAGTACCGCAGGTCCTCGGAGCAGCAGTTGGCCGCATAAATCATGTAGTAGACGCCGTTGCGCTTGTAGACCCAGGGCGCCTCCTCGAACGTGGTGGGCCGCTCGGCGTTGCCGTTGCGCGTGCCGAAGCCCGCCGTGGTGAGCGTGATCTGCGACACGCTGCCGCTGTACGACGTCATGTCCTGGTTGAGCTTGACGTAGTACAGGCCCGGGTTGCCCCAGTACATGTAGGCCTGGCCGTCGTCGTCGATGAAGACGGTCGGGTCGATCTGGCCGTTCTCGACCAGCGGTTTCCCGATGGCGTCCGAGTACGGACCCGTGATGCTGTTGCTCACGGCCACGCCGATGGCCATACTGCCACCGCGGCGGCGCACGGGCACGTACCAGTAGAACTTGCCGTTGCGCGGGATGACCTGGCCGGCCCAGGCGTTCAGGTCGGCCCAAGCGAAGGTCGTCAGGTTCATGGCGATGCCGTGGTGCTGCCAGTTAACCATGTCAGCCGACGAGAACAGGCGCCAGTCCTTCATGGTGAAGGTCGTGGACCCGTCCTCATCGTGGCCCGTGAACAGGTAGACGCGGCCGTTGTACACGACTGGGGCCGGGTCTGCCGTGTATATCGTTTGGACGATGGGGTTATCGGCCCTGACAAAGCTGGCCAACCCCAGCAGAGCGCTGAGGATCAAGCACAGAGGTGCCAAGAAGATGCTTTTAGAGACTCCCATGATCTTGATTCGCGGTCCAGATGTGACTTGTCGCAAAGCCGATGAGAGTCCATGACGGCGGGTGAGCGACGTCTATATACCCCCCACTGGTAGGAGACTCATTGAGTTTTTCTCAGAAGCCGAGGGCCAAGCTTTTTGACTTGATCATCGTGAGCGCAAAGCATGTTGTCTTTCGCATTCTCCGAGTACAGACCTGTAAGCGTGCCAATGACAGTCTCCCGGCGCCGATCAGTATGGGGTTCCGTTAACTCCACCAACCAGGGTTTGAGCGCTTACAACATGGCTCCCGAACCGGCAACCCAGGGGCCAGGGCGGAAACAGGCTTTGCGGCTCCCGGGTTCTCGTTTTGGCTTGATTGCTACTCATCTCAAAGTGTTTCGCCTTGGCACCCGCATGGTGGGCTCAATTTCCCCACGATGTGTCTCGTCGAGTTGAGATCCAATGCAACGTAAGGTGGTGCTTTTCAGATCTAGCGCGACACCATGTGATTCGGTTTTCGCACTTTGCAGTGGAGCACCGCCAGTGTGCACGATACGGAGTGAGCTCTCACCAGTTTATTTGAAAGTTCATGTTGTTAGAAGAATGAATTGGGAGTTACCACGTACAACATCAATGATCAAGCTATGGCCCCACGGATGGTAAATAAGGTTCCAAACCCCGTATATTTCTCACAAAGTACAAGGGTAAAGCTAGCTTGACCCACTGGACTGTATTTACATTAAGGGCCACGCGAAAAGCAAGACTAGTCCTCCCACGATGAGTGTCGACAATGTTCCCTTTCTATTCAAAGACGGGGACTCCGAGGCAGCTATGCTGGTTGTAGTAGAGTTCAGGCCCGCTGTGCTGGAGAAATGCTGGGTCCGCTAGTATCGAAGTGGACGAAAGGTCGGTTGCGGTAGACGAGGTCCATATTGCCGTTTCTGGGACCGATGGAGTCGAACCGAATGACCGCCCGCTGTTTGTGGTATTCACATCGGGTGCCAATTTTGTCACTGGGGATTGTTCGCCGTGGCTACCGAGATCACAGGTATTCAGTTCTTGGGGTCCAAAAGCGAGAGGTTGCCCATATACCATTGGTACCGGCAAATTTCCATAACACCCGTAGCAGCGCGAGAGCCCATGAGCACACTGGAGTTGGAAGTTTAAGTCGGCGTCGACTTGCAAGGTTAGCTTGGAATTTTTCTAGCTTTCAGAACATATACGAAGCTTTATGAAGGTATCAACATTATCTTGCTTCGCGTTTAGACATGTACAGTGCAGCTCCGTCTCGGAGATGACGCCGCTGCCAGGAATAAACTTTAAGTGGCATTCTGTGCAACCGCCTTTTGCGTAGAACATGCCACTGCAGAGTGTATTAGATAATATCCGCCATTGAAGCGACATTAACATCCGTCAGACGCACCAATCTTCAGCCACAAGCTGCCCATTATCGTTATTAAGACATAGATCTAAGACTAGAGATCGTGGTAGTGGACCACTGTTGATCCCACAGCAATCCTCGAGTTCGTGACAGCAAATAGGAAAGAAAACAACGAAAGGGCAATTCGGGTATGAAAATGTGGTTAGCTACTCATTCTCAAACTGTGCATCTTCCAGTATCATTGCTGCTCCCTTTTCGCCAATTGCATATACCGTCGCTTGCAAATGCGCGCTGATCTGTAGTGGCATCACGCTTGCATCTACCACCCGAAGGCCCTTGGTCCCATAGACCCGCAATCTGTCATCCACCACTCCGCCCCCAGCTGGGTTCATACCTATCCGCCCACCCATAGCGCACGTTCCCACCGGATGCCAGTCTGTGATAGTTGTTTGTGTCAACCAGTCACGCCAGAACGACTCGTCCTCATCCTCGACTGGCACCTGAGGAGGGAATACACGCCGACGGATGATTCCAGCGAGAGGTAAAGCCTGCGCAATGCGGTACGCCGCGAAACGTGCTGCATGGACCATCAACGACAGGTCTATGGGCCCGCCATGAGTGCCTCCATAGTACTGAGGATCTATCATAGGCTTGTCGGCGATATTGTTGGAGCTGATGTGAATGGAGCCCTTGGAGAAAGGATATTGCAGGATTTGAAGACAGGTTGCGTATTTCTTATACGATGAAGGGGGAGGCTGGAAAAAAGGATTCCAGTTGCCAAGGTCGAAGATGTACTCGATTTGGCCAAGCTTGGCTGCGGAAGAAGGAGCTAAGCGGTCTTGACGTATGGCACGCTCTAGATCAGGAATGGTGGTTATGGAGCCAGCCTCTTCTGAAAGAGCACGCAGTTGATGGGAAGGGACAAAATGAGAGAAGGGGAGATAACATATTGAGTTTGGGAGGATTGTTAGCGGCCCAGTACGAGAAGCTCTGAACTGGTGGCGGGCTGCGTCTGCTGCGGCCTTATGCTGTTTAAGGTCGTCGGGGGTAGAAAGGGTTGAGTCTACTTCGAAGATCAAAGCAGCCACTAACAGGGTCAGACACACTACATCATGAACTTTGGTCGTTTCTCCATGCTGGCAACACTTACTAATATGATCTTGTAAATTTTCACCAACGTTTGGGTTACTGACTTTGACGGAAATTCTCGCCTTGCTGAGAATGTCTGGGTTACCGATCCCAGATAGCTCAAGTATCTGCGGCGATTGGACACTTCCAGCTGAAATGATAACTTCACGAGAGGCAGCTGCGAAAAATGATGACCCGTCACGCTGGAACCGAACACCCTTCGCAGTCCATTCCCCATCATCTTTCTCCAAAACGATTTCAGTCACACAGGCCTCTGTCAGAACGAGAAGATTCGGTCGTGATGCGTTCGGTAGACAGTACGTTGTGGTGGAATATGACCTTGTTCCAGTGTGAGGGTCGACTGAACCAAGGTTGGTCCATACTCCTACATTAGACCCTGCAAGATGGGCTCTGTTGGATTCAACCCCAAGACTTTGCATTGTCTTAAGCCATAACTGATGACTGCTGGAGTATTCAGAGGCATACCCTACCTGAATTGGACCTGACTCGCCCACGGCTTGCTTGTCGTAGTAGAGAGAATTTGCCTTCTGATTAAATTCCTCGGGAGTGTGGAAGTTCTCGGTCTTCTTGAAGTATGGCCTGATATCACGCAATAAGCACCGTGAAAAAACGTATATAGCCGGGCACGCCGCTAATACCACCTACAGCAGATCGTCCCACCCCCAACCTTTATTGCCTAGATCTCGCCATGCGTCATGATCCTCACGACTGGCTCGGTTCCAGGTCATGAAGTTCAGGGCGCTTGTTCCACCAAGAACCTTGCCCCTGGGCCAGGCCAGTGTCCGCCCATCTAGTCCCGGCTGCGGAATTGTCTCGAATTTCCAGTCATAGTCTGTACCCAATGTTTGGCCGTATAGTCCAGGGATATCGATTGTTTCAACACCGAGGGCTACCGGACCGGCCTCTAGTACGCCGACCGTCAACGCGGGGTTTTCGGAGAGACGGGCGGCGACGACGAGGCCCGCGGTTCCGCCACCAACGATAAGATAGTCAAACTTGCGAGCTAGAAAGTCGACAGGGCTGGTAAGCGGCATTTGGCCGCTTGTGGTCGCCATCCAAGGTAAACGTTATCTTTGTCGTCTTGCAACTGTAGGTCTTAGGAACCCCGTTCGTAGGAGGACCGCCGCCACCTCCTGCACGTTTCTTGGTGATAGCGAATGCATATGCCCTTGCAATCAATCACCAATCAGGCTGCATTTTCCCCGCAACTGGCATGCTGTTTGAAAGTACTTACTGATTGGGTCAATACCCCCTAGCCAATTGTACGTTTTTGAAAATGCCGTGGGGATCCCAAAATGAAACCCAGCTTCGGTGCGGTTTGGGGAATGTTGTGTCACATCCCGCCGCCGGCCCTCGTCAACTTCGAAGGAGTGAGCGGCGACAATAACTTGAAATCGTAAGCCCAATCATCAGTTCGACGTATAGCAATGCCTACGATTTTTTCAGGTTGAAATTCGATTGCAACTTGAACCACTAATTCCGCTATCCATTATACGCATCTGAAAGGGGGCTTGACTCTGTCAAAATGGCACCCTCCACCCCGACAGATTGTGAGAAGAATGATAGGATGGCCAGTGCCAAGAACAACGTACCTCCTCGTGAAAATAACGACTACGATGAATCTCCGGAATCTCACCGCCACCGCCACCACCACCACCATCACCATCATCATCTCCCTCCGACTCCTTCTGTGCCGGGTCGCCTCGCTCTTTGGAATGCCCGAGTTGAATCTCTCTCGGATTTCGAAGCTCGTGGGATCACTCGTGTTCCACCTTCTGAGCGTCGTCCTTCCTCTTCCTGGGATGATATATCCGTGGCACTACTCTGGTTTTCTGCCAACATCTCCGTGAACAATCTCGCTGTCGGCCTTTTCGGTCCACTTATCTTCAGTCTCGGTTTCTTTGACTCCGCTATGTGTGCTGTCTTTGGCGGGCTGCTGGGCAGCCTCTCAACGGCCTATATGAGTACATGGGGTCCCGTGAGCGGAAACCGTACTATGGTAGTGCTAAGGTACTTCATGGGATACTGGCCCGCCAAGTTACCGACAATATTGAACATTATTCTCATGGTCGGCTACTGCACGATTGATGCAATATTAGGCGGGCAAATGCTTAGTGCGGTTGATGATGGGGCTATGTCTATCGCGGTTGGTGTCGTGGTGGTTCAGGTGGTGTGTTGGATGATTACACTGTTTGGCATGAAACCATTCCACACGTATGAGAGATTCGCTTGGATACCACAGCTGATCGTACTTCTCGTGCTCGCGGGCACTGCAGGGCCGAATTTTGACGTTGGGGCCCGTTCAGTCGGCTCAGACACAGCAATTTCTGCAAATCGGCTAAGCTTCTTGTCGCTGTGTTTATATGTGCCAAATTCTTGGGGAGCTGCAGCCTCGGACTTCTACGTCTACTACCCGGAGAGGACGTCGAAATTGAAGATTTTCGCGCTTACTCTAGCGGGGCTTTGGTTGTCTTTCTCACTCGTGTATCTTCTGGGCATCGGGATCGCCACGGGAATACGGAACAACCAGGCCTGGTCCGACGCGTATGAAGTCTCAACTGGGGCATTAATAGTCTCTGCCTTCGAACCTTTGAAAGGGTTCGGGCGGTTCTGCGGAGTCATCGTCGCGCTGGGCGTCATTGCCAATAGCATCCCTGGGACCTACGCTGCCGCACTTGGATGTCAGGTTTTGGGGCGTTATGGCAAGGCTGTTCCTCGTTGGACGTGGTCATGTGTGCTCATTGTAATTGAACTCGTTTTGGCACTAGCTGGAAGGGAGAATTTGCTTGTCATCATGCAGAATTTTCTCGCGCTGATGGGCTACTGGGTTGAGCTCATGGTAGCCATCGTATTAGTTGAGCACGTATTGTTCCAGAGATCGGGGCGCTTCGATTGGGCGAAGTGGGAGGACAAAGCATACCTTCCACTTGGTATTGCTGCACTTGTGGCATTTCTGCTCGGTTGGGTAGGAGCCATTCTAGGGATGTATCAAGTGTGGTATACTGGCCCACTAGCAGCTATCTCGGGGTCCGCCGACGTGGGACTTTGGATAGGAACAGGGTTCACCTTGGTTGTATATCCAGGGTTAAGATGGGCCGAGTTAGGCTATTTCAATCGCTAATTTACCAGCAGATCATGAGAATCCATCTGTATGCCTTCGTAGTATCATCAACTGGAAGTCTTGATACTGAATACATGCCTGAAGGGTTGAAATTACATTTGTTGTTTGATGCACTGCTCTAAAGTTCACTGATTGGAGGCCATATGGGAGCAATTTTAGACACCCTACGTGGTGTTTTGGATGCAACAGCACAGCTGTCTAGGTCGTCATCACCGATGGGGTTTTGTTTTGGTTTTTTTTTTTGTGTGTGTGTGTGTGTGTGTGTGTGTGTGTGTGTGTGTGTGTGTTGGGGGGGGGGGGGTTTCGTTTTTGGAGATTGAACGATAATTGGTGCCGACGAAGAAGAACAAAGCGAAGATGGAGATCGGTTCCAAAGATGTAGCGGCTAAGATTGAGAAGAACAAGGTGATTTAGAAAAGGTCTCACAAACTCGTGTCAGAGGAAGAAGTGAAGGCCTGCAACCAGGTTGCAACTATATTTGCGCTACCGCGCTGAGGAAAATGGAGACTGATTCGACTGCTAAGTCTCGATAAGTAACAGGCAGGATCATAGAGTAATTCAGATAGCAGCGACAACATTATATGGGCGAGTGGAAGCACTTACAAGTTCCAGAACCAACCAGGAATAGGGCGATCACGTGACTTAGTTGCAATTTGCGCTCAGCCCCAATCCGCCATGCATGAGGATCAGGGCGAGGGGGGGAAAATGGTGAAATTCCTGCCTGAACGCACAGGTCCAAGTTCCCTGGAGTTCAATACCACACCACCAAACTACTGCGCAGACGCAGCCTCGGAAGAAGGGATATCTCCTTTCTCAGGGGTTGCGTGGATCAAGACAGCACGCCAGACTCATGTTCCGTGGGCTTTGGAAAGGCTGGCGGAGCCTACCATCCGCCCAGGCACGGTTCAACTCCACTCCCAATCAATCACAATTTCGCGCCAACGTTATTCGTCTCTTACGAAACAATGGCGCTCGTTCGCTTGCGGCCAGGCCTCGTCCAAAGAACTCTAGCGTATTGTATGCCAATATCTACGGAAGCATATATTTGTCCATCGCCCTTCTCGTAACGGACGATAGTTTGGACTGGCTGACACGGAGACATGCGGGAGTTGAGGCTGTGCAGGAGATAACACTGGCGAAGGACTTTGCGACCAAAACAAAGAACTTCTGGGCACTTGGGCCCGCATTGCTACATGCATACTCGGGCAAAGATGTGGAGCATCACGAGGGACTTCAACCGACGGAGGAGTCAGGCATGGTGGATGAACTTGAAGTTCGGCTGATGACTGTTCCCGACCCCGACGACTCTGACACCACTTTGTTTCTTTGTCAAGCGACCTTCAAGTCTGAGGCCGAACCAGAATTCTATGTTGCTACCCGCAGCAACCGCATGGAGGACGCGGCTTATTCATTAATGCCCTCTGTTGATAAATTTAATCAGCAACACTTAGCGGCGAGGGGCTTGCTTCTTCTATTATACCCTGATGGCAGCTTCCATTGCCTGTATTATGACGGGCGCCGGTGGCTCAATCTGCTTTTCTTGGAGTGGCAAACTGCAGAGTCGATGGGCTTCCGGTGACTTCCGGTGACTACTACGCTCGCACTTTAGCCTTTCACCTTCTGGACGCAAGATCCCCAAGGTGAAAATAAATAGAAGATGTAGATGGTTTGCACCTCCGTAGTCACGAACTGTCCCAGTTCCACCAACAGCATGTGTGCCTGTGGCGTACGGTCATTGGGACATATCATTTATCATTAGAAGATTGTTGCAAAGTGTGACGCATGAGAAATTCTTTTCTGTTAAAATCTGCTTTAATCATTATTAGATCTCTTCATCTATGTCTGTTGTAAACTTTTATACTCTTGCGTCAACCACTAGGAACTCTTATGTGTATTCGCCATCCGAAGACGGCTGTCAGAGCTTCTGTCAATGTACTAGTAGATACATACGTAGTAAGTGGAGTGGCTGGCGAGCTCGTAACGTAGGTGGCTGGTCCACTATTTCAACAATTTCTTCCTCAAGAATAGGGATTCATGTAGTGTTCTGAGCGCAATTACAGTCCCAGGAGATGTCCTGAGCTATCTAAACGAAAATCTAGTATGAAATCAGTGCAAAGTGACGATAAAAAGGAGAGGAAACTCAGGTATAAAGTAGGATTTCAACATGCTGACATAGCTAGGAGTCTCGGTTCGTATGCAATAAAGGGCAAAACGCGAGCAATTAACGAGGGACTACGAGGGACTCAATGTCTGTTTTGATAACGCAGTCATGCGACCCAGAGCACGGAGACAGGGGGATTCATATGAATTCAAAGCATTCTTACAGGTCGATACTAGAAAATACACTAAGTATCTGGTGTTGCCGGATAGCTATCATGGCCATATGTGGAATTGAGTGAGACACTTCCAACCACGCTTCCGGACTCTAGACGTATCCAAGTATCAATGTCCAAATCCTGGAGCTTGTCCTGCCTTATGAACACTTGTCGCGCGCCGCGCTCCCAACTTCCGTAGCCACCATATCCAGAATGCTGCCCAAAACACATATTGATGCCGTTGCCTGTTACAGACATTCCGGGAAGGAGCGTATCCCATTTGTAGCACCATGTATCGCCGTGGTCATGTCCAGAGAAGACTGCTATAAGGCCAGGTGTTGAGACAAGCGCTTGCATGAATGCTGTGTCTTGTTCTCCGTAAACGCAGCCAGCATCGTTGCTGCCGTCGGAACACCAGCCCTGTGCCTGTTGGGAAAGTGGAATGTCATCATTGATTCCAGGTTGACGGTGAGGATCTACCCCAGCTTGCTGAAGAGCTAGTGAAGCATTCGTTGGTATATGCACAAATGCAAGCGACGGGATGACTTTGCCGTGCCTGTTCCTGAGCTCGGAGCTTGTTGCTTGAAACCAATCCACTGCACTCTGGTCAACCCAATTGGGCTGTCCAATCTTTTGACTTGCATTATCAAGCGTCTGGTATAGCCACCCGCCCCTAGAATCGAAAAACCAGAGTACAAGGTCGGGTGCGCATCCCCAGGTGCTACACGATGAGTCATAGACCGGAAGATAGTAGTTGGATACCCCAGATTGGGGACCAAAAACCATCTGCTGAGTGCGTGAGTTAGGCCACTGACGTTCGCGAGCGAGGATAGTTGATCCGGTTACGTTGAAGTCATAGTCGTGGTTACCGTAGGTCGAAGCCCAAGACAGATTGCGCGCCACCAGTGGAGCAACAATCTGGTCAACGTACTCCGTGCTGTTCTCAAAGTATGTGTTCTCACCGGTAATTAGATCTCCGTTGAGCACAATCAAGCTCGGTGTCTCGTGATCAAGGACTTCATTCATAACCCTGACAGAGTTTATATCTTGCCGTGGACCCCATGATTCCCATGCGTCTGCACAGAAAGGTTTAGTTTTGGATCGAACAAATCTCGATATGAGGTAGACCTACTTTCCCCAAAGTGGAGATCTTCAAATATGGATATTTGGAACGTTCCACTCGTCGTGAACGTTAGAGGCATAGCAGTATCTGTAACAGCGCTGGTCTTCAATTTCGAGTCCGCTGCCGCATGTATAGAAGCACCTGCGAGCCATGCTTGACTGAATGATTTACGAAACATCTTGATTGGGGGTGTGAAAGTGGCACATATCCTGATATCATGTAGAAAAATTGTCATGGTCTTCAGGAGTTGGTTATGGTTTGAGGAGGGGCTGCCTCCTAAGTAGAGTTCGGCATGTGGAGAAACACTCCAAGGCTCAGAAAAACGTTGCATCGTGCTCTGTCAGAACGTGACCGCTACAAATGAATATTATTGGGATGTGAAAACAGCCGACCATGTGTTATCCGGCTCTGTGGTGTGCGATGCTCCGAGAAAGAGCAGAGGTTGTTTGCTGGACCCGTGGCGCGTCTAGCGAATCTAAGTGGTTGAGCCATTGACCAGCATGCGCTGCACTAACCCTGTTTGGGCACAATATATCAACGGACAAACGTGAGTGCTCAGGCACATACATGCATGCAACCCTGCAGTTGCACTGAGCGTGTTTTTCAGATAATGCATTGCTACTAACCCTGAAGACTGAGTATCAAATAGCATTTATGTGATTGCTCAAGTCCTATACCGTCAGTCAAGTCCTCCAGTCAAGACGCAACGTGAGACGTCGCGGAACCCGAAAACTGCTCAATCAGTAGTGGAAGAACTCTTCTCTGGTCGAGACCATATCATTGTTCCATAACTCTCTACCGGCTGTCACAGTCTTCACTGGCAAACCAATCTGCTCAATGGCAAAGCTGGCCGCTACACTCCCAGAAATAGCTGCTTTTCGCAAGTCGCCAGTCCTTGCCAGGGTCACAGTGAAAGCACCAAGAAATGTGTTGCCTCCACCAGTAGCATCAACCACCTCGGAACTGCTGTGATAAGGCGGTAGCCAGAACTTGGTCTGAGCTGAGACGGCGAAACATCCATGCTCACCAGCACGGACAACAATGCCACGACCAGACGCTGGCACGTCTGGCGGTGATGAAGCCTGTAGCAAGCTTTCAGCACATGACTCTATGACAGAGCCATCGAACGAGGACGTATCCTTCCCATAAAGGCCTAGCAGCTCAAGGTGGTTTGGTGAGAAGATGCCTACATGTCGGCAGGCTTGGCGATGCTCGTCAAGTCTCTCCGGTGTACACAGGCTCGGAAAGGGTTCCCACACTAGGAGAGGGCGCTCTCCAAGTCCAATTCGGCTGCGCAAGCGCACAAGATCTCCTACCTCTTTGATGACTTTTTCAGGACAGAATAGCATGTGAAAGGAGCGAGATGAGAGTAATTCGACCGGCAAGCAGCCCGCTGCTGGCTGGAGTGGAGTTGTCAAGTAGCGAAATGTTTTTCCTGTAACTCGTCAGCACTCTTACAGCTATTACCTCTGCAATACCTCCACTACTCACGCCCAAATGCGTTATCATGGTACTCAAGTAATCCGCGCGTTGATTTCCTGGCGTCATCCACGCTCATGGTGATTGTAATGCCCCAACCTCTAATAAGCTCCACTATCTCGTGTGGAAAGTCGTGACCAGCCATGATGAAAGACCCAACCTCCCCAGCATTTGAAGGTTCCGTCGCAATGCGAGCACCCAGGGTGCTGTAAGCCCCGGAGCCTCCTGGATAACCTTGTAGAATGTCACCGCTTGGGAGGTGAAGCTCATCTAAAACGATCATGCCGAGCGATACAAAGTGGAGGGGAGGGGAGTCTTCCATCTTCAATGATGGGGACTATGTGGATAGTTACGCTTCCTGTTGATGCTAATCCGTAGTTTTACGCGCTCTGTCCCGAATGGTTCCGTATTGTGAAGTGGAAGGGAGTCGGAGAGAGGTCCGCGAGCCAAGTGGGTCCGCAGAACATACCTACCTAAATTCATCGGGTATGCAAGCCGACATCATGAGCTAAGAGCGGAATCGGAGCCGACGTGAGACAAGATAAGCAACCCGGCATGTCTTGAGAAGCAGATTGCTCGTCGCATCTTCAAGGCATGTTGTATTCGCGGTGCTCATCATTATGTTGGCACGTTTCAATGCCCAGCAGTGGCTAACGAGAGAAAACTGGAGGCTGCAAGCCAAGGGCTCATCCCACGCAACACGGGATGGCTGGTCTAACGAGGACGTCGACGTGGTCCCGGCTGTAAAGCGGACTTGGAGAACGATAGACTACTTGTGGCTTTGGTTATCTGACGGGGCCAACGTAGGAACTATGCAGCAAGCAGGTTCCATCGTCTCACTTGGACTGAGTTGGCGCGAAGCTGCTGTGGCCATGTAAGTCACTCTAACTAAGTATCTATGATTGTTTAGTCACAGTATTGATCAGTAGGTTTCAGTGCGGTTGGCAATTTGATTATAGGAAGTGCTGTAACTCTCAATGGTGCCATCGGCTCCAGGCATCACATACCTTTCTCCATCGCCTCGCGCGCATCGATGGGGTTTCACTTCTCATACTTTGCTGTAGTCTCTAGACTCGTGTTGGGTTTACTCTATTTTGGGTTCGTTCAGGCCGCGCCAACTAGTTGTGTGTTGTCACGCACTGACAAATCCAGTATAAACACATATATCGGTGCATCGTGCATGCTTATCATGCTGGAGTCTATCTGGCCGTCGTTGCGATCCTATCCTAACGCATTGCCCAGCTCGGCAAGCGTTACTAGCAACAAGATGATCGCGTACTGCGTCTTCTGGACACTGCAATTCCCATTACTTTTGATACACCCTCGAAAGATGCGCTGGCTGTTCTTTATCAAATCAACGTGCGCCATCATAGCAGCCTTTGCAATGCTTGGCTGGGCTGTCAAGGTTGGCGGCTCTGGTCCTGTATTCGGCCAAGTGAGCAAACTACAAGGATCCCAGAGGAGTTGGGCGTATCTTGCAGGTTTCAACATCGCAATATCAGGTAAGACGACTTTGGCCATCAACATGTCCGATTTGACGAGGTATGCCAGACAACCTTCGGCGGCGTACTGGCAGATGCTTTTCATTCCGGTTGTGTACTGGACTTTTTCTTTCATCGGCATCGTCATCGCATCTGCTGGGCAGGCTATATACAATGAGCTATATTGGGATCCGACCTCTATCATCGCGCTCTGGACCAATCGTGCCGCAGCCTTCTTCTGTGCGTTTGCGTTCGGTCTCGCAACGCTTGGCACAAATATCAGCACGAACTCAATCGCGACTAGCAATGATCTCGCATTCCTGGCACCTGAATGGGTGAATCTGCGACGTGGAGCCGTGATTACATCTCTGATAGGCGGATGGGCAACATGTCCCTGGAAAGTCCAAGCGAGTGCGAAAAGCTTGACAACATTTCTATCCGGCTACGTGATCGTACTTGCGCCGTTAATTGCCATCATGGTTACAGACTACTGGATCATCCGGGGTCGCAAACTAGACGTTGCTGGACTGTACAACAACGAGGGACAGTATCACTATTGGAAAGGGATAAACTGGAGGGCACTGGCCACGCTCCTGATCGTGGTCCCCATCAACCTTCCGGGACTTGTCGACGCTATTAATCCGCAAGTCTCGGTTGCTGCGAGCTATGCCAATTTCTACAAAGGCAGCTGGCTGACATCTACATTCATGGCGGCATCCGTGTACGTCACATTGAGCATGGTACTTCCACCCAGAGCAACGTCTTGCGACGAGACGGCCCGCGAAGCTGTCGATCCCAATGACCGTGCTGAGAAGCCGGAGACCGGCTCGTTGCGTGGGAAACAAGACTGCCACCTTGCCGCGGGATCGTCCGAGCTAGTCTAGTTCAGTTCCAGGATAGTAAGACTGGCGGTATTGATCATGTCTCGCTGAAGCCGAAGACTAGGTGAGCAGACTCTTACAGTCGGAAAGGACAACGTAAGGAGAGGGAGTCCAATACCACACATGTTAGAAGTTGATCTAGTATCAGTCCATGTGATATGCGTGGTGTGCTCAGTAATCTGTAGCCAAGGGTCCCAGAAAGCTTGTCAGAATAAGCATTAGTGCCCGCTGCACTGGCGATCCCCCGCCTACAACGCAGGCGAATACGAGCTTTGCGCTCCCAAATTCTTACGTCTCGCACCCTCCGATATGGCCGAGCAAGACCTGTTGCCGCAGATACGAGCTGGTCATCTGGTGCTGCATTGGTTCGCTTGAGCCTGATGACAATGTTGCACAATCTGGGTGAAAGCCCCCAGCGTGCGACGGCCGTGTCACCACCGGCCTGTTCACTCGGTGCTAAAGCCTTGCATGCGTCCTGTGCAGTGGCATGCCGGTGGGTGGCTTGTAATGGGATAGCGGCTCCCCACATCGCTGACATCTCGCTCCTCCAGTGATCGATGTGATCTCATCGCGAAGTGCGTTGCTCTGCAGCTCTAATCTGGAGTGATCGACAGTTGCAGCGATGATGCATCCCATCCACGACCAGGCGCATAAATACTGCCCTTGCCCCTCGTGTTAATTGCAATGACCCTCATAACGCCCATCTTTCAGCTGTACATTCAAAGACTTTCAATCCAACATGCTAACTGCACTGGTTTTATCATTCGCCACAGCCGCGCTGGCTTCCAACGCCACAGGTCCTTATGGTCTGCACATCAAGGGCAAGACGGATACAAGTATTGACGGTCAGTAGCCACCGGGCCTCATGTATTCAATATATTTACATACTTATCGGGTTGACAGGCTACGGGGGTGCCTGCCATGCGGGCGCTGCGATAGAAGGCATCTGCTATGGGGCTGGGTCGCTTAACACCACTGCAACATACTCACAATTCTATTTTAACTACTCGGGGTATAACTCGGAGACTGGTGAGGTCAGCCCGTACGGTTGGGTAGAGTGGCAGCTCCCGTACGTGGACCAGAACGGCGAGACCGCTTTTGAGCCTGAGGCCTTGAGTTTCAGCGCGAACTTGTTCTCCAATGTCGCTGCAGGCCTCTTCCAGCCCGGCTACGAAGGCGGCACCATCTTCCAATACAACGAGAACGGCCTACTGTACATTACCGGTGGATACGATGACAGACATAACAACGAAACATATCCAAACCCTCCAACGTACTTCGGCAACACTAGCAGTTTTCACCTCTGCTATCAATTCACAGGAGGGTACTATTACCAGTCGATTGCGTGGGTGTCAGGTACAGCACCGCCTCAGAACCCATCATGTGAGCCGGTAGACCTGTCGTTGCAGTTGATTTGAGAAGGAAATAGTCGGCCCAGACAAGCACTACTGTATGGACTAAAGGATAGGAACTGTGTTTTGCACGGGATTACAGTCGGAGCACCTAGTAGCTTATAAACGTAATTATCCTAATTTAATAATATCGACAGCCTGTTCACACTCCCTAGCCTAACCTTGCACCATGTCTATGCTTTATGACTTGAAAGTCAGACAGATTCAATGCATACTTCAGTTCACATGCTTTGCAAACTCCCCGTGAAACGCTGTGTGTCATAGCAGACTGTGCTTGGCTCCGTATAGCTGTTTCTGTCGCTCCAGAACGACAGGATGTTCAATGACCCCAGGCTGCAAGGTGCTGAAGTCGAGGTTCACATCATTCTCTACGTCAGGGAACGGGCCCATTGGCGTAATGGCCAGGGGGTTGATTTTTTCATGGCTCTTTGTATACTGTTCCACGATTGTCAGTACAGCGTATCCGGCGGTTGTCGCACCACCTGGTCCATCTACTTACGTTCTCCTTGATATGTCTAAAGTCGGTTGTCTCGCGGAATCCCTTGACATTCCAATACAGGTTCTTCATCCATTCGTGGATCACCGGATAATTCCCTCTGATCGTCCCAAGGTTACATTTGAAGTGTTGCACGTAGACAGCGTCGAAACGAATCACTGTCGCATACGCTCGAACATCAAGCTCTGTCAACTCTTTCCCCAAAACATACGGCCCCTTGTTGCCGTAAATGATCTTCTCCAGTTCATTAAGGGCGGCAAATACCGTTGGGACATTCTTGTCGTACGTCTCCTGATCGGGAGCAAACCCTGCCTTATAGACACCGCTGTTGAGATCTCGTTGCATCCACACGCTAATCTCGTCGATCTCGGCCTTGAGGTTATCTGGATAAAGATTGAGCTGTCTCTCTGGGCTTCCTTCGGGTAGGATCTCATTGAAGCCCGTCTGCATCCATCGGAGCATCTCAGCACTCTCGTTGTTGACAATTGTGTTTTCCTTCGTATCCCACAGAAGCGGAACGCTGTATCGGCCTTTGTAGTCTGGGTCTGCCTTGAAGTACACTTCATGAAGGTACTTAGAATGAAAGAGATTGTCTTCGGTTGCTCCTTCGTACACGTCACCAGCACCCTGTGCCCCTGGGAACTGCCAGCCCGGCCAGCCTTTATCGTCCCCTTTGGGGTAGGGCTTCACGATGGAGATGGGGATAGCATCCTGCAAGCCCTTCAGGTGTCGTAACAGATTTGCCCGGTGTGCGAATGGGCAGAACAACCCCACGTATAGATGATAACGGCCAGCCTCTGGGGGGAACCTCGAGCCCGGGCTTACTACGCCATGCCAGGAGTCATCTGGGCCAGCGTGGACCGGCTGAGCCGGCTTCGACGTCGACATCCTGAAACCAGAAAATGGCACTCGCTTGCAGAGCGGTGGACCAGAATGATAGGTCTGATCGCGCGCTACAATTCTTTGAAGGTGTTTTGCAAATCTGGCGGTTCGTGGTAGGGCAAGGTACTCTTGTGGCATCGTGTGCCGTGGAAGACGAATGCCCCGCGCCAGTGCCCCACCTCGACCAGGGGTGAGAAAGACGCAAATGTTGCTGGGAGGTATCTATCTGATCACCAAGCAGAGCCCAGACATAAATTTCCGTGGCAATGCGGCGCTCCTAGAGAATTTCTACTCGAACAACTCCAGCATATTGACTCGTGTAATTGGTGCCTAGAATGTATATATATCATAAATTGGTATATCTTGCCATGCGTGCAATACTCTGAGTTGGCTAACACGGAACTGTCCTAAGAACCCCCCGATGTGTGGGATCCATTATACGTCTATGAAAGCCGGCAATCTATGCCTATGGTTTGTCATTGTCTAATCGCCTCCTAGTTGGAAAATCGTGATTTGTCAGGCAAACGCATAAAATCCCTTTTTGAGGTATCCTTCGGCGATTTCGTGCTTCTCTGCACCCTGTAGTAGCAGGCTAAGGGCAATGGAAGTCGCGCGTCATCGCGGGGGCAATTATTAATCCAACCCTGCATAGCCGATTGGCCATGACGACTTCGTGCAAGTGAAACATATCTAATCGCACGCAAGCCAACCGTCTTCTATATTAACAAGGCAACCCCCCTCAACACCCCAACTCATGATTTTATACCCATACAAGGAGCAGCCGTAACTGACACAGGAACTCTTGTGTGGCATCCTTCCAAAGTAGCATTCATGACGTCCAAATTCTACGCAGTGGTACTCGGTGCAGGCCCTGGTACAGGTATGCCCTCCTTGATGAAGCGAACTGATTGAGCGCAACCTAACATGAATGAAGGCCGCGCCTGTGCCATTAGGTTCTCAAAGGCCTATCCAGTCGTCCTTCTGGCGCGCTCTTCTCAGAGCTATCAAGACACCGTCAAGGAGATCAACGATGGGGGAGGAAAGGCCATTGGGATTGACACGGATGCGACTAGTGTCGAATCTCTCAATGCTGCTTTTGAGACCATCAAGAAAGAGCTTCCGGACCACAAGCTGGCTGCTGCCATTTGCAATGCAGCAGCTGGCTTGAAGCCTCAGCCCTTCATCGAGATCAAGCCGGAGCAACTCGAAACTAGCATAGATGTCAACATGTGAGTACCACGACCTGAAATAAGTCACACATCTGTTCTGAGACCTATGGTATGCAGTCGCGGGTTCTTCAACTTTGCCCAAAAGACCCTTCCGCTCCTCGAAGAATCGGTCTCGACTTCCAAGTACCCACCCACATTGATCGTCACCGGCGCAACTGCCTCAGTGAAGGGATCATCAGGGTTCTCGGTCTTTGCGGCGGGCAAGTGGGCCAAGAGGGCGATGACTCAGTCTATTGCTCGCGAATACCAGCCAAAGGGGGTCCACATCGCCCACGCCGTTATCGACGGTGTTATTGATATCCCCAGAACGGCGGGATATAAGGTCAACGGTGGCGTGGAGGATGGCAAGATCCGCGCGGACTCGGTGAGTGTATCCCCCACGAACAGGAAAGCTGATGTCAGCTGACTGATTGCAAAACAGATTGCCGAGACATATTGGAGCTTGCACACCCAGCATAGGTCTGGTTTCACATGGGAAGTCGATATTAGACCATTCGTGGAAAAGTGGTAGGGGGGAAAAAGAGACGAGGATTGTTGCGGTGGCGGGGGCTTGTCCCATCGATGATGTCGGACGACATTATGATGTCACCGTTAATCATGGCATACATGGGATATAACATGTTCAACCTGAAGCTAATGAGTTGGGCCCGTTGTTTTAATGCCATATATATTGCTTCTATCGTTCTGCACGAACGCTAGTATGCCTTGTCTGAGCCCTCAAGGATTATACGAGATGACAAGAAGCAAACATGTTCGACAGAGGATGAGAGTGGATTATAGAGCAAGATGATCATTTTAGGGTCCTCTGCTACCCCGAGCACCGAAGGTTGTTGATACGTGGATCATAGGGTCATAAAGGTGATGTCTAGTCTAGAAAGCTGCTCTGACCAATTCTGCAGGGGAGCAGAATTGGTCTGAAGTGGCTAATCTTTATTCTCATCTTATCTACGATAAGCTATTTTAGTGCACCCCTAGGTGCACGCATCAGTTGTATTTATTACCAGCTGCGGGACATTATCGTGATAAAAGGGTATACCACGCGTAATCCACGAAGAGTAATTGCTGGCATTCCTACATGGTCCTAGTGAGTGATGGGGTCTTATGAGATACTGTGTGATGGTGACAGGATTGGCAGTGGTGTCAGTGAAGGGCACTGTGTCGTGGGTCCAGACAACCGCCAGACGTGGGGGCAAAATCGGATGGAGCTGGGCTTCACCACCAATGATGATCCACGCCACCGAACAAGAGAAGAACGAAGATTGGTACAAGAAATAGGTAAAACACGCTCCAGTTTAGTTTGTGTCACACCAAACCGTGGGTGAGGACATCTAAATTCACTTGAGTTGGTCCTTCAGCTGCTGTATAGGGGCCTACCCTCGGGTTATCGTTATTCCGCACCCTCGTATACCCCCTATATCGTGACAGTTGGGATGTGGATAGCAACCAGAACATGTGATAGGTGAATCAATTGCAATCGCAGAGTGGATGTCCGTACCCGACCCAAGTTCGCATACACTAGCCAGTGCAGCTTGTGGTCAAGTACACAAAAGTGGTGATAAACGGCCCACCACCAATCACAAGTCAATTTGTCATTTGTCAAGTTGACCAACCTAGGGCAATGTGCCAGAGTGGTTAATGGGTGAGCCTCGAATTTCCGAGTTCAAGCTCATGGCTTCGGCCGCACAAGTTCGAGTCTTGTCATTGTCGTGATTCCCTTATGGCAAGTTTGCCTTGTCCTTTTTGCCCATGTGTGCTGGTGGGTCGCTTCGGATCGAAGATTTCTCCTCCATGTTAAAGATTCGAAGGTTGGGTTGAGTTTCAATGTTAAGGCGCACTATCCGTGTGGGATGGCCAGCATGTTCTTGCTCAGGAGGGCCAGAAGGCACAGTGAAATATGATATAAACGGACGGAACCGTGAGCGTCGTTGATGGATAGATATAATGCTGTACCAAATTCAGTACTCGGGTATCATGAAACCGTCCGTCGCCTGCCAACTCCGAGCCTCCAGGAAGAGGCTATGCATCGTGATAAAGTGAAAACAGGCTGTCTGGTGGCCCGTAAAATCGAAACCCCATCCCCCCCCTCCCAAAATTCCACAAAGGTCCTGCCGTCATCTGAAGATCCTTCTGCCCCCAGCACGTGCAGCAAATCTGTCGACGCCGTTACCAGTCTGCTGATGCCACATCATCAGCTTCCCTCCAGAGCCACCAGTCGCGCCCGATCTCTGCCATCTTCGATATGCCTCTTGTAGGTGCTCAGGGCGCAGAGGGGCCTGCCGACGGTGCTTCGAAGCTTCGCTGAGCTCGGTGTCACTATCCTTGTCGCTGGGAACGTCGGTCTGCTTCTCGCCTGCGGCAAGGTGTTCCCTCTGAATGCGTCGCGCCTCCTCCACCATGTCCCCCAGGAAGAGTTTGCACACGACCTGCATGGCCTGGGGTATGCTGGGCTGTACTGATTGGGACGTGACAGAGTTGATGTACTGTCAAAAAGTTGGTTAGCCCGGGCGCAGACGAGGGCGACGGCGCGATGCTTGGGAAATGATTACCTTTCTGACGTTGCCGATCTGGATCTTGGACTGATGCCAGACCTCGTATCTGTGGAACTGCTCGTCCGTCATCTGCTGCTTGACTATGGCCCGAAGCCGCTCCTCCTCCTTGATCTCCTCTTTAGATCTCGCGGCGGAGCTACTGTTGACGTTCTCGGGGATCTCCATGCCGCCCCCGGGGCCGTCGCCATCATCACCGTCGTCGTCGGCACCGGCGCCGGCCTTGTTGGCGCCGCTGGCGTTGCTGACGGTACTCCGAGCGACGCCATTCACGGCACTTGGCGTGCCGCCCCTGGCAGCCTCTTCGGCGGCTTCACGCGCTCGCTCGGCCTTGGACTTGCGGCCGCGCTTCTTCTTTGCGGGCGCAGCGCTCACCTGGCTTCCGCTGACCAGGCTCATGGTGTCGACGCTTGGGGACCTTCGGTAGCTGGGGGAGAAGACCTGGCCTTGCGACTCGTCCGGTGGGAAAGAGGTCTGGCGGAGGGGGTGGGCTGAGGCGGACGACGTGGCGGACATGACCGATGCTTTGCGACGCTTGACGGAGGGGTTGTTTGTGGCCAGGTCTGCGGCAGCCGAGCCTCGCTTTTTCGATGGCGGAAGCTGCGCTGAGGAGTACGGGGGCGAACCGGCAGGCGAGAAGGCGGGAGGTGGTGACGCCATGGCGAAGCTTCGTGGGCTGCGTTGGCCTGGCAGGGGAGAGTTGAGGGCTCTGTATCCCTTGGTGGGTAAGTGTGGGAAGTTGCGTAGGGCGGGCGAGGATGGCGGAGCTGTTGCGTTTGCGGGTTTGGTGTTTGATCAGGTGTCGACGATGATCAGGGCGGAAGGGAGCGGGATGGAACAGTGTATGGCCGGGTCGCGAACGGGGGGTGCACAGGCGTCACAACTGAATCTGGTCTGCGGCCTGGAGACGGATGCGAGCCGGAATGTGGCGGCGCGATGGTGAGCTTGAGGCCGCGCGAGCATTGAATATGGAGACCGAAACCCGAGACCCAAGACGTCGTGAGGGTTGAATGTCTTGCAGCGTGGAAGCCCCCGAGCTCATTTCTGCCGGCACACTAGCGCTAGCCGGGGTCTCACCGCCTGCCCCGGGCCGGCGGGCTCTCGGCAGCCAGCCCTGTTCTGATCGGCGCGTCGGCGCCTGTGACGCCTGGGCACCTGGCAAGCCTGGCAAGCCTGGGCGGCGGGCAACTGGGCTCTCGGCTGGCCATGGCTTAACGAAACTCGAAACTGGTAACTGGAAACGTGGGGTCCTGCTCTTTGGCGGGGCTCAACTCGTCGTCGGGGGTCGGTCGGCCTTTGACGTAACCTAGAGCAGAAGCCCAGAAGCCCGGAACCGATCCTGGGCGACTGCATTGACTAACTCCCCAAGCTAAACCCGGCCGACAGCGGGGGGGTCTTCCTGCGCAATTGGGGCGTCCTATTGGAAAATAATTTTCTGGGCCGTTGCGACAGGCCCCCGAACCATCATTCAGGGTCCTGGAAGCTCTGCCCTGGAGCTCAGTGCACGTGTAAGTTGACTAACGTATAGCAAACAACACTCCCCGCGCCTTGCCATCGACCGTCTCTCGAACCGAAGCGTATGCTAGGAGGCATAGCCCTGTCGTGATTCCCTATATATTCTCTCTCTCCTTCCACACAGGAATCCTCCCTCGGGCGCGGTTGCGAGTCTCCGACAATTGGCGGATTGCGTCGGCGACATCTTGAGCGACTTGATTGACTAGCTGACTCGCCGATTTATCCCATCGTATGACGCTCTACTCCTAGGTCCGAGCAATTCTGCAGCCACGCGCGACCTTGCAAGATCCTCGCGCGCAGATCAGACCTCGAGAGGCACGTCCGAAACCATGGCCGCCCCCGATCAGTCGAGCAACTCCAGCACCGGCGTGTCTGACATAGACGATGCCGTCAATGGCAATGCCCACCACGCTCGCGACAGCAGCAAGAAGTCGAGCAAGAAGAAGAGAAAGTGGAGATCCAAGGACGGCGGCGCCGACGAGTTCGAGGGCCGCTCTTCTCTGTCCAAGCGCCGGAACAGTCTGCACAAGGCCGCGAGAGACCCCAGGGACGAGCCCGAGGGCAAGCAGCGCAAGAAGGTCAAGGCCGAGGGCGTCATCACCAGATCCCCCAGCCCCGTCATCGACTTTGACGGCTTGAGTCGCCCCAGTAAGATATGCCCGCCCCTGCCCGTGCGGCCGTGCGCGTTCGCCTGCTGACAGCTTAGCCCGCGGGACCCGCGAACGCCTCGAGGAGAGCAGCGAACAGGCCGCCGAGCGCCTCGAGAAGATGCGCGCCGCCGTCCGGACGATCCTCGAGTGCGTCGGCGAGGATCCCGACCGGGAGGGTGTCTTGGACACGCCCACGCGATACGCCAAGGCCATGCTCTTCTTCACCAAGGGCTACCAGCAGAACATCAAGGACATTGTCAACGACGCCATCTTCCACGAGGGGCACAACGAGATGGTCATCGTCAAGGACATTGAGGTTTTCAGTCTGTGCGAGCACCATCTCGTTCCCTTCACGGGCAAGGTAGGTAGCCTATGGTGGGCGTACTTTTGGGAGGGGCCTGACTGACACCCGGCCAGATGCACATCGGCTACATCCCGAACAACAACGTCATTGGCATTTCCAAGCTGCCGCGCATCGCGGAGCTGTTTGCGCGCCGTCTCCAGGTCCAAGAGCGCCTCACTAGGGAGGTGGCCAATGCCATCATGGAGATCTTGAAGCCGCAGGGAGTCGCGGTCGTCATGGAGTCCAGCCATCTGTGCATGGTGATGCGCGGTGTCGAAAAGACCACAGCGACCACCATCACAAGCTGTGTGCTGGGCTGTTTCGAGCGCAAGGAAAAGACGAGAAACGAGTTCCTCAGCCTCGTCGGGCTCAATCGCAGGGTCTAGGCAGGCAGGCATGATATGAAAAGTGTGCATGTGGTTATGGAGTTTGGGCGTCACTTGTGGGATTTCAACATCAGCCTACACCGAGGCACAACAAGGGTTGGTTTTGCATATAAAGCATCTAAACGTGGTCTCAACGCCGACCCAGAAAAGAGGCAACTCAACGGAAGCATATGGGGAGACACATCCCTATTCAACATGTAGTATAATGATATCACAACCGGCAACAGCGCTCGTTGTCACTGTCCACCGCCGACTACCTGCTGATTACTTAGTTCACCAGTCTTGTCTCTACCCATCTCGGAGGTGCTTCCATCATGTTTCAGAGATAGCCCGTGTCAGATCTTGCGTGGGGCTGGCACAGCTAAACATTATCTTATTGAGCAGTTGAGTTATCGTTTCCCTTCAGTATAACCTCTACATCAGGATATGCCGTCTCCGTGGCTAGCCACTGGCGTTCATCCCGTCTCTCGTCATTTGAAGAGTTCGACTGATCAGTAGCATCCTCAGCGGGCGCACGAGTTGCGATCCAGAGATCCTGCGGGTTCCCGAATTCGGAGCGAGTCGGGATTTCATACTCAGAGCTCCGTTTGTCACTTGTGCCTGGCTCTCTTTGATGGCGGCGCCGAACGACGTCCTGGGGGCCGAATGAGGCTGTCGTAAGACCAACCAAGGCCCCAGTCAGAGTCGCGACGATGTAGCCCCGGAGCTCGAGATCCTCGGCGGCATCCTCCTTCTCCAGGGCAAACTTCTCCTTCTTGCTTCTCCCGTCCCGACGCATGCATTTGATCTCCTGCATGACATACTGCAGCACCGGCTCTGGACATCTCGTGCGCTCCGCACACACCTCTGGTCGTCTGGCGTAACGCCGCGTCACGTCTGTCGCCCCATCGCGGGAGAAGGCGATGGCGTAGCTCAGCCGCTTGCCCCAGCCCTCGGTGTACAGTCGGGGGTTGTCCCAGGCCCCCTCACACACATCGACGTGGACCCAGCGCTTCCTGTGCTCCGAGAAGACTTCAGTCCAGACGTGGTCTTCGGAATTCCAGATCCACCGGACACGTGCTCCCATCGCTCGGCACAGCATGCCGAAGCAGTTCGCCCACTCTCCCACCCGCCCACACCGTGTCTCCATCAGCTTCCAAACGTCGGCATAGCGCGGAAAGCGATGGTATGCCAGACACTCCGGGTTGGAGCACTGGTAGAGCTCTACACGGAGAGCGCCGCAAGCACCCTCCTCCGGCGTTGGTTGGGTCATACCCTTTGGAAGCGTAGGATTCTCGCATGCCGGGCACGAGGGCGAGTTTACCCACATGAAAAAGCTTCGTTTAAACCAGCGCATCAGCGCGCGTATCGTACAGTCTTGATACCCCCAGTCAGGGTCCCTGCCGTCGCCTATGCTCTCGGCTCGGGCGACGAAAACGTTCCATTCCTCTTCGGCTTCGCTATAGATGCGATCCAGGGGTACGGCCTGGAGAGCCTCGTCGAGAAGCCCTGGGTTCTCCCACTTCATCGGCGATTGTGAAAGCGACATAAGAAGGCTTCGGAACTTCTGGGCCCCCCGATCTCCGGCTGGCGGTGGGACGGGAAATTGGGGCAAGTTGCGTAGAGACGCAAACGAAGGCGGACTATCTCTAGGTTCTGATGTCCCTGCGTTTGGTCTCTTTATCACAGTCCTCAATTTCGCCTTGTTTTGCAAGTCGTTCCAGCGCTTATCTCGTACACGAGATTCAAACTGCATCGTTAATGCATGCGCCCAATCCGAACTGGATAGTGCGGACGTGGTTGAGGAATTGAACGTGGCCTCAATGCCGCTACATGAACGTTCTTTACTATCGTGTAACCCGGGTGACATCTCTGTCCGTTTGACCCTCGTGGTAGGCCGTTTTGCGTCAATATGAGGCCATCTGGTCATTGGTGTACGGATTGCGAAAGCAGGCTGCAAATCCTCGGTTCTGGCTGTGGGTAAACTTGGTACCTGTCCGCTGCGAACCAAGATATCTTCAAAAATGTGTACAAAGGGGGTAATAAGTCCAGTGCCACCATCGGGAGACCCTGCGACCAGATGGCCATACAACGCACCTGACGAAGCATCTACGACCCAGGATCCGCAGTCGCCCACTTCGAGACGATCGCTGAACGCTGCAGTCAACATCTCACGATGAGAGCTGGTACCTGGCGCTTTGCCATAAGCTGGAGTGGCCGACAGCATGCCTGGTATGCAACCGCGCGATGATATCAAAATGACAGACGTGTTGTCTGACGGCGCTTTTGCAACATCTCTGACCACCAACGGTGGCTCCGATGCACCCTTCAATGGTATCGCATTAGCACGTCGGTGCTTTTGATCCACCACCTCTATCAGTGCGTAGTCCAGGGCTGTCCTGGAACGTCTCCAGGGTGATAAGAACACTTCTCCAGGGTGCTCGAAAGTTAACTCTTGATCCTGACTGGATTGATAAGCACTTCGAGCCACAGTGGCCGCTGAAGCCTGGGAGAATTGATTGGGTGCACATTGTGCATTCTGGTCTGCGGTCCTTGCTGTAGGTCCCGAGGCTCTTGGAGCATCGCTTATGACAAGGCCCTTGATATCATCAGAAACTTCGCTTTGACCTGCTGCGGTGCCACCACATGGGGTATCGAGATCCTCGCTGCCATCAAAGCTACACGCATCATCATCGGAATCGTATTCCTCTCCTCTCTGAGGCCGGCCTACCTCCTCGAAAAACGCGTGTGCCGCCGTGGTGTAGAAATATTTGCCATTCACCTGAATAACACCACCAAGAGTTGCCTTTGATAAGGTTGCCGTCTGACTGTCATACCTTCTTATACCTAGCGGCGTCCCAAGACCATGACTGGCACGCGGCGGCCATACGAAGGTTGTTTTGCGGCAATCCTGGCCTGCCTCGTGCCCACCGGCTAAAGAGACGAGTTGATCAAAGTCTGGCGGCCGTGGCATGTGGCCCGTTTTGAGTCCCGGATATCTGTCCAAAATGCCGCTATCCTTGATGACATTTCGAATCTCTCGTCTATGTGCCGCGACTTCACAGCAAAAGATGATGGTCGGACTGGAGGTAGTCGAGGTCTTACCCATCATGTATATCGACCATGTCACCCAACTGGTGAGGGGTTCGACACATCGATTCAAGTAATTCTTGATATCGGGAGCGATGCACTTGAATGCCTCGCGCGCCTCTCCGACCGCTTCCCATACCGAGTCCTTGCCGATCTTGGAAATCAGGCGGCCGACTGAGCGTTCCGGGTTCGGCCATGATTCCGACTTGTCATGGCCCCTTCGAAAAACCGACGACAGTCCGGTCTCGCGAGACGTCAGCCTGGAAGGCGAATATCGAGTTGATGCCATCCCAGCACTGGGTCATAAATCCCTGGATCTCGGGTTGGAACACAAGCTTGATCAAATAACTGGGCCATTTTCAAGATAGCAGTCTTGGGGTTTACAGTCAAAACTCTCAGCTTGCGGTCCAAAGGAGGCAATGGGAGTCGTCATCAGCTTCGCGGCCACTCCTCGGTGACTGGTCTTGGCGCTGAGGCTGAAGGTGGTGTGCATCCCACGGTGGAGACTGATTGGCTCTCTCGATCCACATCTGCAACCACTGAGGCCAGTATTCGTACGTACTGACCAGGGGTCAATCCCAAGGATAGTGGTGGTCATAAACAATCAGAGCATTACAAAGATTCCGAAAATTTAGAGTTTCTGGAATCACAGAGAACTATATTCCAGTTGATTAGCATATTTGTAGGCTTGTGCACCGCTTTGCACCAACTTCACTCAATGGATTCTAGTCTATTAGACACACCCTATGACCACCTGACTAAACTCAAAATTACCGACGCATTTTGGGGCAACGATTGCAATAAGAGATTGAGTGAGGCGACGATTGGTCTATCGCAATTCTGGACATACTACGGCAAAGAATGTGCGCATGCGCTCCACGATGGGGGCCGTCATATCGCGCTAAGGACGCATCTGGATGTCGTAGAGTTAGTCCATGATATTAGAGAAGGCCACCATAGGGACACGATCAAGAAAAGTCTGCAGTCGAAGCTAGCAGAAACCCACGAAAATGAAGACGAACTGCTGGATAACTCTATCGACCTAGCTGCGAGTTTACTGCTCATGTGCGACTGCGGAAGTAGCTCCTCACATGGATTCTCGGGCCGCGCCGAAGTGCGATGGAAGGCTGGGCTATCCCTGCGGGGGTTTCTTGCAATTTATTTTGGCCAAATACCTGTTCTCGGTCATGAGAAAGTCAAGCTGGAGAGGAATTTCATCGGCAAGAACCTTGAGCGCATCGCTGGCATTAGGATCGTTTGGACAGATAACCTAGCAGACCACCTGCGGCTGATAGACGACGACACCAAGGTGCAAGTGTTCCATCATGCCTCCTTCCTGGAATATCACCGTCGGAGGTAAGCAAAATTCCCATATACCCGTTGTATCATGTCTGTATTGACCAATCACTACAGTAGCGAGAGCCTCTTCCCACCAGGCCTAGCACTCGAGACGATACAAACCTTGGCCCTGCTGTTCCCATCCACAGATGGCGAGACCAAAAGATGGCTGTCAAGATTCACTGAGGTAGATCAACGGGTGGCTCAGTGTGGTCGTTTAAAGACAGACCTCCGACAAATCGAGAGGTTCACGTTTTGGAGGGACCGGCTTGTGATGTTGAAGCAAGTTTTCGACGAAGCACAGCCGCGATCTCTCATGCAATGGTGGCATGACCGTCGCAACGGCGTTCAGTGGTATACATTCTGGGTTGCCGTGATGGTCTTAGGGCTAACCGTGTTCTTTGGCTTGGTTCAAAGCGTCGAGGGAGCTTTACAAGTTTGGGCATCGTTCCACGCTCTGGACTCTGCAGGCTGAGTAGACACAGTGAATTGCTAGGTACCGTCGTGTGGTGTAATTTATATGACTTTCGAAATTGACCTGGTCATCTTGCGTAGCATCCGGTTCCAGCTCGAAACAGAACGTGTTCTACATAGCACGACCGAAAATTGGACCGCGGTGTCGAAGCCACTTAGACATCGCTAGTACACAATGGAGAGAGCTAATGAATGCATCATCGTGATACTGCGGTAATCTTACTCTAGCATAAGGTTATCGCGTTGATTCACTCGAACATTTATCTATGGCCAAGGCAAACCAGCGAAGCTTGCGGAACGGCTACAGAACTAGTTGCTATCCCAGCAGCCTCTACCACCTGGGTTCGTAGGTGCCGGAGGGTGGCTTTTGAAGGTATTGGAACCGATCGAAAACATGGCAAGAGAGGCTTTGATCGAGACGACAGATTCTAACGAGGATGGAAGGGAGGAAATTCGAAGACAAGAGAGACGCCGGCTTGAAGCCGAAAGTTGAGACAAAATATGGTGCCGTGGTGTGGTACTCACAGACTGATCGATGCGACTTTGGGATTCGAGCCGAGGTGGCTCTTTGACAGTGACACAGTAGCTCAATGCTCCTCAGGGGGTTTGCTGTTGGCACAACTTTTGGTTACTGCCCGCTTGGCCTCACACGTACAGCAGGCTAGGCGACAAGTTGTCTGCCACATCTCTGGGTGGCTGGGACATTCTGGTTCGCACGGCGAAAGACATCGTTATAGTTGCCGTCTCGTATGTTAGCTTCCTCACTGAGGTCGGGGATTCTGAGGATAGGATCCCAGTCAGGGGCTGGTTGAGCTAGCGAAAGTGGGGCGTGACGGGTGTCGTCAAAACATCACGATAAAGCCAGAGTGCACCGCGCTACAACGCGTGACTGACCAGAATGCGATTTACGTCAATTGCTGCTTGTGCGAAATGGGGGACTTCGCCGCCGCAGATCTTTCCGACGCAGCCCTGGGAGGCTCGATCAGTATCGAGGATGGTCGTTTCGTCGACGGCTACGGCCGCGCCCTGATGTTGCGGGGCTTCAATGTGTCTGGGGGCTCGAAACTGCCTACCAAGCCCAATGGTTTATCTCATCTCACCGACGGTTTCTACGAGCACAGGACCGTGACCTTCACCGGCCGGCCATTTCCTCTCGGGGATGCTCACCTTCATTTCCGCCGCTTGCAGGCCTGGGGCCTCCCATTCATTCGGCTGCTGGTCACATGGGAATCGATCGGGCATGCGGGCCCAAATCCGACCACGGACCTAGACCTGGAGTACATCGCCTATCTCCGCCAGCTGATCCAGATGATGCCGCAGTATGGGATTAAGTGCTTCATCTGTGCACATCAGGATGTATGGAGTCGCTTCAGCGGCGGCAGCGGCGCACCAGGCTGGACCTTTGAGGCTGCTGGTTTGAACATCGAGGCCTTTACCGACACTGGTGCCGCTTATGTGCATGGTCAGGACGAGCTTCGAAGGGCGCAGGCGCCCGTGAATGAGAAGGAGCCCAGCGGCCCGTTTGTGTGGCCGTCCGGGTACCAGAAGCTGGCTGCATCGACCATGGCTACCCTGTTTTGGGCGGGTGACGCGTTGGCGCCAGATCTGCGATGTCGTCGATCCCCTCTTTCGGGTTCGGGCGAGCCAGAAGAAGTCTCGGTCCAGGAATTCTTGCAAGGTGCCCTTGTCGAAGCGTTTGGACGACTAGCGGATGAGGTCGCCGGCCTCGAGGCATGCGTTGGATTTGAGCCCATGAACGAGCCGCATCGCGGTCTTGTGAACCTGCACGGATTCCACAACTGGAACTATGACACAGACCTTCACATTGGTTACTATCCATCTCTGGCACAGGCGCTCGCGCTTGGGAGTGGTTATGCTCAGACCGTGCCTTACTACGTTAAGTCCTGGCCTTGGCCAACGCGTCAATCTCATCAGTCGCTGGTCGACCCCCTGGGCCGATCCGCTTGGATAGATGATGTATCAGGCGCTGGCACTGATCGTCCTCGTGGGTTGGGTAAGTGTGTATGGCGTGCGCATGGCGCGTGGGACTGGGACGAGAAGAGCCAAAAGCCGGTGGTCCTCAAGCCTGACTATTTTGAGTACGACCATCGGCCAGGATCTGAGGGCACACGTATTGAATGGTATCGCGACTGTTACTCCCCTTTCCTCCGCAGGTTTTCCGAACGTGTGTCACGCAAATCTCCAAAGTATTTCTCGTTAGTGGAACCGATACCCAACGAGTTCATGCCCCCTTGGGCCGGCGAGAGTGCTGGCAATCGCGTCGACCAGGGGCCACGACAAGAATACGCTGTCCAGACGGCGCTGCCTGTAAATGATCGTCCACGCAACCTTGTGTATGCGCCACACTTCTACGACCTCAATGTTCTATTTAGCAAGTCCCACGCCTGGATGAGCGTCAACGTGCAAGGACTTGCTAGAGGCATGTTCGTTCTGAATGGGCTCTATTTCGGATCCTCCGGCCTACGTCGGAATTATCGCAAACAGATCGGTAACATTGTCGCTTATGGCCGTGCCTCACTTGGCAAATTGCCAGTCGTCATTGGCGAGATAGGCATCCCCTACGACATCAATAACGGGCATGCGTTTCTGACGGGCGACTACGACAAGCAACGGGACCTCATGGGAGCCCTCATCAGCTCCATGGAGGATAATTTAATCGACGGGTTCTCCCTGTGGAATTATAACCCTGATAACAGAGTTGAATACGGCGACGGGTGGAACAGGGAGGACTTCTCAGTCATCAATGGTGATGACGTTATTACGGGTGACCAGTCAGACAGACAGACCAAAGTACGCCCGGACTACCGCAATGCCATTCACGAATCTGATGAGCTATATCGCGGCTGCAGGGTCCTTGATACGGTGATCAGGCCGTACGCGGTGAAAGTCGCGGGCGTTCCACGACGCTCGGATTGGAACCCGCGCACGCTGCGATATGAGTTTGAGTGGGCCAGCCGTGAGCTGACCGAGAGAATGCCCAACGGAAAGTGTTCAACAACAGAGATCTACATCCCAAGCTACCACTACAGCAAACACAAGCTCCATATCAAGGCCAGCCATGGCCTGGCTTGGTCATTTGATGAATCTAAGCAGACCTTGTTTATATCCCAGAAGGATATAAGCGCGTCCCTAGGCCAAAAAGTCTCGATTGAGATCGATGCAGTGCAGACGCACTTGATGCAACGGGTACGACAGCAGCGCGAAGCGTTGTCATCACATGGATTGGGGACGTTGGTACCCCCTCTGCTCATTGCGATGTGGGAAACTGTTACTTTTACCTATCTCGCTTTGCTAGCTATCTCAATCCCTGGGGTTCTTGGCGCTGTATTATTCTATGAGCTGCTCAAATGAGAGCTTCTACTGCCAGACCCGACTATATTCAGATTTAGAGATAGAAATGTCTATATACGTGTTAATTCTGCTCTCTACATCACGTCAGACTATGCCTTACTCTTTTCGACCGGGGCAACAACATGGAAGCAGACTTCCACAATTCCTTCGTCAGGGGTTGGCCGGGTTGGGATGGATCTAGTGCTCCAGGCGATACGCCATAGGAGCCGATCTGGGCCTCGATTGCTGAACTGAAATCGGTGTACACCTTGATTGTGACTCCCAAGGTGGGGACCAATGGAGTCTGGCTACCTAAGTATTCTGGAACTTTTCATACAGAATTTGAGTCGAAACTATTTCGACCTATGAAGCAAATCACCTGTAACGACTTCCTTGTGAGAGTAAACTGGCCTGCATGAGGATATCAACCCCTCGTGTATCCGTTCCGTATAGAACGCCACTCATAGGAATACATTGAAGACCACCGGCCTACTCGACGGTTAACACAGATGCATGCGCGATTCCAAGGTCTGAATGATTGTTTGTAAACAAAGCTGATACTCGTCTGTATGTTCCCTTTATCGATCCTGCTTTCACCCCTATTATCCTAATGACAACCGCTCAATAGCCAGGTCTACTCTCATGCCTCTTGGGGAATATGATTTGACACCCGCCATCGGTGGAGCAAATGCTTTGCCTTACCTGCCCCTTTGTTCACTGAGGTATCTGGTAGAATGGTGTTGCCATCTACTTCATGTATTTTCTGAAGGCCAACATGGAGATGACAGGCAATTGTGGTTGAGAAACGAGGGGTAGTGAGAGGTGAAACTGAAAGGACTAATTGTCACTATAGCGGCCTGCAAGGGAATAGATAACATGTGCCGTTTACAGATAATCGAGTTTTCCCATACGTCACAGGGGTGTAGTTATAAAGAGTTCCATACCTGACCTTGCGCGGGCCGAATCGTTCTTCAGCAAGGGACAGTCGATCTACCATCTGCCTGGTCCTGATTGACAAGGGAAAATGAAGCGGCCGCTTGGCTCATGACACGTGTTTCGGCTGATTGGCAGAGTAAGAATAGAAAACCCTGATGCCAGCCTACCACTGTCCCTTCACTAAATCTGCACCGCATCGAGGTGCCGAGCCTTGGCAGCTTGGGGCGGAGAGTTGACACGGGCTTCTAGCGACGTTCTGGGCTGGACTAGTTGCCCGACGATGGCAAAGACTGTGCGATAACGCCTGCACTTGCTCGTAGAGTCGTAGAGAAGAGAAAATCTCGGTCGAACTAGCACGGCGCTGTGGTGATTTATCGTACCCACACCCGACGTCATACTGCTAGCCCTACACGATTCGCCCGGCCTCACTCAGCGGTCCGAGAGTGGAGACACACGGCAGTTTAGACCCGTTCCGCACAGCATCCCTGTAGATCCTTGAGAGCCTCAACATGGCCTTCAAATTTGCATTCGTGTATTTGCCTCTGGGGACATATGATGTGTATGATTGAGGGGGTCCGGTTCCCTCAGTTCTGGATACAGAACAACCCCCCCGGAGAAATTTCCAACGGCCAACGTGACGTCAGGCCCGTGAACAGGGCGCTGGGCCACATCTCAATGTTTAGTCGAGTTTCGCGGTCGCCGGTCGGCGGCTTCACGGTGATATGGTGGACCAAGCGATATCGTTCCACCTTGACCTGAGGAAATACGCCGACGGCGCCGAGCGATCGTGTCGTCAAGGAAACAAAATGGCAGGTGTCTCTCTTCTTAATGCTCCTTCCTCCCTCCCTCTTAGAGCAAACCTAGCTGCATAGCTCCCGTGGCAGCCATAGCTCCTATCCCGACTCTGCCATCATGTCTTATTATCTTCCCTCATTTTCTGCGCCTCCGTCGAGGCCTGGGTCACTCGCAGCTTCCAGGGCTAATTCCACCTATGCGGGTGCCCGCAGCAGGCCCAACAGCAGGCCTGTCACGCCTCGGGCAGTCTCTACTGCTCCGACAACGCCTGCAATTCTTTCAAGGGCGAACAGCAAGACGAGCGAGGAAGACTATACTCCTGAAGAGAACTCTGAGATTATACGGAATGAGAAGGGGGAACCAATGATTGGTAGGATCGTCGGAGGGAAATATGTCGACCCTGAAAACGAAGACATCGATGCAGATTGTGGTCCTATCAAACATGTGGACATCGATATACCACTCACACTCACAGAAATGGTCAAGCACAATGACAAAGAGTACATTGTCCTTGCCTTCGCCACGGACGATAAGGAAAACCCTTTCAACTGGAACCCGTGGTACAAGAGAAGCATCACGACGATACTCAACCTGATGACACTATTCATCGGTCTGGCTACAACAGCGTACAGCTCCGGTATCGACAGCATGGTTGCAGATCTGGGCGCGTCCAACGAGGAAGGACAACTTGGCTTGTTCACTTTCAACATTGCCTGTGCTATCGCGCCCATGATCCTGGCCCCGTTCTGCGAGCTTGTGGGAAGGAAAATTGTCTACGCTGGTGCATTTTTCTGCTTCACGGTTCTATTCATTGGACTGGCCCTTGCGCAGAACATCGGTACCATTATCGGTCTCCGATTACTCCTTGGACTTTTTGGGTGTGTCGGTACCATCCTTGTAGGCGGTACGTTCGATGACATGTATGAGCCGCACAAGCGTGGCCTTCCTATGGCCATGTTCAGCTTCGTCGCTATTTTTGGCACTGTTGCCGCCCCAATCTACGCTGGTTTTATTGATCAGTCTCTCGGCTGGAGGTGGATTGAGGGTATTCAGGGCATTGCAAATGTTCCCCTCTTGATCCTCATCGTCTTCTTCTTTCCCGAAACCCGTGGTGGCGCCCGTCTCCACAAGCGGGCCAAGGCACTTCGCAAGGCGACTGGCGACGATCGCTATGTTGCGGAAGATGACATCTACACTCCTGACATCAAGTCTATGCTGAAAGCTTCCTCCGTCAAGGCTGTTCGAATGCTGGCCACCGAGCCCGTCGTGTTCGCATTCGGTCTGTGGATTGCGTTCTGCTGGTTCGTTGTCTTTTTGTTTCTGTCGGTCATCCCGATTACTTTCAACGAGAAACGCGGTTGGTCTGAGGGTGTGAGTGGCTTGCCTTACATATCACTCGCTGTCGGGACTACGTTGGGATGGATGGCACATCATTTGCAGATGTGGAAGTATAACAAGCTCCAGGAGGATCCTAACGTCAAGGTCCTTCCAGAGCACCGTTTGTATGGCGCCATGTGTGGCGCTGTCTTCCTCCCCATCGGACTCTTCATCTACTCTTTCACCCAGTATGCTTTCTTGTCATGGGTTGGCCCTGTCATCGGTCTCGCACCTATCGCATTCGGCATCTACTTCGTTTTCGAGAGTACGTACAGCTACACAGCAGACTGTTACGGAGACAGTGCCTCGTCTGCGATTGCTGGACAGGGTCTGATGCGGAACACGTTGGGGGCGGTATCACCTCTCTTTGCCAGTGCATTTTTCCACAATCTCGGGAGTCAATACGCTGGTCTGCTTTTGGCCCTGCTCGGCACTCTACTGAGTCTGATTCCGTTTGTTATGTTCAAGTTTGGATACAAACTCAGAGCTCGTAGCAAGCTTGCTAAAGAATATTAAGCTCCATACGCTGCGTAGTGTGTGTAGTCAGTTTTAATCACAATAGAATCGTATATGAAGGCTATACCTGTCAATTTGAACTACCACTCGATCGTCACATGAAAATTGCCTCGCTGCTTTCTGCTTTGGTTTCCGAAGACATACCTTCACAGTTGGATACTATCCACCATGGCAATTGAACAGGGTGTGCTCTGATAAAACCGTGACTGCAGCGATGCATCTGAGTTTAGGATAGATGCATCATCGAGCGCCGACTTTGCGTAAGCACCCAACTAGCTGAATCCAACGCCACAGGCGCCTATTTGGGTAGGATAAAGCTGCTGCCCACCAAGTCTCCAGATATATGTTTTGTTTAGTGGTGTGAATTTCCAAGTCTAAGGCAAATATGGTATTTTCGTTTCGTACTGCTGATAGCAAGACTTGAATTCAATCGTGTTGTAAGTCTCAGAGCAGCACGGATGTATCGGCGACTGGCTCCAGAAGCTGCAAACACTCCAACAGTTCAAGGCTGAGGAAAAGAAGACGGCTTCTCTCCCAAGTTGCTGTGACTGCTGTATTCACGTATGCACGGGCCACCTCTCACAGCTTGTCTCACCGGCGGAACTTCACCAAACGAGCCACTTCTCCCAATCCGCGGCATTAACGCATTGGGAATTCTCATGACTCTGGCGCGGCCTAGCCAAGATGCCTCAGAACTGGAGAAAACTCCGATATAGCGGAAGAAACCTCCAATCTGGGTCGGAAGGTGATACGTATCAGAAGGTATAGCAGATTCTCCCCAAACGATAAAATTGGTTTTAGAACTCTTATGCACTTTTGTCAGCCAGGGGCCCATTTCCGTTATTTGAGCCGCACAAAACCTATGATCATCCTGGTGCACCCCCAGGTTTCTCTGGACTGCTGTCAAAAGTCTATTTTCTTTTTACGTACTCCGTATGCCATGTTACATGACCGCAAACGGTGCCATATTTCGTTTTGTCAACGTGGTTTCAATAGCCGTCAAGGCAGGGTTTCGGCGCCAGGGTTGGGGTCACATCCAACTGGCACGCCAAGCCCTCCTTTGGCACTTGGGGCGGTTTCCAGGCTCGTAGGACGGGAAACTGTGATGCATGCCAAGCCCGCGAATGGCCAGGCGTCCCCACAAACCTTAATCTCCATGGTCTGATACAGGGGATGCCACTGACTCGCCGCAAAGAGACAAGTCGTACCCAGGAGGTTGCAGTGTTTCGAGATGTTGCTTCATCGCCCTCGACCCTGCACAGAAGGGAAGAGCCCTCGCGTACGGCTTGTTCTGCCGGGGTTTTCTTGGACGACATGCGGCATGAGTATGCAGCAATCCGGGGACTGGAGCTGGGATTTGGATGCGCGCGCGGAAAGCATATATAAGATGGAGTGATTGCCCGTCCATCAGTAGATCATATTGTGTATCATCAGCCCGCTCCCACCCTCGACAACAGCAGAGCTTTCACCCTTCGTTCGGCCGGTCCGTTTATATATATATATATATTTTACCACCTATCTAACTTTTCACACCTCCCGCCAAAATGCACTTCAACTATTCGGCTCTGCTCCTGCTTGCTGGCAGCTTCCTTGTATCTGCTTTGCCGAGACCCGATATCGGTGATGCTGTGACCAGCGGACTTCCCGCCAAGGTTCAAAAGCAGGTGGATAACGGCGACCTGAGCTGCGTCGAGGTCTCGGATGGTATTTCATGCAGTGACCAAGCTGGCAGATCGTTCTTCGTGCGGGATGTAAGTACTTTTGCGCCCAATTCATCACCAGTCTTGCGACAGGTATACTGGAATAAGGCGAAGCAAAAGCTGACTATGTTTGTAACGCGCAGGACGGCAGCACCACGAAATTGCAGTAATCGCTGCAACAAACGACGGAGACGACTAGGATAGGACCGACTCTAGAGTAGTATCCACAGTTATTCAGCACCACGGGCAACCTGAGTAAAACATGGATCGCAGGGCTGTCAATAGCACCAAGCAGGGTGGTAGCAACGTGATAGATTAGCCGAGGCCACAAGATGTTGACCAAGGCCTAGTCCCTCCTATGGAATAGCTATCTCTACAATCAGGAATTGTCCAATCACCATTCGTACTTGCTTGACTCGCATAACACTGAGTTCCCTTGTTGCCAATAGATAATCAGGTTGTTTGAAGGATAGAGCCGTCAAAAGTCATCGCCACTTTGTGCGACAAAAGGGATATCATCTATTTACCAGCTCTAGTACCATGGATTAAGATGTCAAAGTATTCCGTAAATCACGCTATGAACCTGTCAATACCTCACTATATCACCACCAACGCTTTATTTCTTCTACAAGGTCTTGCACCATATCGACTTTTTGTTAACCCGAACGCCCCTGAAGACCTTATCGCCCAGCTCATGATTATCGTGGCAGATATCTCGAGTTCAAGGACTCCAAGTTCCATGGACACAGTTTGACTCACTTGGATATTCTACGGCCTTATGAGGTCTAAACTCTTGTTCGCGATTCTTGAGGCTTTTGATTGGTTCTTTTACGTATTATAAAATAGAAGAAGGAACCCTCTATATGGAAAAGTCAACGCTACTTGCAAACAGAGATGCATTTACATCATCCGACTGGTTCACAAAGGCCTATTCAGGCTGATACAGTATGTTTGATAATGCATCAGCGAAAATCTCTATAGCTCTTCTGCCGTCCGAGAGGGCACCATCCATTGCAATGAATGGATGAGGCTGCCCTTTAAAGACGTGCACATTGGCCTTAGCGCCAGCGGCATTCATTTTCTTCGCAAAATCCTGGCCTTCGCTTCGCAGCACATCTAGCTCCCCAACGAGTATAACTGCTGGAGGTAATTTGCCCCAATTGCCTTTCCACAGCAGCGGGCTTGCCTCTGGGTGGCACCACTGTGCCGGATCGGGTAAATAATGCTCTCGATACCACATCATTTTAGCTGCAGGAAGGGCTGGAGTAAACTCATTTTCTCTCCAGGAGACATTGTTCTCGGCAGTGGCCGTGTTATCAAGAACTGGGACGCTGAGGAATTGAAGACGCGGCATCCACGTGCTAAACCCAGCTTGGCGTTGACAAATTGCGGCAGCAATATTCCCACCTGCGGAAGAGCCGCCAACAGCAACGCATTTCTTGTTGATGCCCCGAAGAACGGGGTCTCGATTTGAATCATTGGTTGCCCATAGGAATACTTGCCAACAGTCTTCCAGCGCTGTCGGAAAACGGTGTTCAGGAGCAAGCCTGATTTCATAAGTGATTAGCAAAGATGAAATCCGATAGAGCCGCTGAAATCTGTAAATAGGACATCTGCTGTAGGAACTTGCGAGTGCGCGAGGAACAACTCCAGTGGTCTATGCAAGCTTACCTATAGTCCACTGTTATTACAACGCACTTTCCCGCGTGAGAAAGCCGTGAGGTAATAACATTTTCCGTATCAATATTCCCCAGTACCCATCCACCACCATGGAACCAGAAGCAAAGTGGCCAGCCAGCTGCGGGCGCCTGACTCATGGGAGTGAAGATACGGATTGGAATGCGAGGAAAATCTTGGCCTGTCATCAGCCCAGGGTTGCGACACAACCTCGGATCCTGCAGGACAAGATGGTCTTTGACGGAAACATTGGCCTCAGGCTTGCCGGCCCCAAGTACAATTTTACCACCGCCCGCGCGGGACGCTTCGACTGGTTGGAGGTGGACTTGCTGCTTGTCTTGGAGGTGCTCGTTATAGAAAGCAGCATACTCTGGGTTTATCCTATCAATGACGGAGGGATGAAGTGGATATGGTGGTTCGGTGCGCTGCTTCACAGGAGCCATTGTGCTGTGCGATATAGTACGGCCCGGGTGTTAGGTGTGAAAGAAATCGAGATAGGGACTATCGGTACTACAAGCAGTTGAGGGCTCAATGATAATAGTCGTGTTAAACAACAGGCATAACTCGAAGGAGAAACCGGTTTCTGTCGTAGTCTAGGACGAGGGGAGGCGGAGGGTTGTTTCTTGACTTCCGCAATTCAGGGAAGAGATCCAGTACTACGAATCTCCACGATATGACGTTGCGGTAAGCTTTGTACCGCCCAGTTTTAAGTTCAGCACCGGCAACCACGATCCACAGCATTCCGTTTCCGATGCCAGCCCGGCGAGCTTCGACACTTGGGGGTCATCGGGTCTTTTGGGGGGATGATAAGGATGCCGAGCTAGAGTGCTCCCGTGCTTGTGGAGACCGACGTCGAACTATTTCCTTGTAGGTTCTAGCTCATTCAGTCATTGCGCATCGGGATCCGATTAGAAGGTCCCGACTGGTGGGTCTCAACAACGTTACACGACTCTGTGCTGCCAAATGATCGCATTGAAGAGAGCCGCAGTTCGGCATTTGCGTGGGGGTCAGGATTCTTCCTCCGATGAATTTAGTGTACGAACCTTGAGGGCGCACTTGACCACATGTAAAATCGACCAAACACTCTTCTTGGAAATGGGTGGAATGACCAACACCGCGTTCCGGGCGCAACGCGGTGGCTTCTGACGCAAAATCATTTCGAGAAGAGAAATCGCCGCAATCCATACTCCTTACCGAGTTCGTTGAAGTTGGTATTTACAGTTTCGAAGGGTTGTACAGTATTGATTTTAGGCAATTACAGCACATACGGCCAGGAATGAGGAAAAAGTGGATGAAGCCAAGCTATTAACAGCAGCTGATGAAGGGCACTCCTATTTCGTGCGCCAATCTCTCTACAGAGTTCGAGACATATGGCATACTTCTCTCTCCTGGAGGCTCAGGCTATGTAGGATAAAGACTGCTCATAAAAAGCGCTCGTCGCGGTGCCCTATGAGTCCCCCTAGTAGTGTGCAGAGCTTGTATCCAATGGGTTCAATTGATTCAGTGCGTCAATTCGAAGACTGCACGGATAGCATGACTTGGCCTGGGACGGCCCTCCAACAACGCTGTACGGACCATAATATTCGGAAGTATAAGAGCAGTTGGCCAAGTCGTTCCGAATTAGGAGGACATTGCCACTTGATGTAATGACTTTTTGAGCGAGTAATCCGCCGTGGCGAAAATGTAATCGTGGATCCATTCAACTCTGATCACTATGAAACTCGACCATTTGAAAGCGCACACCTTTTGATATAATGTCAAATGGGTCTTGGTTCTTATAGCCAGTTTCTTATTGCTTTATTTGCCGAGCCATTCTCCATCCTCCATCGGCACGGTTTTTTTTACATGTGTGTTAACATGCAGCCACGTAGGCAGAGAAAGTAGATGGTAATAGTAATGTATATAGCGGATACGTAAACTCATACCCAATCTCACTGTAAGGCCCTGATACTCCTTGATATACCATATATGACTTCTTATGTAAAGAGTTGGACACTATTGTTGTGGCTTCGGCCAGCTGCGCTGACATCACTTGTAAGTAGCCTTGCACTTAGCATTAAAATCGTCTCACCAACGCTGTATAACTTAATAGAGCCCCACGAACCTCCGCACTCCCGTATCTCGACTCTCTCCCCCATGTTCCCCACCTCTCATTCCAACTCTCAAATGCATGAATGCGCCATAAGAGTTACCCAGCTAAGTCGCCCGCGCTCCGAAAAACGTAAAGAGTCAAATATTCGTAATGGGACAAAATAGTTATTATCTGAATTCAGTATGGATAAAAAAACACACCATTCAAAGGCCACGATTAGCGCTATAGTCAGACTGGCCAGAGAACAACGCATTAGTAGGCAATGGCAGGAAGACGTCAGCCAGTATATGTGTATTTTGATCTGGTCCAACCCTCCGCCAAGATAGTCTCTTGCCGATCGCCGAATGAAAATTTTGCCATAATATTAGTTGAGGTAACTACATAGTTAGGTGCGTGCCGTATATGTAGGTACTAAGTGCTTCCTAGTCCACTCGGCTACGTGGGGTCTAAGCGTAAGATCTAGGTCATGGTGGACCGGACGCGTCAACCTTCGGGACGACCCACTCACTACTATGTACATTTTCAAAGTAGCGTACGCCTATCGGAATCGATCTGGTTCCCACCATTTACAAAATCAAGTCAAACTTGGCCCAGATTAAGTTATGCCAAATGGGAACTGATAGGGAGCACGATGCTAGAAAGGCTTGCCAGGATTGTCAGGATGCAGGATCAAGCTTGACAAGAGATCATCCTACATAATATATTTCTTTCCCAAACTGACAGCTGAGCATTGGGTTGAAAGTTAGGCCACATATCTCAGTGTCTGGCTGTGACCAGTTCCGAGCCACCCCCATCTTGAAGTGGCATCCGGTTCCCGTTTAGCGGTACTTATCGACGAGACGCGTAGTTCCAGGCTGCTATTTCCCGTCAGGAATAGCTTTAAGGCTATAACATCGGAGCGTATAGCTGGGCCGTGGTTCTGCGTATGATGCACTCTGATACCACCTTTTCTAAGATGTTTCAGGCAATTTATGCATAGCCAAATATACTACGTCACCCGCCTTCCGCTCCAGAGTCTTCAATCGGTCGTAAGCTAAACAGTTGCATGCCCTGCTCGGGGTATGTGCGTCTGATCTACCAGTCCACTAAGCTATCCTCAACTAAACTCCAAGAAGCTACGTACTGAGGGAATGCGGATCGAGTACGTGGCCATCCCTGCTGAAGATCTCATATCGGGAAGTAGCTTTAGCCCATAAAGAAAGCATACGTAACCAGAAGCATTGTATTGAGAGTACATAGAGAAGATTACACATAATATGGCTTGTGCTATACTTTGCGCTAGGGAAGCTGAAACCGGTCCACGTGAGTAGTATTCTTGCGTTGCATGTTTTGAACATACGCTCATCATTTCGCGCTTCAGCATTAATGGTAACAATCAAATCTCTACCTATACAATCATTTGAGCAAACAAGCAATATGAAATGATGCCCCTCTTGTGCTCGAAATACGTGAAGATAGCACATGGAGTAAGTACTGAAATATCTTGTCAAGTCACCTGGATGAGAGAAGTCATAACCCATGTTATTCTCAATGTCCATATACTCTGCGGCACACAGTTACTGTGCATGATGACAAGATTGCAAAGTCAAAGATCGCCGTGAGCCATGCTGGCCGCTGCGTGGCGATTACTAAGAAGGAGCAATGTTTCGAAGAGCAATGGGGATCGCGCCGTCCCCATCATCATCCCAAGTGAGTACCCATATGTCGCTGTCACTTGTTGGAATGGCGTACCACGAAGTCTCCATTGTACTGCCAATCTGTACAAAAACAACATGACCGTAGAACCCAAACCCAGTGGTTATCAGAGAAGAGTCCCCCGTCGTATTTGTGAAACCCACTTGGCCGGAGGTTGATGGGATGTACAACAAACTCTGGCTGCTGTCAGTCATGGTTGCTGTGAAGTTGCCTCTGGTGCTCATAGCATCGACTGCCACTTTTGTTAGCTATCAAGTGCTGCAATATCATAGGCTTAGGAAGATAAAGACGCACACGTGACATTTTGCGCAGTGGAATTTATCGCAGATGGAAGTCTAGAAGACACATAGGCCATGTCTCAAGTTCAAATAGTTAGTGACCTAATGACATCCGCTTTTAGTTTAACTCACTGCCTATGGAAATGACAGGGAAACCGCCAATGCTGTCGGGACCGTAAGCGAATAGTGTGAAGTCCGTGTTTGCTCGAGGCTCTAGGGGCGAGGCCAGCGATGCGGCCGCAATAAACGGCAAGACTCGTATAATTTTGTAGAGCATTTTGGGCGGGAAACTTGAGAGGATCAAGAATGAGACGTTGAATTCTATCGATGACAAGACAGCTGTAGTCAGGCGACTATGACTTTGATTGTGGTAGAATGTCCGCGTTGCATTAGAAAATGGAATCGGCCTATTCATATTATCATCCTACACCAAGGCACATTAACACGGTTCCTAACCAGCTTACGCATACGAATTGAATTCATCATTGCCGAGCGAGCATGATGGGGCTCAGCTTGGCCCATCCGTGACGCGTAGTCAGAGCTGGGAAGCGGGCCGCGCCATGAGCAATCGACGGATTGGCCCTGGAAGCCCAAATAGACACAGCCCCCACACCCGGAGTACAATCCTTTTCAAGATGCCTGTCCAGATAGAAAAACAAGGTGAGGGGGGGGGGGTTGTGGGGAGACGCGCGTGGCACCCCTGGTTCTGTGTCGCCGTGGCGCTAGCATGAACCAGCCTGGTACTTAGGTACATACGTCACCATGTGCCAAGCTCATGCGGTTAAACGAAGCGCCCCTGTGCTAGTTAGCCCTTTGTCTCCAGACGTGGCGTTGTGGGTCATCTACGGCTATACTGTTGCAAATATCTGTCCCAAAGGGGATTCTGCGTGCTACCATTGCCCATACCTTACGTAACTGCGCACGTAGCACGGATTGCGGCTGGCGGCATGACTTCCCCGGTCAGCTATTGGTCCTCACACATGCGCGCCAGTACAGGCAACGATATGCTCGAGTTCGAACACTGAGCTCCGACTTACGGACCCGTACTCGACCCTGGCGCGTAGTTTTGATACTCGTACCTATCGCGGTTGAGGCCTTCGTCACCTCGTCAGTTTGTCAGTCGACCCATCTGCGCGAGGTACGCACTGCCGTGGCGCGTGATGCACCTGACGCGAAACCCCTTGTGACTTTGGGCTCATCGAGCTCGGTCAGTTAGATCACTCCGAGGGAATCCCCGTCGCCAGCTTGGGGGTCGCCAGTTGAGAGACATCTTTGAATACATATTCTAAATATCCCTTCTAAGACTTCCAGCTCCGTCCTTGTCGACCAAGGTATATACCCAACCCCTTTTGATTAGAAAATACTTCACCTCGCCACAAAACATGCTTACTTTATTCCTTAGAGCGTCGCTCTTTGGGCTTTCAGTTGGCTTTCCATCTCTGCCAAGCCCGCATCTATTTCCTCGCGCCAGCTGTTCAGGAAATACTGCAGATACACGATCAGAATGGTGCGACTATTCTATAGACACCGACTACACTACTACAGCGCCAGATACTGGGGTCACCCGTGAATACTGGTTTGAGCTCACGGAGACTACTGCCTCTCCAGATGGTGTAGAGCGCTATGTTCAAGCCATAAACGGCAGCATACCAGGCCCCACAATCTTTGCAGACTGGGGTAAGTAACCAAGTGTGCACTAATCTTCTTCTGTGGTCTAATAGCAATGCAAAGGGGATACAGTGGTTGTTCATGTGACAAACTCTATTACCTCTTCAAACAACGGCACAAGTATTCATTTCCACGGGATTCGCCAGAACTATACCAATCAAAACGATGGTGTGTCTTCAATTACACAGTGTCCTACTGCGCCCGGCTCAACGATTACGTATACATGGCGGGCTCTTCAGTATGGCTCGACGTGGTATCACTCTCACTGGGCATTGCAGGCCTGGGAGGGAGTATTTGGGGGCATTGTTATTAATGGCCCTGCTACTTCTAATTACGATGAAGATCTAGGAATCCTCTTCCTAAACGATTGGGACCATTCGACAGTCGATCAGCTATATACGACTGCAGAGACCAGCGGACCCCCAACTTTAGACAACGGTCTCATCAACGGCACCAATGTTTACGGCGATGATGAGGATGCGAGCCAGACTGGATCGCGCTTTACCGTGTCTGTTACCGAGGAGACATCATACAGAATCAGGATCGTAAATGCGGCGATCGATTCACATTTCAAATTCATGATCGACAACCACACTCTTACCGTTATTGCCATGGATCTGGTGCCAATCACCCCCTTTACAACTGACATCCTAAGTATTGCAATGGGTAGGTTGCAGCGCCTTGGCTTAAGTCGAGGTCTTGGCTAATTATACTATCTCTAGGCCAACGATACGACGTAATTGTTACCGCAAATCAAGCATCCGTTGCCGACAGCTTTTGGATGCGAGCTATTCCCCAGTCGGCATGCAGCGAAAACGACAGCCAGGACAATATAAAGGGAATTGTGTACTACGGGGATTCTACTACAACACCCACTACATCAAGGCCGGACGGTTACTCAGAAGATTGCGAAGATATGGACGTCTCAAACCTAGTTCCATATATTTCTCAGACTGTAACCTCAGCATCAAGCGAAGGAGTCGAAAGTGCAACCGTTGGTTTCAACGATAATAATTTTTTCAAATGGTACCTCAATTCAACAACCATGTTGGTAGAGTGGTCAGATCCTACACTCCTCCAGATATACGACAACGTTACGAGTTTCGATACATCGGATGCTGTGATTGAGCTCCCAGATGCCAACGAGTGGGTATACATCGTCATTCAAACCACTTTCGCAGTACCGCACCCTATTCACCTACACGGTCATGACTTCCTCATCATAGCTCAAGGGTCAGGAACCTATAGCAGCGACGTCACTCTGAACCTGGACAACCCACCACGAAGAGATACAGCCATGCTTCCCGCTAGTGGATACCTCGCAATTGCATTCCAGACTGACAATCCTGGAGCTTGGTTGATGCACTGTCACATTGGCTGGCACACAAGTGAGGGTTTTGCACTGCAATTCGTAGAAAGGCAAGACGAGATCAATGCTCTTATTGATTATGATAGTTTGTCGGATAACTGCAATGCATGGGAGACCTATGAGGGCACGAGTTCGATTGAGCAGGATGACTCAGGTGTTTAGCCAGCTGACACCCTCCTACTGTCTTTTCTGGATTTATTGCGCGAGTGACGAGTTTATGAACATGTAGACACATTGTAGTGTTATCTATGTATTCGAAAGAAGCCAGAGGAATATAAGGCGAGTCGCTTCAGATTTGTTTCCACTTGGTTCATTTTACGAACAAAGCATCGATGACATAGAATTTTATTTGCCGTCACTGATCTAACACTAATTCGTACATAATTCAATACGTTTGCGCTTTGTTCTCAAGACAAAGACCTTGAATGTATTTATCATGCGGAGCAGTCAACAGAACACACCATGTTCCTGTCTTTTCCGACTGGGAGTGATTGGCAGTATCCCTACTGCCTTAGTGTGAATCAAGTTAGACTGCTGATCGCCAAGCTACTGCTGACATCACGGCGCGCTCTCCTTTTCATATGGAGAACGTATCTTTGAATCCTTCGAAGGTCATGATAGCTGATACTGAAGAGCACAGAGATCATTGGTTCTGCTTATATTCTCAAAACTTCGGAACAACATGCGCTGCAGCGTTGCTCCTGAATACCAATGTTGTAAGTTCAAGTCTCGATAATATGCAACGGGCTCGGCATGGCCCCTTTTTCGTCTACAAGCATAATCAGTCTCCTGGAGGATGCCAGTGTGTCGACTTAAGTCGTCTTGCGTACACCCCAGAACGTCTACGGGAAGTAGTTGAATGGTCAAAACACGTATCCTCTCGACTATCAGAACACAAACAGATGCCGTTCGGGCCATTGGTCCATTTTAGAGCGGTCTGGGACCATGTCTTATATCTATCACTGAGACATGCTGAGCTACTACCTAAGGACATTGCACTACAAAACTTTGCTCAGTCATCCGACTTTATGGATGCTGGAAAGGTTTTGGTCGCGTGGCTAAAGGAGTCGGCCATTTCAGAGGACGAGAACTCAATGGGCGTTGAATCTCCTGGGAAAAGAGCAACCGAAATCCTGTGCCAGAACATCGACAGGCTTCGCTCTGTCTATATTCTGGAATTTGAGGACATTGAGTATCTTACAACATACTCACAGAAGGTACGGTACCTTGAAAACTGTAGACACTCCCACTGACTGAGGTGCCATGAAGATTCATCGTCAAATCGTTGAGCACACATGTTCACAACGAGCAGTCTCCTTGCAAACTGAATGAGGTATGTATTCATGCTAAGAGGTCTACGATGGTGCAATTTGGTAACTAATCATGCAAAACTTCATCCGATAGTAAGCTGGCTAGAAATCTGATTTCGGGTCCCGGATTCAGGCTTCGTCTGCTGGCCCCTTACACTAATGAATATTCCACGGTCAATGGAATACGAAGAGCTTTGATATATATCTGAAGGAAAGCATTTTCCGAAAAGGCATCTAAATAGATTTGATGGGTAACAACTTCAAAATACCCGTTCAAAGAGCATGTGCATAAATATGAAAATTTCTAAAGATTTCTAGCACAAAAACTGTAGGAAAGACAATCCGCGACCCTAATCAATAAATCATAAATTGTAGCGGCTCTTCAGATGTCTCCACCAATCTCTGACCATCCAGACATCAAACTCGGTGACTTCGGCAGAAGAACCAGCACGCATAATAAAGTTGGATACACCAGGGGGAGTCCAGTCGTAGAAATCATCCAAGGCTAATGTGTGTCCGATCTCATGGAGAAGAATCTCGATATTCTCACTCTCGAGATTCTCCAGCATGTAATTAGTTCCAATGCGCTGGCCCCAGTCGCCACCGAAACCAGAATCGTCCATACCGTCCGTCAACCAAAGGCTAACATCATACCGTGCGGCGTTACCACCAGTGCAGCCAGAGTAGTCGCCGTCCACATAATGTATGGCCCTACCACACGCTGGGTCACATTGAGGGATTCCGTCGACATCCGTGGTCGTGCTGTAGAGCGTGACTCCAGCTGTTACGTTGCCCTCAAACAGAGCTGTGTTGTTGGTAGCCCAGCCAACGATCTTAATGTTGGCAGTACTATAGGGGAATCCGTCAAATCCAGCCAGTGCACCCTCAACCCATTTGTTGTACTGTCGCTGAAGCGCGGTCTCCAGTTTATCACGTTGTTCGGCGGTGACCACCTGAGTGCTGTCCCAACGCACACAATATTGGATTCTCGCTTGTGTATCCATCAAGTGGTCGTACCCAAAATTCTTAAATTCAAGCGGCCGTCCATATGTCGACATTTCGTGCTCCCAGACCTCTTCCAACGCTGCACTTATAGACGAAGGCGGTTGCCATGCCGACGTAGGTGTGCTAGATGCAGCGGTGGTTACGATTGCATCCGTCATAGATACGAAGACAGCGCTTGTAGCGGTACTGGAGCTAGCAGAGCTCGAAATTATCGACATGCTTGTGTCATGAGAAGAAGACAACGACTGAGACGTGGGTGCAACAGCAGACACCGCGCTGGACGACTTCGAGCGTTTTCCCCCAGAGCATGCACGTCTCTTAATTTGCGCAACTGGTTTCTCGGACGCTTTTAATAACTGAAAAGCCGTGGTCCTGTCAAACTTGCAGGTGCCGAACTGGGAGACAGTGGCATTTTGTCGACCTTGTAGAGTTTGGGCCAGCGCGACGGTCGAGAGAGTGGCAACGAAGCCGAAGGTTGGAGTAGGCTTCATGTTTCAATCAGTATGTATTGTTCGAAACTGATGGACTTGAGTATAGACCGATAACATCAACAGATGACAATAGTGCCGAACAGCAGCTCAGCGGAATGCCAAAACTGATTCGTGTCCCAGCAGTGGACCATGCCATATATACTACTTTACCTGGATGGGCCAAGACTGAAGGCTGTCCCAAGTATAATTGTTTAGTGAGGGTTGTCGCCGCACCTTCAAATCAACCTAGGCCAAATCCCAAATGCCAAGCTCTGGTGCATGGGGCAGGACTGGGGTCTTCCATCCTGAGCACCAAATGTAGCTCACAGGGGGGGGGGGGGGGGGGTGATGATTGGTGGGACCCGACAAACGGCTTGGCTTGACCCATATCCGTTTCGACTAGAGCGAACATTGAAGTGGCATTTCTCAAGGTGAGATGATGCCAAGAAGCTTAGTACATGTTGTAGCATCTTAAGATTGGAGCTGCTCAAGATCATATCTTTTTGGTGATATCATCTGCTACATTGGCGAGATCAACTTTCATCTATTCGAAAACCAAGAGTGAAAATCCGAATCGGTTGTGGATTACCATTATTTGAAGAGTCAAGAAATGGGTTCTGTGAACCGAGGCTAGTAGCATATATAGGCTAACTTTGTTTTATCAACGAGTATAAGGTATTAGTTGATGCCCGCACGATTTCATGGACCTCGTATTACATAGTGTGATAGGGGTATTAAAATAGTTGTGCACTCCATAGTTCCGCCAGTCAATAGAAGTGAGAGTGTATGTGGCTGTGGGATTAGCTGTTCGATTTTGGCGTAAGTTGGTCTTGGTCTGATCTCAATCCTGACCTCTCATCTTCCCGCACTCCGTGTCGATTCGATCTTGTCGACCTTGCGCGATCTACAACGCTTCTTGATATAACTTCGCGGTCCTGCTTCGGATCCTGCCCCGGCTTTCCTTTTTGGTATTTATTTACCTCAGGTTCAATTGAGGAGTATGGTGTTGAACTCAGCTTCTTGAGCCGACGCACTTCAGGAGGCGGAGATATCATATGACGGTTTGAAGCGCCGCGGCACTGTTGGTAACTTTCACCAAAACTACAGACCGGGCTGACTGCTTCGTCTTTCTCGTCCCAGGTCACTTCAATGATAGACAGCGCAGAATGAGGTGGTGTGGTGATGGATTTGATGCGGAAGCGTTGGTCGGCCAACGCAAATAGAGCGACCCAGTCATCACGGCTTCTCTCCTTGGCGTTTGCACACAGATGCATGAGAATATCGCAAGACCTTCGCAAATGAAGCTCGTTAGTTTATGGTTCTATGTATCCTTTTCGAGTATATGGCTTACATGGCAAATTGGTCGCTGACATGCCCAAACGGTTTCGGATCTTCGAGGCAACGTTCCAGGAGCAACAGCCGGGCACCCGGTTTGAGTGCTGGAATCTGGTTTTTGAGAATTTTTGCTGCGTAGCTATCAGGCCAGTCATGCAGAACGCACCGCCAGATATACACGTCGGCATTCTTTATCGACTGCTCGGTGAAGAAATTGTATCCGTGGAATTCCAGGCGCCCTTTGAAATCGGACGAGGCCTGTGCGACTCCTTGGGCGATGACGTCGGGAAGATCCTCGACGATAGCCTTCTCGATCCCTACATAGGCTTGCAAAATTGCTTTGCACAATGTGCCTGTGCCCCCTCCAACATCGACAATCACTCTCGGACACCACCTTGATTTTGTTTTTCTCCCATTGCCCCAGCCAAGGTGGTTGACCGTGTATGCAGGCTCCATGCCTGGGACTTTCATGGACCATGCCATGGCGTTGGCGAAGCGTTCCACGCGTTCTGGTTGATCTGAGACAATCGTGAAGAGGTCTTTGTCGCCCTTGCTTCCATTGGCGATTGCGAAGGCGCTTTCAGCAGGCTCAACCCCCCCAGGGAATTTTATCATGCTTTCTGATACTTTCAAAGCTGATGGGGCAAGATCTTCCGTCGCCGTGCCGATCCAGTCATGAAGTGTGGTAGTGGCGAGTATTGCCGAGGCAGCATTATGCTGGACCCTTCCGGGACAGGGCTCAGAGAAGATACGGAAAGAAATTGCGGAGCGCACATAGCGTCGAGCATTCACCTCAGAAAGTCCACACTTGGCACCAAGGTCCCTGTATGATATGAAATCCCCCAATGGAACATGCTTTGGGATCTGGAACTTGTATAAAACATTGAGTGTCGCCGTCCAAGCAGGCTGTGATTGTATTCCATCGTTAATAACATCTTCAGACAGCGAAGACCCAGAAGAATGACACCTACTCCCATAAATGACATGAAAAACACATGTCCAGCGGGCCCGACGATCAGGGACCTCAGCTCGTCAATGGCTTCCAGGAGTTCTGCCCGGCTGTTCTCCACTTGACTCGTATATGGTCCAGCGTAGTGGCTGGTGCCACATTCGAAAGACGGCTGTTGAATTCCGCAAGATTCGTAGTCATCGTGGATGGAGTTGGCATGAGCGGATATGATGTGTGCCAGCTGTGGCAGGGACCTCGTGAGTGCCATTTCATTCAACGCTCGACGTTTGAAGCAAAGGTAAAAGTAGGCACAGGCAGAGGGGCGGGATATTTTGAAACCCTAAACCAAAGGCTAGGTAGGGGCATTAGGCTCTTATAAGCACACGAAGTTTGTATTTAACCAGTAGTTGTTAATAAGAAGCCCAAGCAGTTACATTGCTGCCTTGAATAGGACTGACACATCCGAGCGAACGCTGCCATTACGTGGACGGTCATGCTCATCGTCTTGCCCGGAGGATTGCGGACTTCGAGCATGGCTGTAAAGCCGTAGGGAAAAGCAAATCACCAACTAAACCATCCATCGACACAGTAGCGCGAACCGGATTCCTGGGTCGACCGGGGGTTGTGCCAGCCATTCAGCTGGCTGGGCGTTGACCAGGGTGCCCACATCCCACTGCTACTGAGGGCCCTAATTGGCTTTCAGGCCCCTTGGAAGTTGCAACGGCGCACACACACTATTCGATGCAGGTCGCAAATTTTATCGAGTTGTTCTTTAGCACTCAGCCAAGGCTGCCTACGTGCCGGGATCGGTATGTAGGACTTACGGACCTGGGACCTCCAGCTGGCGAATGGAGTGCTGCCTTTCCGTATGTCGACGTGGATTGTATCGCTTACGATCCTCCACGCTTACGTTCAGTTGCGCATGTGAACATAACTGTAATCACCATATGATATCATACGCGCAGCTGCGGCTGGTTCCTAAATTATTCCTTGATTTCCTCGCAACTCGAGTCAAAAAGTGGCAGTGAGTGCGGCTTAGCTCCCATACGATAAGGCTTAAGACTGTCAGGCATCGCTATCAAGGTGCGACTTCTTTGTGTCCCCATGATCCAATCCTTCCAGGCTGTCTAGGACTAGCCATCCATGACTACGCAATGTAAGATTAGTGAACACTGCGATCGATTAACTGCCAACGTAGGAGGAGTGGTCGGCGACCTGTCCAGCGCCCCCGTTCGCTTAAGTGGAAAATAGGGTATCTACAACTGAGTTGAGATACGGACCTTGACTTTGTGAGACACAAAGCCAGGGCGTGGAAATTTATTGGTGTCGCTTATCTACGACATAGTTTAAGTGGCCAATCGGGACTATATGCCCATGTAGGGCGTCGGATGCTGTCCGATCTACTTCCCCGGATGTGGGTGACACACCATCGATGCAAGGAGACCCAGAAAAATGAGTGGTCACAAACATGGTATCACAAAGATCTGTTCCGATCAAGTCAATTTGGATCTGAAGACAGCTAAAATACCTATAATAGAAACGATGTGCATGAGGCTTCTGACAATTTGGTGCATGGTGGTGTAACGAGCCTGCAAAAACCTTCGCACAGGAAAATCAAAAGAAGCGAAGTTCGAAAGAGAGTGGTGGTACAGCTTTGCTGTGGAAAATTCCAGAGCCCTGTTTTAGACGCGGAAGGGAAGGGAAACTTCCCCGGGCGCATGGTATGTAGGAACCTTCATCTCCAGAGCTTCTCCGGAGTAGCCAAGGTCCTCGGCTGTGAGCATGGCACACTTTTCTCCGATCAGAAGAGCGGTGGAATAACTGGCATAAGTTACTAGGTTGACTCTTTGTAGCAATTTCGATGACGTACGTGTTGCAGCCCACATTATCAGGGCAGATACTGAGGTCGGCCACTTTCAGCCCTTTGACCCCGTGAACATTGAGACGCTCATCAAGAACTCCATGCTTGACGATGCTGTTTCCCTCCTTGGGCGCCATCGAGCAAGTCTGTGACCATGTTCAGCTACTGAAAATGTGTATACGTAGGGTAAGAGCTTACACCAAGGCTGTGCCATGTGGACTCGACATGTCTCTTAACCCACTCCTCAACCTGCTTAATATCGTCACTAGAATACTTCAGGTCCTCACGGATGAATGCCTTGTTGCTGTTCAGAATATGGGCTTCTGGCGTCTTGCTTGGCTCAGGGTTGTAGACACTCCAGCTGCCGTGCTGAAGACCGGCACTCAGGTTGCCTGGAAGTGCATAGCGCTTCGTGGTTTCGAGGTCCATGTCATTGGCCCGAGCAGGGGAATCATAATCGAAGAAGGGGTGCATGGCTTGGACCTCACCTGCATAGGCATCCATGCGGCGAGCCGTCTCGCGAGATTTGATATAGCCCCACACCATAGGTGCCATGTCCCGCTCATCATTCATGAAGCCAGTGTCAAAGTCTGGAGATGCGTAGGGGTCCGCTGACTTGATGTGGGTAGACCCTCTGGAGAAGGGGTACTCGAGGAAGTGGAACATGGTGAAAAACTTGCCAGGCGGCCTATGCAATAGTTAGGAAAAGTTTACCAATCTGAAAAGGGGTTGGTACATGAGCATATGATCGCCAAACCAACCAGCAATGACCGAGTAGTGCATGACGGGCTTGTCGGGCTTTTCCTTAAAGTATGACTCCCAGCCGTCTTTGAAATGCGGAGTAGGCCAAGAGGCCATCTCTTTCAGCTCATCGGCAGTCGGCCGAATCTTCACTCCAGCCTCGATACCATTCGTGGCCAGTGGTCCAGTACCTTTCAGCGCCCATTCATCGAAGACCTCTACATCGGTGTCAATGGCTAGATAATTTTGGATACTTTACGTAGATAACTTACGCTTCTGAACTTCGGGGACGCCTCTCACAAAGTCGTCAAAGCTATCGGTCTCAGGTTTGGCTCTGAAAACCGAGAATGTCAGGTAGTGGTCTTGAAAGTTCAAGCCCACCCCAGGAAGATCGACCTTGGGCTCAACGCCTGCTGCTTTGAGCTTCTCTGGGTCACCTGTAGAAATTAATAAGCCTTTCGGCTGCCTGTGAGCACTAAAAATGAGATGCAACTGGACCTACCAATCCCGGATCGTTGGAGGATTAATGGAGATGACAAAGTGCCTCCAGAAACGATTATCTGCTTGCGTGCCTTGAAAATGCGAGTCGAGAGCTGGTTGGGATGTAACGGCTTCGTGGGAACCGTTTGTACACCGACGGCGCGGCCATCCTCGATAATGACCTTGTCAACTTTCGTGTTGCAAGCAAGGTAGAGGTTGGAATGCACAGCCCGGGTTGAATGAATGTAAGCGTGTGCGCTATCGCTTCGCCGCCCGGTCTGAACCATCTTGTTAGTGTCCGTGACTCCAGATTTGGTGAGGTCAATCATACATCTCGGTTAATCCACTTAAGCCAATGCTCTGCTCCATGACCGGTGTGCAAGTCTTGTAGATCATCCACGGTCGGAATGTCTTGGGACTCAGTTGCTCGTAGAAAGTCATCCTTGATTGGGTAGGTGCTATGCAAGTTCAGCGAAAAACAGTATACTGTGTATGACTCCAGCCTACTAGTTTCCAAAAGAGACTTTGATGGGACCTTCGAATCCGTGGTCGTCTCTGTTGTGGCAAGCTCTCTGGTAGGTCTCATGCTTCTTCATTAGAGGAAGTAGCTCCTCAGTAGTCCATCCCTTGGCTTGGAAGTCGTCATAGTCCGAAGCTGAAGCACGGGTGTACATCTAAGGTCTGTCAGATACTAGAATGCCCCTTGGTTTAGGAAGGCACTAACCAGAAAATTGATGGAAGAACCACCTCCAAGGATATGCGCACAGGGCACAACGGCTTTCCGTCCAGCCAACCATTTGGACGGGCGAGATTCGTAGAATGATGCCGTCTTGGAGTCAAGTTTCATGTTCTTCGGGTAGATACCCGGTCGAAATACCCAAGGGTTGTTCAGGTTACTCTCACCAGCCTCTATCAGAAGGACCTTGAGGTTGTGATCCAGGTTTGCCAGCCTACCTTGTAAGCTCAATGAAACAGTGCGTGAGGCTGAGGAATAGCTATTCTAACTCACCTACCAGCCACCACGCAGCCGCAGCTACCACCTCCACACACAATAATGTCAAACTCGTCAGGTAGTGGACTCATATTGTTATCTGCCTCCAAATTTTGCTCTCGACCAAATATCTTGTGGAGCATGTTAGCAGAAGAAGATCACGACTCTTCGGGGGTTCTTAAACAAGAGAGGGGAGGAGGAGTGCGGCCGTATGGGTTTCTCAAAACGGAATGATTCCTGTGAGAACCTGCCAACATACATTTAACGCATACATGCTGCGGGTCGGCACCCAATAGACAAAACCGAATAGAGCTGCCTTGCTGCGGAGTTACATTTCAGAACTTTACTTTGCAGCCGAAACCCCTCACTCCTGCCCAATCTTCCAATCGAGACAGAGATGCGTATCATGTGATTATAAAGCTTGCATCATCTCGCAGATCTAGGCGTACCAGGTTGGCTCGGCTCTCCAACTTCTGATGTGACGTGGCCGGGCAGGTAGAAGCGAGATGGTCCTCTCAGTCGCTGGCTGTCCCATGGTAATTGGGTGTTGGGAAGGGGTTGGCCCAGGATACCAAGTGAGGGGCAGTTTGAATGAAAAATGGCAGTGACACGCAAGTGAATTGGCATTGCCGGCCTAATGGAAGTATCAATGTCCGTCAAGTTCAGAAATCCTGGCCCAGTCCGTGTTTGCACTATACGCCAAGCTGGGCAACCAAAACCTTGCCGCGTGTAGGGGAATATCTCGGTGAAGGTCGGCATCTTCAATATGGCCGACTATCTTTGATATTAGACTTCAGAGACTCCGCATAAGCCAAACGGTGTAAAATGATTGGCCATGGCCGTTATAGAACCTGCAGCTGTACCTTAGCCCGGGGATGGCAAAATGCGGGGGTGGAGCTCGATGAGTCTGAATCATGGAAATATTAGCCGTCAGCTCGAGGGATCTCCTGCATGTCCGATTTCCCCGCAGTGGTCTATATCCAGTCGGTTGTGGTGGTGTAGGCTGACCGACACCATGTATGTATACATACGCGGGGGGGCTTTCATGACTCGGAGACCTGAGTTCGGTACCTTGCCGGGTCCTAGGGCGCTCGTGGTAAAACAACAGCGGCTTGCTTGTGTATTAGATCTCCAGAGAGAGTAGCGAGCCACCAAGAGTGTGGTCATTATAATGAGCGGGATCAATGGCTAAGCGGCAAACAGGTACTCCACTGTCTTTACTGTCCCGCCATCATCCTTGGACTATTGTCGGACTGCAACCCCAGAAAGACTGCGCACCAGCTAGAGCTCACTGGTCTCGCTTGAAATCATGCAGCCTGACCGGGAGGCGCGAGCTGAGGTGAACTCTTCCTATCTCCGTCGAGAAAAGCCGCCAATGTACTGTCTCCGATCATCACCACCGGCCATGCAAGGAGAGCTTCAAATGCAGATGGCTCATTGTGGACGGGTTCCCGCTAACCATCACTGCACCCAAGATTGGGGACTGGCCACTCAGGGGCTCTGCCCATGGATAAGCCGGCTCCTGCTGACGATGCTTCAAAGCTTCTCCGCATTTCACACGAACAACCAAGACCTTGCCGGGACCAGTTGTCCATAGGGATGGTGCGGGGAAGGTCCTGGACATCGGCAGAGAAGCTCCCACGACTTACACATTGCTTCATCGTTTGTGCGACACCTTGCACGAACGAGATGAGGCCCGGTTCTGCGGGCGCTTTGCCGGGCTGACAATGGGCTTGGAGGGGTGAGGTTTGCAGTCCTTTCAGTCGGTTCATGCATCCCTTTCCCATTATCAGGGCGACGGAGCCGCAAGTCACCTCGACCCACCGTCCAATGCATGGGGCGGAAGCATGCCGCTGTCCAACTTTTCCAGCAGGCCGGGGTTGGCTACAGCACGCACTTCGAAGGGTCGAGCAAAGATGGCCGTCGAGCCCGGCTCCACCGAACTGCAGTGAGGCACAGTACGCAGTCTTGGATGCAAGACGCATCCTTGCGACTCCGGCTCCTCGGTCTGCATGCCTCGAGAAGTAGGTTCGCGGTTGTAACTATGGCCAAGCTGTCGGCACCGCAGGGTCACAACAGAAGCGGGTTTGGCTGAAGCCAATGACCACAGCCGGCTTGTGCTACCGAGCAACACCGGACCGGAGCCGCCGAGCTGGAGTGAGAACTGCGTTGACAACAGGTAGCGTTGACAAAAGGTAACGTTGGAGCAGACTACCACCCAAAGCAGGCTTCCTTTCAATTACTTCGGAGCAGCAGTTCGGCAACATGGTAATTATAGTTACAAACGCTGCCAGCCTCAGCCTGAACGTCGACTGCACCCTGAGCCGAGTAGAGAATCTTATTTTCACCGTCCACAACCTCGATATACTGGATGCCTGCCCGCATGCCGGGTGTGCTGAAATAGTTCAGTCCAGCAGAAAGACTACTCTTCCAGATCAGCTCCCCGTCGCTCCACACCTGCGCCTTAACGCCTGCCACCCCATCGTTCACCACGATGGCCCAGTTGACTGCATCCTTGGCTGCGCCAGACCCCGACGGCTTGCCCAAGCTGTCGGAGGAGCATGACGCGCTCGTCAGTATCGTGCGGTACCACATTGAACCGATCATGGCCTTGCCAGAGGGCGGCCGCATTCCGCTCGCGTCGACCCCATTCTTGAACGCGGTGATAAATGAAGTGATCAGCGGCTGCCAGCCAGTGTGGGGAAACCCGGCATTATTGGCGTAGGCTAGGATCTCTGGTGTGAGGCCTTCATTGTGGAGCTCGCTGATATAGTGGCTTTCACCTGCATCATTCCAAGTGAGAATCTCTACAAACTCGGGTAAAGTATGGAGTGCCAGGATCTGAGTCATGCGCTCAGGCAGGTTAACCTCGCCCGCTCGATACCAGTGATTACCAGACCAATGCTTGTACTGCAAGCTGGAAAGGCCTATCATGTACGACTTTCCAGCCTTGTGAGCCGACGTCATGATAGCATCGTCCTGACTTGTGCTGACATTTGACGTCGTATCGCTTGTGGACGGCCATGTCGTCTCCCAGCTAAAGATGCCATGGACAACCCCTCCCCAGGCCCCCAGCCAGTCGTCAAAGTTGGTGTAATAATCCAATCCATCGTCAAAGTCAGGCACGAAGTATACATCTCTCTCTAGCTTGGCCAGGAAGTCTGGCCAGTACTCGGGACCCGTACCTGCGGCGCTGAAGGTGCTCAGAAAGGGTAGGTTCTTGTAGGTATAATAGTTGGCGTTACTGATATACCGGTTGATCAGGTTCGTGAAATTGTATGCATTCTTGTCTTGCGCCAAGTCCATGCTGAAGAAAAACTTGAGATCAGTTCCAGAAGCAGCTGTAAAGAGCTGACTGATAGAGTCTAATGCCCACAATGCGGAGGCGTCCCCAACGTTGAGAGCGAATCCGGTGATACCCATCGCCAATGCTGCCTTGACATCGTCGGCCGCGTGGGTCGTCCCACCATCAAGACCTTGCACCTGAATTTGTCAGGCTTGTTTGTAGGAGTATTTTGGCCCGAGGCGCTTACCATGTAGTGAGCAAAGACATCTCGTGCTGCTGACGCATGGATCAATGCCGCAACAAGTGTGCATAATATAGATCGATACATGACGAGAACAAGAATCGAAGCTGTCGACTGGGATTTCAAATCACAACAGTGGCCTGTACGTTCGGGCAAGTTGATTTCGAAGAAGTTGAGAAGCTTGTCTGATAGTTATAATGACCGTCGGCGACCTTAGTGGGGAATTTGACATCGATCTGCCCCACGGATATGAGCATACGCTATGCTATGGGCTTTGGGGTTTACGGTGAACGTAAAGACAACGAGTAAATCCAATTAAATCCAATGATTCTCACTCTATGTATATTGCCTTTAGGAGACCTCCAAGTTTCCTTGCCATGTCCCCTTCGACTCCTGAGCATCGTTTCCTTTTTGCAAGCTGATACATAGATTGGGCAAGCCCGGCGCAGCGATTGATCAGGGCCTCATGCATCCTGGCCTTTAGTTGGAATCCTCATCTCGGGCGTCATATCCGCACGAACGTGATTTGTGGGGTCTCAGGTACTGGCCACTAGAAGGATTGCGCTAGAGGCGCAGTGAAACATTCGACCCTTTAGGGCCGAGGAGCTGCTCGGGACCGAATTACTACTGGGGTTATATTTAGAATCCTGAGCCGCCACTGTTTCTGCCATACGGTTTTAACATCAGTCGCCTGGTGCTAGAGTTTAGGATACCAAAATACTTTATTTTTAATATAGAATTTTACTTTCAACCAATCCCATTAGCCTCTATAACAGAGGAAATTCAGGGTCGAGGAATTTGCCCAGATATAATCCAATTGCATCTATTGGCGAGTGGCCTTATTAACAAATAAATATTTTCTAACCACCTACCTTGCAACCCCGGGCCCTGCCATTTGGTTTGTTTTCGAACTTGAGCTAGATATTCTGGTCGTACGATGGAGATTGGAAAGTGGGATGGTGGAAACAATACTATAGCCAGCCCGCTTTCTCATTTAGATCCCCGAGGTCGCCGATCGATATCGTTTCCCCCGAGACGGCTCTTGCATAAGTTATGTCTTGGGCATAAGTGCAATGGCAACTGCACGATTTGAACAGTAGCGCAGGCATTCAAGGCAGGCAAGAACTGCCCAAAATACGGCACACGTCTGCTGGCTATGGAAGGAAAGTAGAATAGCTCTAAAACTAGATCAGCGCCTCTCTCCTCATTCCCAAGACATGTCATTTTGTGCATTGGGTGCCCGCGCAATACATTATTGCATTTGTCTTGACACAACTTGAATGTAATGTATGTAAACAAATTAACATAGGCTTTAGAATAGCGTGAACATAAATCCCAATTGCCTACATGTGTACGCTAGTGGCGCACCGTAGAGAAAGATTGTCAGCATACTGACCACGTTTTTTCCTCCGTGGATTCAACAATTGACACTGAAGTGGAATAATCTTGGCAAGTAAGCCCCATAAATCCTTCGTAGCTCAATATACCTGTGGCTCTAAAGCTCCGCGGCCACTAACCTTTGTTGGCTCTGGCACTCGAACAAGTGGCTTAAAGGCTCCACCCACGTCTACAGCATCTACCCAATTGCCGTGAATCTGCCCCCGGAGATACAACGGCATTTTGATGATGGCGATGGGCTTGGTGAAGTTCCGACTGTCCAGAATCACCAGGTCGCTGCTTCGTTGCTCGATATGTTGGACCATGCTCAAGATCCAACCATCCCCTTCCGGGCTGCTCTTACTGCGTGGGATGAAGATTGGCTCTTCAACCACACATGGATGTCCAGGCTTGAAGAATTCCGTTGTTCCTGCTGCCTTGTCAACCTTGGCCAAAGCGTTAAGCGACGTGATCATAGGCAACCCATTTGCTGGTATATCGGGGGCTGCCACGGGGAGGTATATGATGTTGTACTTCCTGCCCATCAGGCGTTCATCAATGCGTGGAAACTCTGAAGTAAGTGGAACGACGACCTCAGGATCGGGGACAGTGCTGTTAGTTGGTTGTGATAAATCAAGCTCCCAACGGACAAAATCACTTTCAGGGTTTGGGTCGGCAGGCAAGTCAGCCTCGCTGGCCCAGTCTGGGAATAAATTCCCATACACCCGAGAAGTCTCGATATACACCTTGCCTGATTTATCTTCCCAAGCAGCTGCCGAGTGTACAAGGAAAGCATTCCGGGTCCACTGATACACACGTGACTCCCCAACTTCCCAGCCCGAGGGTACTTTATCGGCGCGCCTCGGTATGACCTGAAACGTCACATTTCGATCATTAGTCCATTTCCAGTGCTGCCCACCCCCCTTCATGGCGTTTACGTCTGACTGAAATGGCCACATGAACAGGATGATGAAATTCGTGGTGATGGCACAGTCATGGATTGGGGCAGGCCAGGGCGCATGGTTCCATTGTACATCCTTGACGGTTCCATCTCTTGTGATACTATACGTGACGACGTCATCCGAGCCTAGTTCCTTGGCCTCATAACCATAGACAACCAGTTCCTCAGAAAATGGGTCGACCTTTGGATGTGCAGAGAATGTCTTCCCGGGAGACTTGAAAGGGTCATATGCGCGAGTCGCCAATGTATCTGGATCCACGGCGTAAGGCAACCCACCTTCTTTCAGAGCGAGGATGTGCCCGCTCCAATGAACGAGGTTCGTATTTGCGGTAGAGTCCACAGCTGCACGAACGCAGGGATGGTGGGTGTATGGGTTGCGGTATAGACCAAACAGACGTTTATTGGCAGCCCGCTCAAGTCGGAGCCGTTCTGTGTCGACATACCTCACTTTAAGGTCAACCTTCCCGTCGTGGATGCGGAACACAGACATTTTCCCGTCACCTTCGACAGGTGGATTCCCTTCCATCAGCGGGTAGAAGGGATCGACCATCATACGATAAAAAGTGCCATCGATCTGCTGGGGGATCTCCCCGAAGACAGGCAAATTGGCCATATCACCTTCGACTCTACCAAGCGCGCCTAGGTTAGCTAGTCCTTTTGCTGCTGGTAGGGTTGGCTCAATGCCGAAGTTGTCGGGCTTGGGCGGCGCCATTATGTATTGGGCCCGTAGAATGAACTGATTGGTGTCGTGTTACAACGTGTGCATATGAAGGTTCGATATCAGCTCAAACCAAAGATCCAGATCAAGGGCTGACGGAAGAGTGTAAATATATATGTAAGCTTCAGGGCCGGGACGCTAAATAGCCAAACCTGTCCCATGCGAATCATCACCTCGTCTGATGCTTACTTAACACAAAAGTGCGATCTATGTACTTGCAATCCACACAACTACCGAAGCGGCATGTCGTTGACCGCGGGGAGTGGGCCTGCGACTGCCGAGTTGGGTCAACGTCTGCCGACCCTGAACTTGGAAGTGCGATGAGGGCTTAGGAACGGAGCCTGCGTTGATTTCCAAATGTAATCTCTCCACATGAGACGCTTGGCGTCTTGAAGTACTTTGAACGAATGCTCTGGACGCTGTTGGGCGATGAGGAAATGGGTCTGTATTCAAACTTAGCGCCATGATATTTTTGACGCAATGATGTCAATCAATAAATACAAACATAAAGCCATAGATTAAATGTCCGCGAGTAGTTGAAGGCACCAGTATTCAACATATCCAATTGTGTATACTCCCACGTTCCTATTCTGGGTTGAGTGTCTCGTGTAGTTGGGGCGATAGAAGGGGGTAGCGGAGACTGGAAGCCGCCCGAGGTTCCGTCCCCTGTGTCCCGTCCGTCCGCAAGGTTTGTGGAGGCGGGGCCGGTTTAGTTCCCGCAGCACAATAAACTTCGACTTAAGGCTTGGCAAAGACGGCTCTTGTGCTGTCCTCAGGTAAGGGCCGGCTTTCTCTAGGAACATTCTCGCGAGTATCGATCAGCTTTTCCATCTTGATATAACTTTACCAATCTGCCGCGTCGTTAGAGGCCTCGCTGTGCTTCATTACCGATTCAGTGCAGTATTGATACAATCACTGTCGAGTGCATGCAACAAAAAGAATACGCGCTTCCTTATTTGGACCGAAGTACAGTGCATAACAAGATGTGTCGGACGACTCAATCTCGCGGTGCGCTTCCTATGTGCTAGTAACAGGTACTAGAAGTCAAGACTCCATCCATGCCGGTGCTCATTCAACAGTCAGTATCACTGAGGAAGAGTGCATGCGACTGAACACAATTTCATCAAGTTGCGATGTGCCCAAGTAGAGAAACACCCATAATGTGCGATTGACAACTCCAGCGGCATGCCACATACATTCCTGGGAACCACTAGATGCAGGGCATGCCCACGTTTTACTCAAATTGAATCACAGCCGCATACAGAAGGATGGTGCTCGACTTGGATCAAGAGTTGCCAATCGTGGGGCACACAATGGCAGACAGTGAGATGTGCCATGCCTAGATAAGGAGATGAAGCACGGCCGTCACGGCCATCTTCCATTTGGAATTTGATCGCTCGGCGCCCAGTCCCAGGTCAACAATAACATGTCTACGGGCGAAAGATGTCCACACAGACTCGTTTGGTTAGTATGTGTGCACCATTACTAGAAGTGCGAAGTGCGAAGTGCGAAGAGTTTGACAACATGTCATTATTAGTCGATCCCATAGTCTGAGAAAGATGGACATTCGCTGTTGGGAGTTTTGGTATGGAAAGTCGACGATACAACCCTTGCACGAAGCGTGGAAATACATGACAGACGACTTCGACAGAAGGTTAATTGTGGATCGATGGCAGTTCAAGTAACCTCCATTGTCCACTTTGCAAAACCAGCAGAAGCGACAAAGTGAACTCACAAAATTGACCACTGGGGACGCATCGACCCTGGAATTTTGCTCCAAAAAAGGGTTTCGGTTTGAGAATAGGGTCGCCAGTCGCCAAGTCCAAGGACGTTCTGCTCCGAGGCCACCCTGATATCCTGTCTCATGTTTTGGACATGTACATGGGTATTGGCAAAGTGGTGCCAGGAAACCGAAATTGGAAACAAGCATTTGCCAAGTTTTGCCAAGTTTCTCCGTCCCATGACGTTGGTGATCCTGGCTGGGCGGTCCTGTGGGGAAGCCCCAATGCCACCCGCGTCTGTGGATCACGATTCAGCCCGTTTGAGACATGCGGAAACGCCTGACAACAATTGTGATTGGCGAGAATAGCAGCTATGGCATTTTTTTAAACTCCTTCTTTGGTCTCGGCTAGCTCTGCCGAAGGTGCGCGCGGGCACGATGCAGCTCTGGGGCTTTTAAGGAACGACAGCAACATGACTACGTAGCTGAACGAGTGACGTCAATCCTAGGGTCGACCGTGATGCGGCTCCTGACAGCTTAATGTCAGGCTCTAGACACGTCTAATTAGCAGAAGGAAATTACCCGCCGCAGCACGCCGCTTCTCCTTGGTATATATCGCTCCCAGGGCAGTCCCGAGTCTCGTCCAGACGCTTCTTTTCTCACAACAATTGCCAGGACTCCACACCCTACGACTAGTACCTGTCTATAATCTACGTCGAGGCCAAAGACCCTGGTAGGGTCTTCTCTGAGCGCCAATCCCCTCAGGCATTCCATTGTGATCGTGCACACATCCGATCTCGCCATGGGTCTCTTCAGCCATAAGTCACGCCAGGAACCTGGACACACCAGCACTACTACAGCCGGAGCCTCCTCATCCCGCGCGGGTCTCTTTGGGAAACGAAGAGACCATGTCAACGAGTCGTATAGTATGGCTACGAAACCGCGCTTTGGCCAATGGCTGAAATATACCTGGCTTGATATACTCACCATGGTTATCATGGGTGTCATCGGCCTCGGTGTAAGTTTTTGCTCCATCTGGCAATGATCAGTATATTGCGTTCATCAATTGACTCAATGGTCTAGGTCTACGAAGCTCATCCCGCCCCGACTCGATCCTTCCCTGTTACCTTCTCAGATGGAGAGATTGTGTTCCCTGAATTCGGATATCCCCTGCGCAAGGAGATTGTACCCATTTGGGCTGCTGCGCTATTGGCCGCCTTGGTCCCGATCGTGGTCTTTCTGTTTATGCAAATTCGCATACGATCATTCTGGGACGTTAATAATGCTGTCATTGGACTCCTCTGTGGGTACTCAGCTTTCTTTGTGCTTTTGGCGACGCAAGGAAACTGCTAGGCAGAGTCCAGTGATGTTTGCACTAGTCTTGGGACATCTCCATTCATGGCTTGTGTTGCCCGCCCCCCAAAAATATAAAGGCTAATATTATGTCCTTTTAGACTCCCTCATAACTGCAGCTGTATTTCAGGTCTTCCTCAAGTGGCTCATTGGTGGACTTCGGCCGCACTTCCTGGCCGTTTGCAAGCCCGACCTCAGCCTCGCAAGCAATAATCCTGGGGATGTTGGTGCTGGATACAATGGTGTCGGTTACACCAACGTTTACTACACCAGAGAAATATGCACCGGCGACATCAACGAGATCGATGATTCTCTCGAGTCATTTCCGTCTGGGCATACCACTGCCGCATTCGCAGGCTTCGTCTACCTGTACCTATACCTAAATGCAAAGCTCAAGGTCTTTGCCAACTATCACCCAGCTATGTGGAAGTTGATCGCCGTCTATGCCCCAATCCTGGGTGCAACCCTGATTGGAGGTGCCCTTACCATAGATGAGTATCATAACTGGTACGATGTTGTTGCAGGAGCTATCATCGGCACCGTCATGGCCTTTTCGTCCTACCGCATGACGTATGCTGCCATCTGGGACTGGCGTATTAATCACATTCCTCTCAGCCGCGGAACTCCGTTTGCCTATGGCGGTGGTGCTGAGTTAAGCGATGCACTTTGGACACGAAAGGTTGGCTGGGGTAGCGGCAGCGGTTTCCAGCACGGAGAGAAGAACGCGCACACTGGCCATGGCGCCTACAGTAACGGCGTTGGCCATCGCAAGCCTGTCGGCAATGGTACGGGACCTGCCAGAGCTGACGAGATGGTTTAGTCAGATTATGTCGTTCTCCCAAGTTTATTCAGGCTCTGCTTCATACGTAACGAAACTTGCGATATTGGGTAAATAATGGCGTTTTCGTCGACAAATACAGTCCTGGTTTCGACAAGACCAATATGTGTAATATATGCCGAAGACATGTCTGGATGCTGCTAGCTAAGATACCCCCAAATCCAACTTGATCAAATTAGTGTACGTTGTGGTTGTAAACGTGAAGTATATCGAGATAGGCCATGTTGACTCGGGAGTTGGCTGAGTCCTATATTACTTTGGTAGTAGATCAGTCACAACGGTCTAGGAAGAATAGCATGTTCATGTTTAGCGAATAGTTAGAGACCTTAAGTGTTGGTCCTATACCGTTCGCTAACCTTTGCAAACACCCACCTTCAATCGTTCAAGCAGGAAAAATAGCGCTTGATCTCTTGATTGCTGGGCCATCACGGCGGACGAGGAAGTCAATACTAGCCCATTTCGTGAAATTGAAGGTCTGGAATGAAAATCGACTCATTGCGCATGAAGTAGCGAAATTTACTGGCAAGTGAAACTAGGATCACAGAGAAACTTAAGTTTCCGCACGTTAATTCAATTTCATATGACCTATAGTGTGACTGCAATCCTACTGGCCAACGTAATTGATGCCTGGTTATGCATATCAGGCGTTGTTTTCAATGTCATCCTGTAAGGACAATCAGAAATCATAAAGAAGTCTCTTTTCAACCTTCTAGTCACCCCTCTGAGTCAAATGTAGTTTCTAAGAGCTTCGTTTAGAACTCCAGTTATGTAGGACTCCCATCATTGTGCCCTAGTTGTATTTTGTACAACTACAAGTCGCTCTTGAAACAACCAGTTAGAGGTTCCCGTGGGATTTTATCTGACAGATGCAAATGTTACCCCTTGTTTGATCCATGAACTGTCATCGGGGGCGCCAGGGACGATTTGTGCTGCCCCAGGCTGGGGAGTTGGTCAGCGACAAGGTTGCCAGTCGTATGATGGACCAATGAGGCCGGCCGCTGGTGGAGGGATCGCGAGCCTCCAACTTTTTTTAAGGCAGAGCTGAGGTTTTTCCTGACAAGAGAACGACTTTTTGTAACTTCCTGTGGTTGGCTGCGCGCTGCCCAGGCGTTTCAGAGCCGCGGAGGTGCATCCGATATTTATAATCCGCTGCCAATACGTTTATTGCGGCCAAAAGAGGAATTCAGGGCCAACCAGTCCTAGAGAGGCTCACAACCGGAGAGTATAAGATCTCTGATCACCGCTGAGGATTGGAATGCTGACGTTCACCCAAGCTCATCCACTTCCATCAAGATCCATACATGGTCTTTGATCTATGAGTCAGTCATTGTCCACGCCTCATTTCATACCTTTTTGACCCCTACATAACAACTTGACAATGCGCTTGTTTACTCTTGTTATCTCTACTACGTCTGTTTGGAATGCGTATGCGCAGGGAATTGCACCCACACCGGTAGCCCCTCGGGACTTGAACAGTTGTTCAACCGAGGCCAACAAATTCACTTCCAAGTGGGCAACTACAACAGCCCCAGCATCACTAGTTTCCGCGTTTGGCGCAGCTTCCATTGATGCCTGCGCCATGCCGACCATAACAGGAACAAACAGCGTGGAGGCCAGCCATTGGTACAGCTCCGTCCAGAGCGAGTATATCAGCGAGTTCCGTAATGTCTATTCGGTTTGCAACGACGTTAGCGGGTTTACACAAGTACTGAATGCTGTCTTCTCGGCTGTGGCAACTGGCCCTGCATGTAGCAGCATCTATGCTCAGGTAACCAGCGGCATTAGCACCAAGAACGTGGCTCCCCGGGAAACCGGCCTTCCGTTGGCTGCCGCTGCACTGGCTGCTGGATTCGCAGTAGCTGCTTTCTAGAGATCAAGCTTGGGATTATCGTCCGGTGCGTCGATATGAGCTTTAGAAGTGCATTCGAAGTGAAGCCAAATATCAAGGTGTATCAGGGACAGTCCGTGCTTGATGTGGTACCTCGCTTGGATATGTAGAGATATTTCGGGTGGGAAGAGGTTCAATATAATTACGTTCTGCATTTCGAAGATTGAGCACAGGGTGGTCATTAGACGTTTTGTGTACCAAGAAGCATGTCTCATACTGGAAATACTGTGAAACGCAGAGAAGGTAGGGGTATGAGTAGCGTTTCGGTGCTGAGGTGTTTCCACATGGGACCTGAAGGATTATTAACTCGGGATGCTTCCAAGCTCTCAACAGTGAAAAATATGTCCATCAAAGACAGTTTATTGGTGATTGAGGCTCTAGACTACCGCAGCAGTCCTCAACACATAGTCTGGGTCGATGATATACTGTTGAAACACGCACTCTCAATTTCTCGGTGCCACTGGGCTTTTGAACTGCATGTTGCGGCAGAGGACGATCCCCACTCGCTCTTTTAAATCCTACAATTATGAAAGCGAGCCTGCAATATATCTTACATACTTGCTTCAGTACGTGGCAGTGCACTCAATCTCGACATCGACATTCAAAGGCAATGTCTTGACTGCGACGCACCTGCATATGGCTTAGCGTTTGTATAAGACAAGAATTCCAGGGGGATTGCTTACGTTCGGCATGGCTTGGTCTCTCCCCAGTACGTCGAGTATATCTCGTTCATGGCAGCGAAATTGTCCATGTCTGAGAGGAAGACATTGACCTTGACAACCTTGGTGATGTCTGAGCCAGCAGCTTCGAGGATAGCTGTGAGATTCCTGATACATTGGTGCTTCAGAAAGGTCAGTTGGCAGTTGCGGGATTCTTCAATGTTCAGTGGCTACTGACGGTATGAGCTTGGATATCGCCTTCAATGATCTCCATGGTGACCGGGTCCATGGGCACAGCTCCAGACACGAAAACGAAGCCATTTGCCTTGATGGCCTGGCTGTAGATGCCGGGCAGAGCTTTGGGGGCTTTGTCGGTTACGACGGCTGTCTTTTCTGCCATTTTTTGCAAGTGGCCAATAGTTGATTGAAGAGGTTGATGTGAGCGAAACAATCAGGCTAGAAGGCTTATGTCAATAGATACCGTACCTCAGCAAGTGTTTAGCTGAAGAGGCTCAAATACCCTGTCTCCGATCGAAGTCAAAGATGGCCCCAGTATTGGGGGTACAGGTGCGGGGGACCTTGATGGCACGTTGCAACACCACAAGCCTAGAAGCACAGTACAAAGGTAGGGACCTGACTGTTGTCTGACTGACTAGTGTTAGATACCTTGATAGGATCATACGTACTCCAGGGGCCTAGTAACGCACGGTATCAAATAACTTACGTCAGGGTGTTGACTCGCAGAATTGATGGTCGGCCCACCTTGAGTTAACTTTCTGGCCCATTGAATGGCCATTGGCAAGACTGGCAGTTTGCAATGGTGCCTACCCTGTGTATTAATTGCAGCACTGGTCTCGGCGATGCCGATAGCGGAGGCCCTAGTATACAGATGCCAGTTTGGTGCCTGGTCAGGCTGGTGCAGATAAGAATGCGCCAGGGCACCCAGGGCACCTTTCTCCGCCAGTGGGATGTGGGGATGTGTCCGCGGTAACCTGGGAACTGATACGGCCATGGTTACTAACCACAGTTACTCATTCAACTGAAGATCTAGTCAGGGTGCTGCCCTGGGCCGACCTGGGCGAGCTGGGGCCAGAGTCGAGACAGTGGAGAGTTCAGAGTGTCCATGCCTGGCAACCCAGGAGACCCAGCACGCCCCCAAAGACCCCCAAAGCCCCCCCAATCTCCCCCAATGGATCCATGGATGTCTCCAGCTTCTAGTTACTTATCTTACCCCAAATTGGAGCTCGAGAGCCGAGTCTGCGCTGCCTGGGGAGCCTGACTGGTGGTGGAAGCGCTACCCCACACCGCCGTTGAACCCTGTAGTCTAGCGCCCGACGGATGGCGTCCGACACTGATCCATGATACGGGCCAGCCAAGCCCCAGTAAGCCCAGTACCCCAGGTCGCACTGTCAGTTCGGTGCGACAACACGGATTAGTGACATAGCTACAGGTAGCACAGCAGGGCCATGGGTGCAAATAGCTCTTATCTCGCCGCCCGTGTCCGTGTCAGTGTGATGCGATTGCCGATCGAGCGACAGGCCACACCATTCCATTGGCCGTTGGGAGCTTATCTGGATGATGGCTGTCTACTGGCCAGGACGTATTTAAGAAGAACATCGTCGCCGCGCCCTGCCACCATGGCTCCCCTCCCGTGTTCTGCGGCGGCCTTGGTGTAACGACGACTCCCGACTTGAACTCATCAGACCCCTTCGGCGGCACTCGCTGGAGCTGGCCCCGTATACGCGCAGAGTGCAGCACCACGCCCCATTCGACGACCATGGCTGACGTCAAGTCTCCGGCCATGCGGGACTCCGAGTCGGGAGATAAGGGCTCCGACTTGGCCCACAGGCTCGCCGGAGTGGAGAGCAACCGTGAGGTGTACAGCGAGGAGACGGCGCAGGTCATCGACCCCGTAGCTGAGAGGGCACTGTGTCGAAAATTCGACTTCCGACTGTTGCCCGTGCTGGCTGTTATGGTGAGCATTGCCAAACGGTCGCTCGCGTTGGGCGACCCGATGCTGACGCTGGCCAGTACCTGTTCAATGCTCTCGACAAAGGAAACCTGGGAAACGCGGAGACCAGCGGTCTTTCAAAGGGTAAGACAGGCACCATATGCCAGCCCACCCGGACGTGCAATGGACGGCAACTGACGAAGCGCTCATTTTGTAGATCTTGGCTTTGCAGATGGACAGTATAATCTGATCGTCGGCATTTTCTTCGTCCCATATGTCATATTTGCGCCCCCAATCGCTATGCTGGCGAAGAAGTTCGGGCCAGCCCGCGCACTGCCCGTTATGATGTTCTCATTTGGGTCCTTGACGCTGTTGACTGCAGCTTCGCGCAACTTCAGCGGTGTCTTTGCTCTCCGGTGGTTTCTGGGAATGGCAGAGAGCGCTTTCTTTCCGGTAGTCATCTACTATCTTACGACCTTCTACCGACGCGGAGAACTGGCTCGCCGCTTGGCCATTTTCTACGCTGCATCAAACATCGCAAACGCATTCTCTGGCCTACTGGCATTCGGCGTCTTCCAGATCAATTCCCATCTCATTGACCATTCGTGGAGGTGGCTGTTCATCATTGAGGGAAGCTGCACCGTCTTGTTCTCATTCTTCGCCTTTTGGTATCTACCCGGAAGTGCAGCGGAGGCCAAGTTTCTGACGGCAGAGGAGAAAGACCTGGCCTACCACCGTATCCACGTTGATAGCTCTTCCACGGTAAACGAAGAGTTCAGCTTGAAAGATTCTCTGCAGATATTCAGAATGCCCGCCACCTATGGGTTTCTGCTTATCGAAATATGTCTCGGTGTTCCACTGCAGGGTGTATCCCTCTTTCTGCCTCAGATCGTGCAGCGTTTGGGATATGACAAGGTCAAGACGAACCTCTACACCGTTGCGCCCAATGTAACTGTGAGTTGTTCTCCATCAGTGGACGGGGAAGCTGAGACTAACGTGATCTAGGGAGCTGTAATGTTGTTGGTACTGGCATTCAGTTCAGATTTCCTCCGAATACGGTTTCCATTCATATGTCTGGGGTTCGCCTTCACATTTATTGGCATGATTATTTATGCCACCATCCAAGATGTACAAGCCCAAATTCAAGTTGCGTATTATGCGACTTTCATGATGTGCTGGGGTACTTCGGCCCCATCAGTATTACTGAGCACGGTAAGTCCACCATCGTATTCCGTTGCCCAGACCAGTCTAGGAGAGCGCACACTGGCAAGAGGAATTATTGGCTGACGACCACGACAGTGGTATAACAACAATGTCGCGGATGAGGGCAAGAGACTTGTGCTCACTTCTGTTGGAGTGCCACTGGCAAATCTTATGGGCCTGGTGGCGAGCAACCTCTTCCAGACCCGTGATGCACCAAAATACCTGCCGGCCCTCATCGCAACAGCATCTTTTGGTGCCTGCGGTTTCGTCGTAGCTGGACTTTTGGGTGCGTACATGACGTTTGATAACAAGCGGCGCAACCGCCAGCAAGGTGTGAACTTGACAGCTCAGGACGTACCCACGTCGAAGCTGAAGGACGGGCCACAAGTACAGGACTTCCGTTGGTTTTTGTGAGCCTTGGGAAGGGGGTGGAGGGGTTTCCTTCTATGCAGATCAAGAGACCACCAGACTCCAGACTTACATATGCTCCATCTCGTGATATAAGCCAACTCCTCAGGGGAGAGCACCAGGAAGCCTGCCCGTCGTTCTGGCCTGACGAGGGGTTCCGATGCATTCATGTGTACCAAAGAGCTAGAGAGGCAAGCACTGCGCATGGAAACCTCCATGTTACAACGCATCTTTCAATGTATTTATGTATCGTCATAGTATAGTGGCGCGAAATAAGATTTTACTACGCCTAATTTGTTGGTGGATCTCTCACGAATCGAGCTGTGCAAGCGCATCGTGTGAATTAGGCGAAGCAAAGTTGAGATAGGAACTCTGTCGCTCGGATCTATGGTAGCCTTGCTCCTTTCATGCATACATATTCGAGTCAACCATGAATTTGTTTAAAAATAGTTTCACTAAATCAAAATCATGGAATTTCCCCTTACTTGGCGTGTTGTTGGTATCAGTGTGGTATCCCACCCTTTGGAGGTCGTTCCCCACGATAAGAGAACTAGCTCTTCAACATGTTTATTCGCGCACCTCAGAGCTGAATCCCCCACTTTTGACCAAGGAAGATTGACTACTTACGCACCTATGGAATTATATACGCCAGTATTTAATCACATCGAAAGATGATTCAGTGACTGCATCACCCGCAGTGAAGCAGTACACCTCTGCACTTATCAACTACCACCAGTAATTGCTTAATGATCACCCAGGCATGTGCAGACTTCAGCTGACCAAGGTCTAGTGTCATCCGAAATTGGTGAAATCACCGCTGTGTTACATGCCTACGGAGCCGCACTCAAAAGTCGCAATGTTGAAGACGCGGTCGCACTGTACACGGGCGACGGCGTGATTTTGGCCCCCCATTTCCATGCCAGCGCAGGCACAAAATCACTGCATGAGTCTTACTCAAGAATCTTTTCCAGCGTACAACTGGAAATCACGTTCGACATTGACGAGGTGGTTATCATGACTCCCGGGGAATGGGCATTCGCGCGAACGACGGCCGATGGTACTAAGACGATGCTAGCGACGGGCGAGTCAGAGACGCACAATAATCAGGAGCTGTTCATCCTGAAGAAGGAAGAAGGTACATGGAAAATTGCTAGATATTCGTTCTCTAGTATGAAGCCGTTGGTGCAAAATGGGGTTCGGAGAAGTTAAAGGGACTTTGACTAGGGGTATGTCCAGTCCAGTGTCAGGTTCTCTGGTAATACGAGCATATTATGCTCAATTTGGTTCCAAATACCATCAAATACATTCCAACTGTAGAATCATGTAGTGAAATCTTGTTCGGGAATGTCTATTTACACTTTACCCATAGGTGCACAAGATAGAGCCAGCGAAGGCACTCATTGCAACCTGTATCGGACAGATTGCAAACATTACTAATACAATCAAAGGTTCGTGAATATGTAAAGCTAGGATAAAGAAACATGCTACCCTATTGTAAAACTGAGGCTGTAGGGTTTGGAGGACCGTCTTCGATAATGAGCAGCTTCGGGATTCTTTGCAACTGATCCAGCGGTGCGAGATGACATGGAGAATCTGATGACCGGTTAAAACTCCCAAGTAGCTCTTACTTCAGTCGATACGAGAACTATAGTCTGTCACGAGATGTTGTCTTCCATAGCAGTGCCTATGGGGGGGGGGTCCACGAGAGAATACAGTGCAATAAACAAACTTGTGGCGCTATTCTGCTGCGTAGAACCACGGGGGGTAGACTCCTTTCATCATTCATGTCGACTTGGGATAGGAGTAGATCTGGATGATAAGCCGTTGTTAGCTAAAGCATGCGCTTCTATCACGTTGAGCGCTGTCCCTGCCACATGTCGGGTCCGTTCACTGGTGGCTCAAAGGTCTGCGATGCAAGTGCTGGTCATCTCAAGTTTGACATATATACGTCAGAGGTCACGGCAACCAAGCAACATATCACATACAATCATCCACCCAGTTATGGACTGTCTATTTCAACGCTAGCGTTTCTTGGACTCTTGCCCGTCCTCCAAGGGTTCCTTACAACAATCGAAGGGAGCTTCGATTGTGTTGATCTGCGCCAACGCGTCAAGCTTTTCGTTTCCCATCTACCAACAAAAACTTTCGCAGAGCTCCTCGTCTCGGAAAACAAGTAATATTCTTACCACACTCTGTGTGCTGAATTCGGTAAGTTCAGTCCTGCAGCCATCATCCACCCATTGTGCGTTCACCTTTCCACTGGTACCATGTCATTTCACTTCACCCCGTGTCTGTCAGCAATCCCCTGTCAACTGTGGTACTGTCGCATGTCGAGCACTTCTCAAAGATGATGTGAGCTGTTGAGAGCATTGTCCCAAATCACACTTGAGGTTGCCTACCTAGCTTCACCATTCGTCACAATTCTCATTCCCTGCATCGTCTCACTCCATGGACAGTTCCACTTGAAGAATCCTTCACTGTGTGAACATCACTGCCTCTTCCCATAACACCCGGTTCTACCTCACTCGTAACGCGTTCCCTTTCGTGAAGCTGCCACGGTAGATACGGCTGACGAACCCAGCGCAGATCGCACTCTACTCCAGCACAACAAGCCAAACACCGAACCCACCAACATGTCTGAGGCAAAAGCTGGTTCTTCTCCCACCAAGGTCGCCACCTCGAAGTGGACCGCCGAGGATAACACCGACCTTGTCTTCACCATCCTGTGCCAGGTTAATCCCGAGCTCGCCATCAAGGGTTGGAAGGAGATAGTCGAGGCCTTTGGCAAGGTCCACGGCGACAAGTATTCGATGTCCGCTGCCAAGTGAGTATTTCTTTCCATCTCATCTTCGTCGGCCCGCCCTCTGCCCCCTTTCCAGTCATGAGAGGGAAAAGCACCAAAAGGATACACCAACCAGGCATCTTCATGCGGCTGTACCTGACACCTCCTTTCTATTCATTAGGCAGCAGTTTCAGAAGCTCCGCGACGCCTACATCGCCAGCTACGGTGCGTCCACCACTGCCTCGGGTGACGCCACTGCTCCGGGTCCGAAGCCTAAAGCCGGCGCCGCTCGCAAGCGAGCTTCTCCCGTTGCTGCTGGCAGCGCTGGCGAGGATGGTATGCATAACGCCAACAACGACGATGGCGCCGGACTCGCGACCGAGCCGGCAGCTGCCGCTGCGAAGCCGCGCAAGCGCCGCGCCCCCCAGAAGTCCAAGGCCAAGGTCGACGGGGGAGAGGAGCACGAGGCTGGCGAGGCGGAGCAGGACAAGCCCGAGCCCAAGCCCAAGCGCACCCGCAAGCCCAAGGCAGTCAAGCCCGATCCCGAAGTTGCCCTCGAGGCCCATGGCGAGGGAGCCGTGGAGGTTCACGGCATCAACGGCCATGAGCCTGAGGGCATGGAGGTCGACGATGCCTAAGCGTGCACCGCCATCATCGCCGAAGGTTCGTGGTGGAGTTGGGGTTGCCATTGGCAAGAGCTGTTAACAGCATATGAATTCTTGGTAGCTGATGGATGAAACGGATACGTCGTTTAGTCGGGCTTTACTAATCAGATGTGCTTCGAGCATACATGTCGTCTTGGACCTAGTGACTGCAATCCGCAAGGAAAATTTGATATCTACTTGTAAGTAGACCACCCTCTCAATTGATGGAGGCCACATGAAAAAAAAAAGAAACCAGATCTTCTACAAATACATATCCGGACAATGTGCGGCCACAAGTCCCCAGCAATGCTATTTACTCTCATCCAAACTCATACACTGCAACTCTATCAGCCCAGCGGACGTGGTATGTGTCATACGACACTAACAGCAAGTCCAATGACACCTTTGCGTGACATGACTTGTGTCTACGGACATCGTCCTGGCCCTGGCTTGAGGCTCTATCATGGCACTTATTTCTGGGTGTATGAGCTACCGCGAATTGGCGGCCGGCATACGGCACGCCGCGAGAGGGCAGTCTCGAGATGAGGAAAGCTGTATTCGAGCCATCAACAGGACATAACGTAGCCAGGATGAAACACCCCTCGGCAGCATCGGAGCCATATCGATGTATAAGTCACAGGTACAGACAAGAGCGACAAGAACGGGCGGAAATTGTACAGCGAGTATTCAATTGTTACAGGAAGAATGGGGATATCATACCGTGACTCATTAGCGCTTGCACCGAACCGCGAACCCAAATAGTAAACCGAGAAGAGAAGCACCATCATGTCAGCCATTGTCGCCTTCCGGACGATACAAGGTCCCGCTACTGCTACGCCGAGCACCGGGTGTGTGGATGAAAGACAGGTCGGGTAGCAACGGGCGAAGAACATTAGAACTCGCCCTCGCCACCACCACCGACAACACCGGCGGTCCACAGCCCGACCAGTCCCCACCAACTGACCTTCCAACCTCTCCAGAGCCCATCGACGCCCTGGCCCTTCCTGTACACGACCTCGGAGACCTTGGCCTGCTTGGCCTTCTTGCCCTTGGCTGGCGCCGACTTGGCCAGCACAGGGATGGCGCGAGACCCCTCCTCCGAAACGATGGTGTACATGGTGCCCACGACGCCATTGTAGGATCCCGGTCGCACGATTGGCTCCATTTTGCCGGCCTCGTCCAGTGCTTGCACGTACGCGGGATGGGACAAGACGGAGGCCTGGCCGCGGCGGAGGACGGTCTCTAGGGGTAGTTTGACAAAAAGCGAGACGCACGAGGTGCAAAACTTGGCGACGGAGAAGGTGGTCGGAGAGAGCTCCTTGTCGATGAGGAACTGCGAGCGCAGTACGAGCGGCGTCGAGAGGGTCAAGACGGGGTGGATGAGAGAGTGGAGGATGGTCGGCGTGACGAGCGACGGCGGGCACAGCCAGGAGGGAAGAGAGCGGAGGCTCGATATGGTGCGGCGGGATCCGCGGGTGGTGGATGTGAGGATGAGTCTCGTCCGCACCATGTCCAGAGGGGCCAGGATCAGACCGGTCGAGACGGCGGCGGCGGCGGCAACACACAGGGAGGCCCAGGGGTACGGGGAGGCGATGTCGACCAGCCTGTCGACGTCGTCCTTGACGCCCAAGTCGGGCACGTTCAGGAGTGCGCTAAGCAGACTCCGGGACCAGTTCTCGAGAAGAGACTGAAGGACCGTGTAGAGGAATGTGGCATTCGATCCCTTCCACACGCCCCAGGCGCTCTCCTTGGACCAGAGCTGGGCCATAACCTCAAAGATGGAATCTGGCCGCCGCAGTTGGAGCTGGTGAGGGAGCAGGTCCGGCGCGGCGGCCGGCTTATCTGGTTCGGGCTCGGTCGGGCTGGGTGCCCGGTGTCTATGCGACCGCGCGGACGGGGTGGGTGTCTGGTACGGGGCACTGGAGGTGAAGTAGGAGGGCTCGTCATCCGAGTCTGATTCGGGATACTGCGAGAAGGGGGAGGGCCAAGAGTCAGCATGGGCAGTTCGGGGTAGACGGAGAGGGCGCTGTAGAGCCGTCGTACCTGATCATATAGCGACGACGGCCTGGGACTGGTCATGTTTGGTCTGGCGGTGGGCTGGGAGAAAGACGAGGCGCCCGTCTCCAACAGCTCGACGTCGTCCTGGGCGCGGACCTGGAGGAGGGTCTTGGCGACCTCGAAGGGCTGGGCCATCAGCACGCTGGTGTACTTCCATAGCAGCTCGTCAACCAGCTCCTTGAGGGTCTGGATGGTGGACGGGGACGGGTCGTTGACATAGTCGCGGTAGTCGAGGTCCGGGAAGATGTCGCGTGCGCGGGAGGCGTATCTGGCGCCGCCGTGGGCCGTGGCATTCGCGCCGGGCTGTGCGGAGGAGGAGAAGCCGGAGAGGGACTCGGTCTGCTCGCCTATGGTCGGGGGGATGTAGTAGGGGCGCAGCGGGTTGACGCCCTGCCTGGCGGCGGCGGAGGAGGAGGAGGAGGGGGAGGAAGATGAAGCCATACTGGTGTCTGGCGTCTGCCTCGGGGGTCCGGCTCACGACGCAGGTAGAGAGGGAGAGGGATGTTGTTGGGTGGAGGGCCGTCTGCAGGCGACAGCTTAGCTCACAGCACGCAGGGCGACATCATTTTGCATGACGAAAATTAATGCAAACAATCTCCAAGATCCATGCGCTAAGGCAAAGGGTGCTTGCTGGCCGTGGAGGGATGCTGGGATGCTGGTAGGGGGGGAGAGGAAAACGAAATGCGGCAAATCCCGTTGCGCCGCCCAGCTGCCAGAACCTCAGGCACAGCCCTGGAGCCCTGGAGCCCTGGAGCCCTGGCTCAGAGTCGCACTGGACCGCACTGCGCACCACACTGGACCAACTGGCTACCTAACTGCATGTAATTTGCACCCCTACCCTACAGCACGGCTCAGTGGGACACTGGCAGCTGGGCCTCTACTACCTACCTAGCAGCAGCCTACCTAGGTAACGAGGTGGTAGCCACTGCCCGGCCCCAGGGGGCGAGCCACAGGCACTGCCCAGGTGGACGGACGTCTACAGCACCCGTGCACCATGACCATAATCCGATGGAAGCTAACTAACAACGTCGCGCATGGATGTCGACCACTGCCCAGGTGACCACTGAGAGAGCTCGCAATCCGGCCATCCTCAGCCAAAACAAGCCACACCCACCACAACAGCGCCCTCCGACCGGACTTCGGGGGAGTCGGCTGTTGGCCAACGGCGGGACTGCACGACGGCCGGGCGATCAGTTGGGACTTTTTTTTTTTTTTTTTTTTCCCTCCCCTTCCCCCTTCTCGGAGGCGCCTTTTTCTCTGCTGCCACGCTGTAACACTGCAACCCCGTCGACGCACCCGAGCGGCGCAAAGTCCAGATCACATTGTCTATCGCTGCGCCATACCTATTCCGCGCCTCGAATCCGACTGTTGGCCGCCCAGTCCTGCCTCGCCTGGCCAATTAGTCGCCGCACAAGCGCGCCTGTTGGTGACGGCAGCCCAGATCCTTACCCGCTGCCCTCGCCGTAGCCGGAAATAGAGCCTCAGCAACCCAGACGAGCCCCCCTGCAGACCAGGCGTGTTGGCCGTCCCGTGCAGACTGGGCAGAGAGCCACGAGAGAGAAGAAGTGAAAGCGAGGAAGAGAAAGCGCTGTTACGCCCGAGTATATAAACCCCCACCTGCAGCTCCCATCGCTGTCGTCCTCGGCCTCTGCGCTCGAAGCTCGAAGCTCGAAGCTCGAAGCTCGACTCCCGAGACGCAGACAGAGTCAACATGGCTGCCCCGAGGTGCATCGCCAGGGGCCTCGGCCGCCTCAGCTGTGTCTCTACACCCTTATCCTCCACAACTACTCGACTTACACATGCCGTCTGGCGGTCCTCCCGGATACTGCCTGCCTGCACCCGCACATTCGCCACGACACCGGCGCGCTTACACGGCCATGTAACGCCGCCAAAGCCCGGTGAAGAGTGAGTCCCGTACCCAGTTCCGACCCCGAATCCTCTGTGCAGACCCATCCGCCCGCCCGCCCGCCTGCCCGCCTGCCCGCCTGCCCGCCTGCCACGCAAGAGACTACGGCTTACACCTGATTTTCTGTAGACTCCATGTCACCTTCATCGACAAGGACGCCCGCACCCACAAGATTGCCGTGAGCAAGGGCGACAACCTGTTGGACGTCGCCCAGGCCAACGACCTGGAGATGGAGGGCGCGTGTGGCGGCTCCTGCGCCTGCAGCACCTGCCACGTCATCGTCACCGACCAGGACTTCTACGACCGCATGCCCGAGCCCGAGGACGACGAGAACGACATGCTGGACCTGGCCTTTGGCCTGACCGAGACCAGCCGCCTGGGCTGCCAGGTCACCATGACCAAGGAGCTCGACGGCCTGGTCGTCAAGCTGCCCAGCATGACGAGAAACCTGCAGGCTAGCGATTTCAAATCGTAGTGTTAGGCGGCCCAGATCAGATGGGGGGCGATATACGGGGATGGATAGAGGGTCCGACGTTGCAAACAGGGTATTCTTTTGGTGTATATAGTAGCTGGGTAATGGGTACGGCCCAGTGTTCGGCCCGGAATGGGAATTGGGCGCCCTCCAAGCAGCGCACGTGCGACCGTGACGATCGAGGTATCGAGGTATCAAGTGTATCAAGATTCGGCATATAGACAGTGCCGTGTACATGTAGTATATCCCAGCCCCCCAAGGCAGCTGGTGAATAGAGAGACCCACTCCACAAGGTTGCAGGTCATATGATGACCATCCCGTCCCCTGGCCATGATATCGCATGGACTTCCGCATCAGCTCCCCTCCCATCGCCTGTTCCCCCTCAAACTTTCTGCCCCTTATCGGCACCCTTGCCTTTTACGCTTCTTGGATGCCCCCAGTCTTCATGCCGCCTCCGCCGCTGGCAATCAGGTCCAGGAAGCCCTTGCGGCTCATCTCGCTGACCTTTTCCTCGCGGCCCTTGACGCCGACGAAGCCGTCCCTCCGGGCCTGCACCTCGGCGTCGGCACCCCGGACCTGGGCGGCGCGCACGGCGTTGAACAGCTTGACCACGCCGCGCTGGGCGACCTTGCGCAGGCGGCGCTCCGTCTCGAGGATGTCGGCCGTGCTGGCCTCGAGCTCGCCCGTGTCGTCGTCGCGCGAGGCCACCAGCACGTCCCGCACGCGGCCCTTCTCGAGGGCGGCCAGCTTCTGCTGGCGCATCTGCCGGCGGGCCTTGGCCTCGAGGGCGGCGTCGACCATCTCGCGCGACGCCTGGGCCGCGTCGGCCGACCGCGACAGCAGCGGGTCCGCCCGCCGCGTCGTCGACAGCTTGGTGCCCAGGATCTTGGACATGGATGTGGCAAAGGCCGAGGCGTCGTTGCGCTTGGACTTGGGCCGGCCGCCGACCGCGGCGTCGCCGTCGTCGTCCTCGTCCGAGAGGTCAAACTCGTCGTTGTCGTCGCCGTCGTCGTCGTCATCGTCGCTCATAGCCGGAGCGTCCTGGGCCAGCTTCCGTTTCGAGGGGGGAGCGGCCTTCCGCTTGGTCAATTTTTGGCGGGCCGAGGAAGTATCGGCGTCATCGGAATCTGAGCCCGAGCCCGCGTCCGAGTCGGCGGAGGATGCACCATCGTCGACGGTCGCATCGAGGCCACCCTCGTCGTCCGAATCTAGAAGGTTGACAGGCTGGAAGGATGCGTCTGCGTCTGCGTCTGCGTCTGCGTCTGCATCGGGATGGTGAGCGTCGTTGTCATTGTCATCGTCCGAGTCGCTGTGGTAGGCGGCCTGCTTCCTCTGCTTCTTGACGGGCCGCGAGCCCTTGGACTTGGCCGCCGACTCGTGGTGAGTGCGCTTCTTGGACGTTGTGCCGGCCATGGTTGCGCTGTGTGCCGTGACGGGTGAGTTTGTGTGTGTGTGTGTGTGTGTGTGTGTGTTTGTGTGTTGGCGACGAGGAATGGGCTGGTCGGCAGGCGGCTCGGCCAAAAAAAAGTGCCAATCGACCGGCCGGCTTTCTCAAAATTTCAACGGTCGAGGGGCCGATAAGCATGGGTTTGGGTTACTGGTGTACCTGTCGACCTCTTATCGGACGGCGCGACGTGATAGGACCGCTCCCGCCGCCGGCTTCCCGCGTCGCGTCGCACATCCCGCAACCCGTCCATGCTGCCCCTCCCCCGTCGTGTCACCCTTGCCACGCTTGCTGCTGCTGCTGGCTGGGATCCGCAACACGGGTCCACGACCTCACCTCAAGCCGAGGCCATGACCCACGATAGGTACAAGAAGCCGGGGTTGTGATCGAGAGGCCCCCTTCCACCCCCCAATTGCCTCGCCAGGGCCGACTAGCTATACTTTCAAGGTTATAACTTGCACCCTTTGGCTCCCGCTGATCGCTCTCTGCCGTTCTGGGGACGTTCACACACTCGCCTCGTTACGCAGCCACTCAGCCAGCCTCGCTGTCGCCATCCCGCCCCGCCATGGCACCGAGGCCGACCGTGGTCTCCCTGGCGGCGAGACTAGGTGCGGGCACTCCTCCAGGCCTTGCTGCACGCCTCGGCGCTCTCCCTCTCTCGCGAACAGCCGCTCCGAGGTGCTCACGGGGCTTTCCCGAACCGCTTTCTCCGTCTGCCGCACCTGTCAGGTCGTACTATAAACAGAGAAAGGCGGGCACCCAAGATTCAGCCCAGCACAGGTACCGGGAAGCCCAAGACCAGAATGCTTGGCTTGTAGACGGTACCCAGGCCGATGCCAGTGAAGGAGCCCCTCTTCGCATCACGCACCCGGAATCCCGTCACACCCTCGTTCTCAACCGCAGGTCCCTGCGTGACGCCTGTGCTTGCGAGCGCTGTGTCGACCCTCACTCCGGCCAGAAGACGTTTGGCACCACTGCAATCCCCGCCGCGCTCCCTATCGAGAGCACCCAGCGCCTGGTTGACGGCTCCCTAAGAGTCGTCTGGGCCCGGGACTTCCTTTCGTCCGGTGGCCCTCACCAGTCCACATATCCACCCAGCACCATCAGGTCGTGGTTCGCCGGTCGCAGAGAGGGCGCTCCGCGGACCCCGGGCCTAAGCCTCTGGAACAGGCGGGAGTTCGAGGCCAGCCCGCACACGGTCACGTACGAGGCCTGGATGTCCGCCGGCCCGGATTTCCATGCCGCCCTCGCCCAGCTGAGGCAGTTCGGCCTTGTCTTCATCGACGGCGTTCCCCACTCCGAGGATTCCGTCGTCGCCCTCGCCAGCCAGATTGGCAACATCCTCGAGACCTTGTACGGCCGGACCTGGGACGTGCGCTCCAAACCTCAGGCAGAGAACGTGGCCTACACCAGCTCCTTTCTCGGCCTCCACCAGGACCTTCTCTACACCTCCCGCCCGCCCAGGCTACAGTTTCTGCACTGCTTGGAGAACACGTGCGACGGGGGCGAGTCAATCTTCAGCGATGCTTACGCTGCCGCTGCAGTGATAAAGAAACTCCCCTACCACGCCGCGCCGTTGTACAATTTTCCGATACGTTACCATTACAAGAAGAATGGACATTCCTACGAGAAGCTGCGGCCCGTGTTCGAAAAGGCGGGCGGCGTTTATTGGAGTCCTCCGTTCCAGACCAGTGATCAGCCCTGGGAAAAGTCCACAGAAGGCGACGTTAGTTACAGCCGATGGTTTCAAGCCGCCCAGGAGTTCCGCAGGAGGTTAGAGCACGAAACGTCCGTATACGAGCGCAAGCTGAAGCCGGGTCAATGTGTTGTCTTCGATAACCTGAGGGTACTGCACGGCAGACGTAGGTTCGACACGGCATCAGGCAACAGATGGCTCAAGGGAACGTACATCGCCGACGACGTCTGGAAGAGCAAGCTGTACGTGCTTGCTGAGGAGATCAAAGCCAAGTTCCATCAGAATGATTCAGCCACAGGCCCAAGCAAAGACACCGGCGGAGGATCGGGTTCTGCTTGAGTACCATGATCCCACCGGGCCCACACCCGGCCTGAGCAGTGGGAGTAATCCAAGAGATGAGCGTCGTATGTGATAGGATTATTGTTAATATCACAGAGTATCAAGAAGTGAACCATGACAGCCGTGTAGATTACATCAGCGGATTTGTACTTCCCCTCTTCGTTTTTTCTCACTGATTTGAACTCAACTAAACTAAAGTCGATATCATGGCATCCTTCCGTGCGAGAGCGGCAAAGCTTCTTTCAGACGTTGCATCTTCACTTCTGCATGTCTCTCACACCATGCGGATGACCCATAGTTTCCCCCTTAACCCTGGTGAGTTATGTTGGTGCGGCTCCCTGTGGTTTTGATACCAGTGGCTGGGTGGCTGAGTGGCTGCCGTTGCTAGCTTGACGGAGCCCCAAGAAGGCAACCAACCCGCTGGTTGCCAGCAATACGGAAGGGGCTGAAACAACATGGGCCTAGGAAAGAAGTCAATGGCATTACGCCCAAGCCTTTAGGCTTGTCGTTCTAAGGCTCTGTAGTGTAACTTATATCGACTGCATCCGACGGTCGATAGAGCATGAACCGGTAGACGAACGAGTCGTTACTGATGTACTGATCTCAAAGCTTGACGATATCATCATGAGCGCGTGTTGGATATCCCATTCCGAATTAACCACGTACAAATCAGGGACTCATCAGCTTGATGAGCGCCGACTTTCCAACCTACGTAATTCGTACAGGTGCGGTACTCCGCTCTTGCGACGTCAGACTGTCTGTCCACTTCCAGGACTTCAAATTAGTAGCCACACAGGAGTTTTGGATGTTGGAACGAAGATTTCCTGTCTGTGAAGACTGATAATACGCTCTTCATAGGAATTCTCTGCTCGTAGCCCGAAACGCTTCACTCTACTGAGGGGATCATGGGCAAGGCAGTTATCAAAGGCTGTATTGAAATTTTGTGCATGATCCAAGGAAGAAAACCCTATATCCATCCTTCCGATTTCTATCATTGTTGTTCACGTTCATTATTCGGTCATAGCCACAAGGAGAATCTATCTAGTATGAAGAACTTTCAGTACTTATGACACTTTTCTGTGCGGCTTTGAAGTATGTGCTCACTGAATTTAGTTCAGAAGACCAGTCTCTCGATATAGCATGTTTACATAAGGAATATGGGTTTTGTCATTGCTAATCTTGTGGACGCAAATATTGATCAGTTTGATTGGTGGAGGAATCCATGTGCCGCGCTTACGCTTTACGCGGCCTTAACAACTTACGTGAACCCAAGACCATAGTTGCGTAAGCTCCAAATAGGCAGTAACTCAAGGTAATATTACAAAAGTGCCGTGCCGCTCGCACCGCCTGTACATTCTATAGACAGACTTGGAGACCCCAAATTCCAAAGATGTCGGAGCCACTAAGAAGCTCTGCTCCTGTCCAACAAGCGGCAGCAAACGCGAGTTCCCAGTCAACCATCTCCGGCCACCCGCAAGAACAACTTCAGGTCGCCGAAACTGGCACAGAAGATGAGAGCCTCTATCCCAAGGGAGTCAGGCTATGGACGTCTGTTGTGCCACTCTTCACCGTGAGTATGCTGCATGGCCTGGACCTGACCATCCTGGCCGCCGTGGTGCCGACCATTACCAATCATTTCAAGACGGTCGAGGATATTGGATGGTATTCGTCATCCTACTCTGTCACGATGGCCAGCTTCGGATTTATGTTTGGGCGGCTGTACACTCTTGTGTCCAATAAGCGATTGTACATGATAGCGCTGGGTATCTTTGAGCTGGGATCACTGCTTTGTACAGTGGCGCCGACCTCCTGGTTCTTCATTCTGGGGAGGTGTCTCGCTGGCATTGGGGCTGCGGGGATACAATCCGGCTCCCTCATCATCCTCACGCAGTGCTTTCCTAGGCAACAGAGACCGATATGGAGTTCACTTCTGGGCGCTACGCAGATGCTTGGCATCATCAGTTCTCCAATTATCGGCGGTGCTCTCATCGACCGGATTAGCTGGCGTGGGTGCTTTGGCATCAATTTGCCCATAGGCGCAGTTGCTGGTCTGCTCATTGCCTTCGGCTACCAAGACATCGTTGTCAATCCTGACTCGCGACTCCCGTTGAAAGAAAAGCTGAACAAGTTCGACCTGTTGGGGACGGTGTTCCTAGTGCCCTCCGTCACCTGTCTTCTTCTGGCGCTGCAATGGGGTGGGATCCGTTTCGGTTGGGGCAACCCCCGGATCATAGTTCTTCTCGTGCTTTTTGCTTTACTCTTGGCGGCGTTCGCCTGGCGGCAGTATCGGTTAGGGGAAGCTGCTATACTACCACCACGCATATTGAGAATGCGGTCAGTCCTAGCCGGGAGTTGGTACTCTGCATGCGTCAACAGCACACTGGCCGTGACCGAGTATTATATCACCATCTTTTTCCAAGGAGTGAAAGGCTACACGGCCACTCAATCGGGTCTCTTGCTTTTGCCAATGCTTGTAGGCATGGTCATAGGAGGGCTAGTCGGTGGAGTGGGTACAAGTCGCATTGGTTACTATAACCGTAAGAGTTCCAGCCCCCTAACACGTTCCTCGTGCACTAACATTTGCAGCTTTCATGATTGCCACCACCGTACTAGCCCCAATCGCTTCGGGTCTACTCACAACGGTGGAACTTGATGATCAGCCAACAAAGGTCATGTGCTTCCTAGGCTTTCTGGGGGTAGCAGTAGGATTTGGGCTGCAATCTCCACTTGTAGCCCTCCAGACTATTATGAAACCAAAAGACCTGCCCCTGGGTATTGCATGCACGGCGTTCGGCTCTACCATGGGCAATGCTATCTGGATGGTTGTGTCAGCAGCCCTGTTCCAAAACCGGCTTATTGCCGAGGTTAGTCAGTATAGCCCGTCAACAAATGCAACTCTGTTGGGAAGCGCTGGGCTTTCGGGGATAAGAGATACTGTAGGGAGCGATCGACTGAGGGATGTGCTTCTTGGATACGACGAAGCTATCACCCAGACCCTCTATCTTCCTGTCGCTCTATGCGTAGCAACAATCCTGGGCTCTGCATTTACGGAATGGCACTCTGTGAAGAAGAAGCAAAGCTAGAATATCCCTAGGACTAGTGAGATGCTTATTCTCAATGCAGTATTGATGTGTTAAAATCAAATAGCCCAATGAGCCACGACATTCGTGGGAATGCAGTCAAGCAACACAGTTCAAAATTACAAGGAAGATGACGAATGGGAGTACTTATTTACATAAGACTGGTGATATTCGAAGACTTGACTGCACGGCGTTCTTATATCAGCATGGCTATAGAGTCGACAGCTTTAATGGTGATCAATCCATAATGCTCCCAGGACCCCACCGACGGTCGAGGTTGTGGTAGCCAGACTTGGTTGACGTCTTATCTAATTCGTGCACTGGGAGTAGTAGTCGTTCAGTTTGGAGCACTTTCCCGACTAGAAAAAAGGTCAGTGTGTTGTCCCTTTGTCACAGAAGAGAAGAAACATACGGCGCATGTCGTGCATCCGGTATAGTCCTGTCCACCACACTGCGCGTACGGAGCAACAGAACACCCGCCAGATCCCCCTCCAGTAGCCGAGGGAAGAGCGACAGACGTGGCAGTACCTGTTGCTCCTTTACCGGCTGTGCAGGTCGACTCGCACCCGACGCACGCGGCACCGGCGCTCTTGGTAGAACCACCTGAGTACACGGTCGGTCCGGGAGCAATATAAGTTGACATCTTGGCGTGAATGTCGACCAAGATACCAGGGTCGCTGGCCTGATATGCACCTGGAAACTTGACGGTGGCGGGGTTGGCGGTGCCAGAACCGCTGATTGTGAGCTGGTAGCAAGTCATGTAGAACTGCGCTTGGCCACTGCTGCTCGCAGTATGCAGGGCGAGGGCCTCTGCACGGAGAAGATAGTCGCCAGGAGCGACATCGGTGGGGATCTTGACGTTCAGTCGTCCGCAGCAGGTATTGATATCCTTTGTTCCCCAGTAATCGTCATCTCCGGATGAGCCACTTGGATTCTTCGCCCACGTGTCTGCATAAATCTTGAAGAACCCGTCTGATCCATCCGCTGTGGCAGAGTTGGACACCTTACTCAGGTATGCCTGAACTGGTCCGTAGTGGGCTCCGCCGATAGCTTCCGTGTTGCATGAACGGTCACCCGGTTGCTTCAACCAGTCAGCATTTCCAGTGGCTGTAACTGTACAGTTCACGGGCTCACCTGATGAATCTCAATAGTTACAGTGTCACCGGCCTTGACATTGCACTTGGATGCAACGGGTGAAGTTCCCGCATTGCAACGAATGGCAGTAGATGATACGTCTGTGACGGGACTGTTAGATAGGGGAAGCCTTGCACACTGGCCACCGTAGTCTACGCCATTGATCCACAGATCCTGGAAAGTGGCATGGCTAGCGACCTCTTGTACAGAAACAGCAGCGAGGATCGCGAAGAATGTCGACTTCATCTTGATCGATTTCTGCCACAATAATTACAAAAGCCTGTTGAACGTGAAGCGACTCGGAGATCATGCAGGCTGAGAATAACAAAGCACCACAAAAGACCTCTCCTATATGATTTTGCACTGAGAGACCTGTTGCTCCTTCGCCCTGCCAATGTCTTCTTTTCTTGGCAACACGGTTCTCGTTCGTCCGTGGGACCGGTGACGCGGGCTATGACTCTGATAAATGTGACCGACAACCGACAAGCCAACCTGGTTCAGCATGCCTTTCGTACCACCATGGAGCATGATACTGTACCCACGAGACTGGTTTATTGGGTAGCTAGAATCCGTCATTGGTGGAACGCCTGCAAGCATTATGCGGGGATAATATATCGCGGCGCAGCTTAATTTGGAACCGCCTGGGCGATTACTGGTTTGGGCACGGTATCCACTTTTCGTCAAGTCACGGATGTCAGTCCAGCTGCAATGAGACATTGAAGACTGTGATTTATAGTCGGTGAAAAAGGTAAAAATGAAAGAAAAATATTAAGAGATCCCCAGCTTAGATTCCCGCCATTTGCAACCCGGTTCCCAAACAGTCGCTATGCTATTAAACCTGGAAACAAAGGGCCATTCCCGATGCGCCAAACCAGAGTCCCACTAGTTGATTACCCTCTCTTCCTGTGCCGTGTCAACCAACCCCCGCGGAGGGAAAACCTGGAAACCCCTATTCATGTTCTTAGCTCAGCCTCTCACGCGACGGCAACGACGGCTCCCGCAAGCCCCGCTGCAACTCCAGCTAAGGCCATCCCCGTACATCTCGGTGGCGCCGCGCCGGCGCTTCCTCCTTGGGCGGCCTTAGCTTGAGCCTGTACGCTGGATGCCGCGCTGTGCCAAGCACTGTTGTATTCAAGTACCTCTGTCTGCAGTGGAGGAGCAACACCACTCTCGTACCATGGTTGTACTGTGACGACGCCCCAACCCCAAGCACTAGCTTCGACCGACGCGGATATTTTGCTGCCGGCATGATCCGCCGCACTGTTGATGGCCTGCACGATCGTTTGGTAGTTAGGCCGCTGCATAAATGACCTGTCTACACGGTACAGAGCACTCGCAAGTCTCGTGTAGAACTCCCCGGTAGCCCAAGTCGGTTGCGGGGCGCCGGGTGGAAATGCGTACGATAGATAACTGGAGGCATCTATGGATGCAGGCAGGGTGGTCGACCCAGGCATATGGGATACCGTGTTGGTCGACGTTATGGCTGTGGTCTGTGGTATCGAACTGCTACTTAGGCTGGCGATGATGCTTGCGGTGGTGGTACTGGTCTCTAATGTCGTTGTGATTGATGTTGCATTGGTCGTGCTTGTGATGAGCGCATCGGACAATGTGCTGGTGCTGGTGCTGTCCGATGTTGTTACAAGGACTGTAGAAGAAGTTGTAAGTGATTCTGAGCTCGTTGTGGTGGCGCCGACCGTAGCAGTCTCGAGCGATACGCTGGTCGCTGAACTGGAAGAACTCCCAGTCGACGCCGTCGATGTTGCGATGGTGCTACTGCTACTGCTAGTTGTGAGATCGACTGATGCTGTCTGGCTGCTATCTGTTGACGTCTGAGCCACGGTGAACTCAAGTCCCGCCAAGAGCGCCAGGAAATGGAGCGCCTTCATCTTGTCGCATTTACCAGTGAAGACATTTGAATCTGAAAAGCGAAGGATTACTCAAGTACGAACTTACAGAATTGGGCCAGTCAAAGAAAGGACGGCTTTCCGCAATTATATCATATTAACAGTATTGTCGGTAGTTACTTGGGGGTCCGGAGAGCAGAAACCTTCAGTGCTGACCCGCCGCGTATTCCGTTGCGCAGTCTAGGCCAGGAACGTGGGCCAAGGTCAACTTGAGCCAATAGGAAACAGGCTGTGAACCAAATAAAGGAACCAGCACCTGTGTACCCACCGACTTGGCTCTTGTTAAGGTTATGAACCCAGGTCAAATGGGGCTTAGGTAAGATGACTGCACAGATATCAGGTTTTGACAAGAACCGGCCGTGCCCCCCATGGCTGTTACAGGAGAGATAGCGAACTTCACATAAAGCGTTTACATTGGATCTAGCTTGTACCTGTTCAAAACAGATACTACAGGTTTCTACGTAAATAAATGGTTTCCTGCGCTTCGAAACGATCAGTTCTGTAGCATTCGGACTGACTACTTCGACGCCCCTGTGCGGAGACAAGTCGTGCGGCAACGTCATTTTGAGGCTGGTAGAGCAACCGAAGGAACAGCAAAGTTTGTTCTTGGCTCGAGTCGTAAGGGTCTGATGCTAAATGTAGGATGAACCTAATCATCGGGCGATGAGCGTAATTGAATCCAAAGGAAGCTATCAAATACCCAAAATCTTGGCATGGACGACTTGGAGCCTGGACGAGTCCTGCTGGCCGACGATACGTAGCCATAGTCAAAATGTCTCAACACAAATAGTACTCATCGCGATGTAAGCATCTAGATCTGTACGGGCATACCTGCAACCATATGTGATTGCTATTGGCTAATTGTGGTGAGATGGTGTTAACCATCGTATCAGTTCGTACGTTTCCAGCGCCATACCCCGGCCCTTACCGTAAACATTCTAGGACGACATCGTGACAATTATCTGCTTCACACAATCTTGATTCTCGATAGAGCATGTCCTTGGATGATGCTTACCAGTGGGCGTTTCATTGTAAGCCAGAGCCTGTGCAGGGCCAGACTATGCCTCCTGTCGCGTATCGTTGAAGTCGAGGCTTTGGCTCCGTCGGTAGCCCTTCAGGTCGGAACTTCATATTGTTTCGACGACGACCAGTTTGTTGTTTTCGCTGTTTCTTGCAGACAAAACGCGGAGTGTTCGTGAAGGCTACTATGTCTCGCCTGTCATTCTGCTAGACGATGCGTCGCCAATGTTTCGACCCAGCGGCATGCACTCTGTACGAGAGCAAACCGTGCAAACAGGACAGATAGTGCGGGAAATGAAAGCCCTTGTTAGCATCTATGAAGTTGGCTGCTTGGTAAATCAAGACTGCGCCGCCTTCTGGTTACCGAAAACGATGTCGGATGGTTTCTTGCAGGCAACTGCGCCTTCTCGAAGGAGCATACGAGTTTCTCATCCGTCATAATACAATAGATATGTAGGTTGAGGCTGCGAGAGCTTGAAGCAGCAGTTTCATCCTTGAACATACACAAGATTTTCAAGGGGAACAGCGATCAAGCACCGACATGTTCCATCGCGGGATATTCTGTCGCTGCAGTGCCTTGTTGGCAAAAGCTTCCGGATGTCGGTTCCGGTACACAGCTGACAGCAGGGCTTGCAAGTGCTTTGCTGCTGACCAGTTCCAGCTGAAGGCGAGGCTAGCTTCGTGATGGGTTCGGCAATGTTTCGAAAGCTAGAGTTGGATCTAAATGGTCATGCCTCACCCTTGCCTCGGAGGCAACGTTACCAAGAAAATGAAGACAGCAGCCTCGCGCCAAGCTGGAGTGTCGTTGCGGCGGAGTGCATGGCAAGACACAGAGCAAGCCAGGTGTATGGCCGTTACCAGTGACAACGCGGTGGTGATCTCGTCGCAGTCTTTCTTTGCCATCTTGCACCGCAGAAGAAGACGTCAGATTGGGTTTTCCCCTTCCAATTGTTTTTTTTTTCTTTTTGGCTGCAGGTACAGACTCACCGTGGTGAACCCTGGACGGGCTGTCAGCAGTTGGCGGCGGTGGGCATCAATGGGCGCCGGAGTGCCGGGTGGCTTATGCGCCGCCGTCTGCAGGAGTCGGGCACAGTTTCAGATCCATCCAAGAAGCTGACCACATGCGACAGATTTCCGACGACGAGAGTTTCCATTCCGTCCACGCTCTCCGCGCTTACTGTAGAGGCCACGTCCGTGCCATTTCTTGCTCCTTCCAAGTCCCAATAACCCGATCATCTTATTGTGCCGTTTCCTGAAGCGCCCTTGAAACTTTGCTCGCAAGTCCCACGAGGACTCGGCTCAGCACAGTGTTGCCAGGGTCCCTGGCCGTCCCATGTTGTTGCCTCTGTCTGAACATCCGATGCGGCCTGCTAACTCTGGACGATTATTTGACCCTGGGGGCGGCAGGCCTAACCGGAGAAGGGTCAACCGGATCCTCGAGGAACACCTGAGGTGATGGATTTCGTCGTTTTGCTCGGCGAGCGTGGCAAGGTCATGTCTCGTGGTGAGGTGTCGAGCTGTCAGGCTCACTGTACAGAATATTTTCTACACCATTCATATTTCCGCTTTCGTATATCTGAATTGCCGCCCAAATTACACCCAAAATGCTTCTCTGCACCGCGCTGGTGCCGAGTTCTTAAGGAAACATAAGCAGCCCCCAAAGCTGGGTGGGCGATGCGTTCTGGGTCCAAGTGACCTTGTGTTTCGTTGAACAAGACTGCGGTAGATCACCAGATCGGCGTGAGTTGCTTGTCTATTCCATGTCAATATGCCGCCAAGACTAGGATTTGTCCCGTTTTATCCCTGCTGCATGATGGCCCCCTTTGGGAATCCGGGGGGACTGAAGATCTCCATGGCAAGTACCACCTCAAACGTTGGCGTAACGGACTCAGCAACTCAGCCTCACGGCCCTTTTAACAGGACGAAACAAGGGATCGAAAACTGGGAGAACATGTCGTTTACTTAGATCTGTTTGTATATAAGATCAGGGCATCGTGCAGTGCATTCGACACCATCAACATCGACCAAGCAGTCCATCATACAGCATCACCTTCCTTTCAACGACCAGAGCGGCAGTGCCACTTCTCTAAACACGAATTTTGGACAGTAATATTTCACTTAATATCGAAATGGTCAGAATCGCCTACGCAACAATCTTGGCTCGTAAGTACACCGTACCCATCGGGCCGTATTGATGGTTAACCCCTCGCAGTTGCCTCCGCCGTTATGGCCATTCCAAGCCCTCTGACGCCAGACCCTGCCGGCGAGAAGAACGTTGGCAACGGTGCCGGGGGACAGTTTATTGGCGGTGCCTGTTTGAGTTCGGCTGACTGTGCTTCGACGTGCTGTGCAACCCTGAACGGCGCCGGTATCTGCTCGGGTGTAGGAGCCCAGTTCCAAGCTGGCAAGCAAGGCTGTGGATTTGGCGACGGCGGCTCTGCCCCTGCTGCCTCCGCCCCTGCCGCCGCGCCGGCAGCATCTGGCACGGCGGGCACTGGAAACGGATCTGGCTCGGGGTCTGGTGGTAACATCAACACCTCGGCGCCGGGCTCTCAGAACGTGGGGACTGGGAATGGCCAACAGTTCATCACCGGCCAATGCTTGAGCGACGCTGATTGCAAGTCTGGGTGCTGTGCCCTGGCCACCGGTCTTTGCGCAGCCGAGGCGGTCGCCAATGAGGGCCAGGGTTGTGGCTTCGTGGCTTAATACGGCAAAAAGAGGCATCAGGCATTTCTAGTCACTAGTTCACACAAGTAAGTGGCGACATGGCGCAATTTGGGAGGACACATTGGGTATGATCACGAACATTGTGGGACGGGTCTCCTGCTGGAATATTTTAATGGACGCATCACTGGTCTGAGCGGCGAATACAATCATAGACATGAGACCTCAATGGTTCTGCACAAATAACTTAGTATTTAAGAATACCAAGTGATCTCACTACCCCTTACATTGTAGAGATTTCCGTCACGGTCTGACGTAACCGTCCTAACAAGCGGCTTGTGGAGCGACCGTTGAACCCATGGAGATGTTGAATTCATGCAGAAACATCCAAACGCCAGAGCACGGTGAGATTCTAGATTTTGCGGCATTCCTACCGATCGTTGAACACCAATGCGTGGTGCTCCGTTAGCCGTTCGCAGAGCCGGTCCCGCGTTTTCCATTCGCGGATGGTGCTAGCAAGTTCGCATCCGGTCTGAACAAGAAGGTCCCAGAGTGTGTCCTCGGCATCGAATCCAAAGAGCTTCTCCAAGTCTGCCTTGGGCCCAAGCAATCGCAGTCTGGACTGGCCATCAGTTGCGATTAGGTCCCCTTCATCTACGAGATGCCCCGCGTTCATCTTTGGCGTGTTAGAATGAAGAAAAGCGGGACGGACAAGGTCTGATCCCCCGGTGCTCTTTCTCAAGTCGTCCACAGGGAGATGCTGTATGATCGCTGTCCCCTTGTGCTGCGATCCATCGTGCCTACCTAAGCTCGACGCGCCAGTCTTGACTGTGTAGTAGGGGGAACCCAACGCCACAGCAGCTGCCAAGAAAGTCTCCTTGTCGCCCTGGCCCAGAGCGCCCTGGCTGAGCAGGGGATAATAGTGGTGGTCACCGTAGATGTTGTAATACGTGGCGAGGAGGAGGGGTGCAAGGTGTGTTTTTTTGTTCACAACGAGTTGGCCAGACTCGCTTGAATGAGATGGCAGGTCGGTTGGATATTCCGGGAGCCCTGCGATCTCCCAAAAGCGAGGGGACTCTGTCGCGGACCAAAAGTCTGGCCAAATTACCAGGCCCTTGGACAGGTAAGGTTCTGTGCTGAAGATAGACGTCTCGGGATCCAAGAGAGGAATGCTATCGCTGTCCAGCAGAAGCACTTCCGCGAAGGAGGATAGCAGCAAGGAGGGGGCTTTCAGCTGGTAGTGTTTGATCGACAGCGGCCGCGCGTGCTTGCCGCCCTGACGCTGGAAGGCCGACAGGACCACGCACTTGGCGTTCAACTTGGGCAGGTATTGCTCGCAGATCTCCTCCTCGTATTCGTCGTCGTCTGGCACGAAAAGCTCGACTGGCAGCGAACACCCCGTCCGACGGAGCATGTGGATGCCGATGATTGCAGGCCCAAAGTATTCCCCGCCACCGACCATGACGACCCCTCGGCCCTGGAACGGTCCCTCGTGGTCACCGTTCTTGAGCGTCTCAAGCGCCGCCACGAACTTCTTGTGGGCCAGGCGCAGCTCCTCGACCTGTCCGCTAGGATTCCGGACGTAGTCGGTGTAGGGTCTTCGCGGCGCATCTGGCCTCGGCGGCCGGCCTATCGATGCCGTACCCGTCAAGGCAATCGGATGCGTGTCCGGCCGGGCATCGAGGATTCGCTGGCTCCATGTTTGCCAGAAGGCGCTGATCTGGTCGTGGGACTGGGACCGGGAGTTGGAAGGCGCAGATCCAGCAGGTTTCGTGCCGGTGGGCACAGCGGGAGGTAGGAACGCGGCACCGAGGCCGTGGCCGGCAGTGGCGTCCGGGAGACGCGGCCCGCCGGAGCGTAAGAGATACAGGCACAGCACTACAACGGGGACAAGAAACCCCAGCCATCGTAGAGCCAGCCGCATTTTGCGATGAGAGTTCACGACATTGCCTCCACAGCGTAGCTTTGCTCGCGAAAGGCTATCAAGGGACGCATCAGTCACGTACAGGATTAAGTTGGTCTCCCCGTGTGCCTGTGCCGCAGAACCTCGCCCTCGCTTTGCCCTGCCGTTGGCTTTGCAGTTGCTTCCGCGCGTTCAATCCACAACAAGGCTAGCGTGGGGGTTAACCTCAGGAACCGGGACCATGGCACGTCGTCAGCTATCAATCAACCTCGTATTGAGGGGCTACCATTCTAAAACTCTTGGTGAACAGACATGTGGGCAGGAAGGCAAATAATAAATAAAGGTACACGTCTTTTGAGACTCGCTTTCGACATCGCACTGCTATTCATGCCACATGCTTTCCGGGGCATGGTATGCAGTATGCTTACCCTGTCCGCGAACTGCCAAGGTCGGATTTCGTGGCACACAGCACCAGGTTGCTGTGGCTTGGGGTTGGGGGCTAGCACTGGCGACAAGAAGCACCGAATTGTGTGGGCTCTGGTGCCCCGGCTGATCAATCCGAGGTGTCGAATATTGCATTATTGGCGTGGGTACGGCCGCGTGGATCCATATTCCCAGGTTACCATACGGATATAGACAAGTTTATTCAGATATTCGCGTCAGACGTGTAGCAGCGACCAAGCCTTCTACTGATGTTTTTACTGTTTTGCATTGGTGATGTACGCCCGCTGCTGAAGACATATAGTGCGGATAGCAGCCTCATACTAGCATTACCCGGATAGTTGCAACATGAATGCAATAAAAGCTTGGTGAAACCCCGAGCTGGGCTTGGTCCGAACTCGTCCGAACTCGTCCGAAATGCGCCTGGTGTCGAAACCTCACGACGATTCGATTTTGAACCCCCGTATCGCGGTTGTTTTCCAGTCCCACCGCGAAATGCCCCGTGTTCATGCCCATAATTTCTTCTATGACTTTCTTCTATAATTGTTGCTGGCGCATCCATGGCAATAAAAACTGGCAACTTTATAGCGCCTCGAGTACTTCCCAAAACTGGCCATGCCAGACGAAACCACACGTACGCCGTTGAGCAAGCGATTGCGGCTTGGCACAAAGAGCTGCTCGGAGTGTCGAAGGAGGAAGGTTCGCTGCTTCTTCATTGACGGGGCTGCATCTTGTAGAGAGTGCAGCCTCCACAATGCTATTTGTACGCCCCAGGAGCAACGGATAAATACGGATCCTTCTTCCTCGCTGCAGTCTCGGCTCGAGAGGCTTGAAAGAATCGAGAGGTCATTCCTCCGTGTATGCCATGCAGCTGGTATGAAAGTCGAGTTCAGCACAAGTGCCACATTTGATGATGCAGAACACATGCTTATCGAACGGCTTCGGGCTGATCCGAACTCCTCTCCATCTCAGGTTGGTGGCAACGGATATCCCGTTCTTGACAGTTTTATCTCTTCTCCCCGGAAAGCTGGACACAGTGGAGTTGATGACCTGCAATGGTCTCATAATGCTCCATTGATCGATCTCATCAGGGGTTCTTCGCTACTCGTAGATGAGTATGATATCAGCAAGGGTTTGCTCGGTAGCATACGAGACACCAATCATGACCACCTCGAATTCCACAAGAAGCGTATTGCCGAGATGCTACCAAACTCTGCAGACCTTTTACGAATTCTGCAATGCACTCAGAGATTCTGGGTCCTCTGGCCTCTGCACCCTGCTCAACTTACCTCATCAAAGGAACTTGGAATATCCGTGGTTACCGTGGCGAAATCTTTTGTCGAGGAAGCCATCGCTTCAAATAACCCAGGATTTATTGCCAAGGCTATCATGTGGTTGGCACTATGTATTCAGCAGCTTCCGAAAGACTATAGAGAACAAAACAGGTCCTTTCCCTTTCCGGCCAAGAAACTCGTGTCAGCCTACATGGACGAGTCGGACGCCCTCCTAGATCTAGACATGCGCAGTGGACCATCTTGTGCCGGCGTCGAATGTCTGGTTCTCCAAGCGAAATGCTGCGTCAATATGGGACGCCCTCGCCAGGCTTGGTCCGCCATTCGCCGTGCCCTGCACACAGCAATATTGCTTGGCTTACACCGGGCAGCCGACGTCACTGAAACCAAAGACATAGATATTTGGGAAACAGTATGGCGTTATGATATGCAGCTATCCCTGATTCTCGGATTTCCTCACGCAGCCTCGGGGCAGCGACTTGTTACCACTAAGAGTAGCGGTGGAAGCTCCGTCGAGGCCAAGTTGATGCATAGGATCAGCGTGATCTGTGGTCAGATTAATGCACGAAATCAAGACTACAATGATGCGACATATTCGGTGACTATACGCCTTGATGACGAAGTCGAGGACATTAGATTGGCCTTCCCGCCACAGTGGTGGTTACCCAGCACCTCAGACTCGTTGCCGCTAGGTCTCTTTGTCGTAAGGCAGACGCTAAAGCTATACTTTCATCAACTCAAGCAACTCATTCACTTGCCATGGGTGACAAAGGCTATCACCGACAAAAAGTACAGCTATAGCAGGTCATCTGTCCTTGAGGCTGCAGAGAGCCTGATAAGTTGCTATCGAGACATGAAACGGCACCCAGACGGACTTTCGGTGATGTGTTTCCTGCTCGATTTCCATGCCTTCAGTTCAGGCATGGTTCTAGCGACAGATCTTATATCGCAGCAGGCTACCTGGTCCGTGGCAATGGAGGAGCAAAAGTGGGCAATCGTACTGGGGCTCATCGCCGAGCTAAGGCAGGTGTCGAGAACTGTAGAATGTGTTGTGGCGGATCAAGGAGCACAGGTTTTGCAGTACCTTTACGACGCCCGTCATGGAATTTACAGTGGCCCAGATATATACGAAGCTATAGTTCCCTGCTTCGGCAAGGTCCGCATTCAAGGCCCGAGTCAACAACTTGCGCAAGCCCAGGCACGTACGACGATGGGTCTGAATTACAGTTCCCCGCATAACCAGGGCACTGTTGAGTTAAGTTCGAACATGTTCAATTTGGACCCGTCGTTGAACAATACAAGTGGCGAATTGGATGCAGATTGGACGTCCTTCCTGGATGACAGCATAGTGTACGACTGGAAAACTGTCTTCAGCTTTAATGCGGGAAGTTCAGTGGGAACAACTATCGAATAGATGATCAAGATACTAAACGACACCTATTATACGGAAATCGTAGTCTTTTATCAACGGTCCACCAAACGTCACGGTTTGCAATTATTAGCCTTGCCACCCTCGTTGCCTAAACGACGAGATGAATCAAATCGCATCGAAAATGCCAGTGATTCCAATTTGAAACTCACCACAAGAAAATGTGCTTCTGATGATTCTCGCATTGAACTGTGATTGCTTTGCCGTTGACATCTGGTGCTAAGGAAATATCTTCTTATCACGTTCGCCGATTTTGGCCGCCGCTATCAAATTCAACAACTCTACCACGCAATTACTTCGAGGGTTCACGCATGAAACCTCTTCTCACAGAAAGTAGGAAATCACATAAGTAAGTGGAAAGATACACAAAAAAGGGATCTGACGATCGTCAAAGTAGGTGATTAATTACGTATCCATCGTTGTTGTGGATACTGCACGCATGGATTTCCGCCCGAAAGCGGGCCTCAGATTGGATTTTCCTATGGCACAGCATGCGAGACGGGGCCGGGATTAACACAACAAATTCACTCAAATGGCCCCGAGTCTGGCTCCATACCTGGAGGATCATCCACAGTCAGCAAATGGCGATCCATGTCTAGTCCAGCTCGCGAGCAGACGTGAAACGGGCTCGGACCGACACACAGTAGGTTACTGGTACTTCACCAATAACAAAACTAGAGCTAAGGGGAGGGAGCTTCAGCGCAATAGTAATCTGGGTTTAAGTTGTACCAAGATAGGCATCGTCAGGACCTGGAACAACTGCTCGCTTTTGGCTAATCACGGAGGGCAGGGTTTTTTCATGTAGTACGATCCATCTGTAGAAACGCGAGGGCAATGACAGTATTACAACTCCCCACAAGATTTGTTGCATGCATTATGCATTACTATGCTCGAGACAGCGGGCTCTTTGCGATGAAATCGATTACTATATAACCATAAACCTACATGAAACTCTAGAAATTGGGAATCCAAGTTCACCCTTTTAGATGCTGAGCGTAATTTTCCTGAGGCAAAGTCTTGTTTCTGCCTGTAGAGCATGCACCTTGGCGATTTTCCAGCCTTGTCAGCAGCGCATAACTCTTCGTCCTATCGTGAATTACCAATCTCCGTCTAGGAGTAACGTTGTGTAGTACAAAAGCCACATCATAATGCCTACCACAAATATCCACGATGAGAAGCCGGAGAGAACATGTCTCCACCATGATTTTTCCGCCTCCAGTTTGCTATTGTTATGGGGAAATGGCCGGTCAGGTACGGGCAGGTTAAGTATCCTGCAAAGGGGCTCCCACCCTTCTTTGACATCGTACCAGAACAGCTTTTCTGGAGGCACCATCTTCCGTAGCTGCTCCTCATGAATGCCCTTCGTATGCTCCCTGATGCCGGGCGAGCCATATCTCCATCTGCTGAGGGACTGGAATTTGTTCCCCCATTCACCGTAGCCCTTAGACTTTTGCAGCCACATGAGACAAATGGGCATATACCAGTTTGACATTAGGCCATTCATATGCTGCATGCTCTTCCACCACGACGTCTGATCACGGGTTGTTACGAGTACGATCGCATCCGGAAACGCCTCCATGATTTCGGGGACGAGGCTCGCAGCTGGACAATCCATAGTCGCAACGTATCCAGTAAAAATTGACCGTATTGATTCGGTCAGCCTTTGCTTCTCCTCCGTCGTTCTTGCCTTTGGCGCAAGATCCATGATCTCAAGCCACCCCTTAACCTCCTTGGGGCTTCCACCAAGAGACTGAATGCCAGAATCATGACAGGGTCCATCGAGAAGGATCTTCAGGGCCTCATTCAGTGTCTTTGTGCCGGTCCGGCACCTGCAAGAAGTCAGCAATAGACGGCGGAGAGATGAAGCAGCCACAAACATTCCAGCACCAATAACCCGGAACTGAGCACCTTCTTTAGGTGTGGAGGGTTGCTGGCCCATTTTGATCTCCGTGCAGCTGTCTCCTCTTAGTGGGCGGAAGTATGTCGCATATGCCGCACTTCCTCCAAATAACGTGCGCTCGGTTCCTGGTACCGGCCATGTCGCAAGTTTATAGGAATATTCATATCTTCATAGGATCTCACCAGGAGGAAAACGCCAAGACGCCAAGAGGTTTTCCGATAATAAGTTGCCAGATTGGGTCCCGGTTTCTTGGCAATTTGGGGCCATCAGTCATTTTCATACTGCTCCTAGGGAATCTGCCCCGGTGGGAGCAGTGCTGCAGCCTGCGTTGCCAGCCGTATCTTGCATTGCCGCATGTCTGAGCTGCCATTCTAAGAATGCCCATCATTTATTCAGGGTATAGATACGCTTTATCACATGGAACCAAGCTTGTGTGGGACTGCCACTGTTACCGCATCCAACAGAAATCGGAGATAATGACAAGGGTTTGAACTGCTGTGGTGATTGTGCCCGTCGAGATTAAGTCGTTGCTCTTAAGGATTCGCTTAGAAGTGGTCAAACCTGATGTTGCAATCCATACCTATGTTGCAATCGCGCTCACTGAACTCGCGGCCTTCCCAATTAGTCGTATCGCCGGGGCACGCCAAGCCGCCTAGTCGGCAATGCAACCATGTTCCTCCAGATATTTTGCCAGGTCACTACAAGTATGCATGGAAACAAGCGTCATATTAGTACACCAACATTAGAAGCTATTTCACGTGTCTCTCCCTTTGGCCATTCTCAGAGCCTCTTGGCCCGTCTTTTGGTCCGTAACAAACCTGAGCATGGAACATCCAAATCACTTGCACCGCCAGTCTCCACGTTTTGGCACATATACTTCACTGCACCGCAATGCTGATCACGGGCGACAAGTCGACGGTATAACTTATGCTTTATACTGCAATGTTGCGGCACAGCAAACATCATAAACACTTTGGAAAGGAGGAAAAAATAGATTCTTTTCTAAGCCGACACCGATGCGATGGTGACAGTTAAGCCAAATATTAAAGTAGAAACCTGTAGCTTATAGTAAATAAGCCAATTGATGGGTTGAGCAGAAAGTAGCTACCTTAATTTGAGTAAACGATATCAGTATCACATGTATATTCGTTACTAGTCCAATCAGAACGATATGAACTTGGACATCACCATAATCAAGCCATCCCGTGCCCACAAGTGCTTTGACCTTGCTGTAATAGCAATAGTTAGACAGTTATCTGGTCGCAGTGATTCACATATGTACGAGATATGTTCGAAAACTAATCTTGTTATTCTTTCTACTGACTCCAGTGCGGCCCCGTCCCATCGAGTTGGAACCTCCCCCACATTGAATTCGCCAGCTCTTCCATTTCAAAAGCCCGGATCTCACGCTCTACATCTATCCATTGGCCATCTTCGATCTGCTTGCGGGCCTCTTCCCAATCTACAGGGCTCTCAGGTATATCTGGCTTCGCTCGCCAGTCGGAGCTGACTTGTGGCATCTTGGGCGCCATGGATGCCGTGTTAGAACTGCTCGACCATTCCACCGAGGTGTTTGGCTGGACATTGCAACACATGTTGAGACCAACTTTGAGGTTGTGAAAATCTTGTAGTGGTTCCAGTTGGCCGCCCTCAGCTATCCGTACCAAGCCGTATCTGTTGAGACCTTCAATAAACTCGTATACAATACCCCCGGAAAATACATTGGTCATTTCTGGGGAGTAGATTGCACTCGTCTCATGAAACAAACGGGGTCTTGTCACGTTCGCTCCGTACTCCGAGAAAAAGACTGGTATATGTGCTTTGGAGAACCGATCGACCTGTAGAGAAACTATAAGCAACTTTCGCTATCATGGTGCCGGGTACATACGAGCCTATCATAACCCGAAATCATCATCGAGGACTCTCCGCACCAAGAATAGTCATTGAACTAATTCACTCAGTTCAATACGATTTCGCTAAGTCAGCAATAGAGTACACTTACGCTAAAGAAGTCCAAGGCTTCTTTTTGGTCACCGCCGGACAAATAGTCGAACTCTGATTGAAACACGGTGAGAATCTTTGACGAGCTGATTCCAACAGGAATAATCCTTTGATTGTAGACCTCGGCTGCTAAGGCCATGTACTTCTTCACGTCACGCGTCACAGCTCTGATGATCGCCGCAGCGTTGGTGTTTCTTACAGAATTTATCACCTCGTTCGCCAAGATGGCTCCTAGCGTATTAGAATAGGCCGAAATGCAGTCAATAGTGGAGAAGTACTCCTGAAGGAGGTCTTGCGTGTACGACTCAAACGGCGCGCTTCTATTGATGCAGCATCGTGGTGTGGACAGGCACTGCATGGTCAGATCATCTTCAGCATCGTCATCCGAAATTAGCAAACCTACAAAGATCACGTAAATCCCAGCATCCGCCAGTAGTTTCATAGTCTTCTCATGACTTTTCGTGTGGTCAATGGAATCTTCCCTTGGAGTGTAAGCGGTACTCCACATGAAAGGAAACAACAACGTACAGACGAACAAGGTATTCAGCCGAAGTTCTTCGAGTAAAGGCAGACTTCGTTTGAGGTCTTCAAGCATATCATCACCGAGAGGATCCTGGGTTGGGCTGTGACCGTTTGGCCTTGCTCCTTTCATCTGGTACACCACTCCACGTAGAAGGAACTGTCGATTCGATGTCAGTGATGCTCGACCACGGCAGGCCTTCAGCGCCAGTCACAGCGATGGTTGCTTACTCGTTCATCGCCTTTCCAGAAGTATCGCCCGCGGACCTGGACTGGTATTGCGGAATCAGACATATTTAGCAAAGTCGTTTGGTAGGATGCACGCAGCAGGGCGCCCAACGTTGAGTGAAAGCCCAGCACTTCAAGGTAAAAATACCGTAGCGCTCAACGTCATGCTGCGGGGATTCTCTCCAGGCATGCATTGCCTGCCTAATGAACAGCATTCTCTATCGCTAAACTCCGACAGCCGACGCACTGTAAGGCTGACAGCACATCCACTAATAAGAGCATGCGACCGTGAACTTCAAACGTTAGTTAACGGGTGTTGTCATAGCCTAGTTCTCCCAGTGTTATACTGCGCTCACAGCATCGCATACATGGAAGAGCTCACAGCTGCTGTGATTTCGACTTTCCTATACTTCAATAACAAGATAAAGAGTAACCGAGATTTCCAATACCTTCGCATCACGATGATTGCAAGGGGGTTTTTACCAATGTATTGACATGCACACTCCACTTTTCTGCGCAACAGGTTACGGATGCCTGCTGGCTGGCTGGTGCCATGAGGCACGGATTGTCATGCATTAAATCCAGGGCAACACCTGCTCAAAGCTCACGAGGTACACCTTGCTGTTTACACTGTCCCAGGGTAGACATTTTCCTCAGATGGACATTGTACTAATATAGCTAGAAAGAGGTGAAAAGGAATAAAGAATAAGAAAGAAACAAAAGGTGAAGAAAACGGCCAGGTACTCGACCCCATGGAATTAGCCATCTAGAGTTCGAAGCATACCCAAAACACATGACAGCCGTTGCCAGACCCACGTGCAGCAGACACAAACCACTCTAGCGTTCTGTGACGGAGGTGTTGAAACAAGGCGGCTTCCTACTGAGTGTCCTTAAGAAAAGATAGGTCGGTAGGGTTTGTATCACGATGCCCCAGACGTGTGTACGCCCCGATTCGGTCGAATGCTATGTACTCCAGGGCTTCATGGGTAGTATTACGCCAATTGGCTGGCTGCAGTTGACGGAGACGATGGCGGGGATGGGGCTACTGCGATGGTGAAGTAATGATTCACAATCAAACACATATGGCTACTTCGAGATGGAGGAGGTAGGGTCCAGCGATTACGATATGCTGACCTGAAGTATAGGACAAGCGAGGCGCCGTCAGAGTCGTAACTTTGCACAACGGGGTGCTATTCGGGTCGCTATATCAGAACTCGTCTGCACCCCAGCCTAGTTGGCGATTGACTTCATTCATGGCACCGATACCCGCACGAAACAGGTTGATCGCACCATCCACGGCGGAATGCCCCGACTCGAAGCTAGGGTCAGGCTCCTGAGCTCTCGCAAGATCCGCTTGATCCAGCACACACTGTCGTTTCTCGAGGACAGCCCGGAGAACGGCCCGACCCCACATGTTGTACAGCTGGTCCTCGCTGATGCTGACATACTCACGCTGCCCATTCGCGGCCATGCGGGAGAACGGCCATTCGGCCACAGCAACCTCCCATCGCTTGGTCCGGAAGAAGAGATAGGGCCACGAAAAGATGAACATGAGGGTCAGGTAGAACAGCCACTGTATCCATGACGTGAACCGCCAGCGGTTGATCCGAGCATCGTTATAGACCTCGACAGTGGCATCGTTGGTAACCATGTGGACGTCCAGCCGGCCTCGATAATTGGTGCTTCGAACCAGAGCATGGAGCTGTTCCTTGACTCTGAGAAAGTCAAAGCCGGTCATCTCACGCTTGAGCGCAAAGCATCGGAGACCGGTGTGGCTGGCGCAGTACCGATGACACCACTCCTCGAGAGAGGGCTTCGGGCCCCCGCCGACCTCTATGTCCTGCTGGGACCCTGGAGCCCGCTTCTTCAGGCTGGTGCCGCGGCGCACCTTCTCTGCGTTGTCGACGGTGCGCAGTTGCGTCCACGAGCGGCCGTACTGGGCGGCCGAGTATAGGTATGGCGTCATCTCGACTGACACGGCGAAATCGGTCACGGTCTTCTTCTCGGTCTTGCCATCGCTCTTCTTCCTGCTCGCTGTGTGTGTTCCCACGACCCTCAGGTACGGCCGGGGAGGGATCGTGGCTACGGAGCGAATGAAGCTCTCCAGTGCAGCGGGCTGCTGGAGCTCGTCGCGGAGGTAGACCTCGGCGCCGGTGTTGGCATCCTTGCGAAAGGCTGGGTACGGGGCGGAGCGAGCGGCGCTGGGAGGAGAGTCGACGGCATCACTGTAGACAGGCGGCAAGTCGTCAAGCGAATCCAGGTTGAGCTCAGGGGCATCGTCGTCATGGAGAAGGGGAAAGGCTTCGGTCTCGCCGGGATTCGTGTGCAGCGACACGGCGTCATCCGCGGCGCTGCTCGAGGTCGAATTCGAAGCTTTCGTCGGCTTGCGCATGGTAGCGAAGGGGGCTCGTCGGCAGCCGTCTGAAAGGGGATCGCGATTGGCACACGGCACGACTGCAGACTTGTGGTTGCTACAGGATCCAGCAACCAGCAACAAGAACGATGGCAGCGGGACGATTGGGAATGCCTGACTTGGGTACTGTAGGGCGTTGTGATGGGGGATTGTGCTGGGGCCGTAGACGTCAAACACCGAAGTTAGCCCCCCGAAGTTAGTCAGACCTTAGGCAGCAGCTGAGCATCTCCAGCTTTTAGCCAAGCCCCCAAGCCGACCTCACCTTTGAACGTTGTTTACATACTCCGTAAGTTAGATACCAAGTGTAGGGAGGGGTGTGGCGCAGCGCCGGTTCACTGCCATCCGACAGGTAGGCCGAAGACGTGAATGGCGCATGTTGAATTCAATGGATGACGGGCTGCACAATGGGGAATTGACTGCCAATTCCGAGGTCACCGCCAGAGGCCGCCACGTTCCGGGTCCCTGATAGGCCCCTGGACTGGACCAATGGACCCCAGGAACCCCTCCTATTATCCAGATTTCTCGCTGACCCAATGACGGGCAACAGGACCCTAACCTGGTGGTATTAGCCAGATCACCACCGGCATGGCATCCATCCACGGGCTATAATGAACGCACTGCATTTCCATTGAGAACGGGCCGTTCCGTGGGCATGCCAGGGCAACAGTAAAGCAGCATGACGGTGAGACCAGGCTGCCGAATGCTCCCGTTGCGACAGTACGACTAGGGGGTTGGTTTGGTTCGTTGGTCCACTACACAGGCTGCTGAAGCACCCAATTAGCGCGCCAAAGTTACCGCTACGTATCCAAATTCTACGAGGCGATGAAGCAACACCAGGCCAGCTCTTGGGTCATGAGGGGCTCGGACTTGGCTTCAGAAATTCCGAAGGACCTTACCGCGCATTTAGTTCGTCAACCAACTCGCAGTCCAAAATTGCCACCGCATTGCTGGGACAGGCCATAAACAGATGGCATTAGCGCTGCTCATCGTTTACATATCCTTCTCGAAGACACACCTGATAAGTTTGTACAACGTACAGCGACTTCGCGAGACCGCATCAAATGACTTTGAAGATTGACGAAAAGCCCCTTGATGTGGATAATGGACACGCCACGGAGTGGCTGGTGGGCCACGCAACAGTGCTCTGTACAGAGGGCGAGCCTACACACCCTTATAACCTCGGCCTTACAGACAGACAGGAGGATTCTGTGTCTGATTTTTGCACACCATTACGCTTTGAATTAGCTCGTATGTCCATTGTGATCGGCATGAACAGCTCCTGGCGGTAGTGAATCACGAGCAGGTAGTGGAACCAATATCATTGTCATTCCCCTTTCGTTAGGGCACGGCCGTGACTACAGATGATCATACTCAAGTAACTAAGTCAGCCAGTCACTATAATCTTTCCGGGCCGGTGGGGGTGGGGCTGATGAAATAAGGCTGAATGGCTAAGCGGCCTGGAGCGTGAAGAAAGGAGCTAATTAGCTAAACACCTAGTGAGGGCGAGTTTCATAGGTAGGTATTAGTCGGCCCGGAGGATGTCGTCCGTATTTGCCTCCATACCGGCTCCCCACTCGATGAAACCTCCCGCAAGTGCAGCAATTAGTGGAAGGCTCTTGATTAAAATCCAGGTAACTTCAAGTGCTCGACAGACTGTAGCCTTTTCCCATTCCTGGTGTGGCCTAATTTTGTTGATTGCAGGGATGGACCGCTCACCCGACGGGCGCCGAAGAATGAACTGAAGAGTTTGTAGGACAGAGACACTGCAGAGCATCACTTCATCACTACTCATTCAAGTGCGCACTTGCTAGAGTGACTTCAGCCCCGAGGTGTCCGAAGAATATCCTGCTTAAACGCGCGTTAAAAACCAACCACTCCGTCGGGCTGATGGAGATGAAGTAGTTTACCAACGGCTTGTCGAAGCCTGGGCTTGCATAGGGGCACCATAGCGTGCTAAGCTACTTGAGTCAGGGGATTTTGGGAACGGGTGAATTGTGGGTATATTGCGGCCCAGGCAGTTTCCTAACGTGGTCCCCAACTTATGGGTTGTGGCAGTCTCTCCTTGTTGTAACGATTGGACAGTGTGCTATTAGAACTTGATTCATGTGGGAAGAGGAGGCAGTTCCCATGGCCCGAACACCAAGGAATCTGTTCAATCACCAGCAAGAGGCTTTGATCCTTGACATCCCCTTGAGATCGACGGACCCTTAGGGTTTGAACGATGCCAGTCTAGGTCGCGGGAGATCTACCCGAATCATAGGCAATTGCTTCCAATGGGTGCGTCTGTCCGACATGGCGTTTTTGGACAGTTTAGAGGTAGTTCACGCTAAGCCTAGGATTATCTGGAAGTGGCTTTGAGTCCAACTCCCTAACTACTATGGCAGGATGCAGGGTCTCGCCCCTAACGATGTTAGCAGTCCCGCTGTATGAAACTCAACTTGGCGGACTACTTGCAAGTAGGAATTTTCTAGATACTTCCAGACTTTTGGGTAGAAGGGTCATGCGCGGAACGTTCTGTGCCTACGACTTTGCTTATGGGCTTTCCTGACGCGAGAAACAGCGTTTTTGGCTTATAAATGCATAGAAACGTTACAGGAGAAGGGGTGAATTGACTATGAGCGTGATGGTATTACACCTTTTCTTAGAGAAGAAAAAGCCCCCCGCTAATTCTATGGACGTACTTCCGGTTTTTCACCGGCGTACGCCACGTTGGTTATTTATACGATATTGGACACCGGCAGCACTTCTGAATCGCCATGACTTCCGAGCGGGTTTGATGATCTCAATGGGCCCTATGGAAAGAACTAGCCCAGGCCATCGCAATCTGCTTCACTAGTCCCGTTAATTCGGAATCTAGGGCCCGCCCCGATTGGAGGAGCATAGTTCCAAGATGTTAAAGTTTCGTCCGTCAGCAATCGTCCTCTTCCAAGTAAAATCGCGCCCAGCCACATCAACGCAGCGTCCACATCGGGCATTTTTCTTAACAGGCGAGACTACTCTGGTCTACAGGACCCAAGGTTGAGTACTTGCCACGTCTGAAAGGCCAGCAAGGGGAATACTAGTACACTGGCTGCCTACCAAACCATAACAGCTCAAAGGGGAACATTACCCTCGACCATGACTCGGTCTACAAGTATGGGTATCGAGACCGTGTCTTAATTCGGTTGAGCGTTCCTCAGTAGCTGAATCTTCTCGCCGGTATAACACCACCCAACTTACCCCTTCAAATGAAGAATGGCTCTGTTTCTGATATAATTCCCGCAACTCGAAAATATTCTTTTCAAAAGTGATTCCCGGCTTGCATTCTTGAAACTGCTGTTATTTTTCCTTTACTGTTCTTATCTCTTTCGAAATATTTGGTACCGCAATTATCCCAAACAAGATCAGCAACAATATGGCAGAACGTGGACTCTTAATACCCGAGTGGTATGTAAAGGAGGAGCCAACCATGGCGGACTTGAATACCGGAAGTATTTTCTTCGGCTTCAGTCTTGGCACGGCTTTGTTCTGCGCTGCGAAGGCTGCGTCGCAGACTTTAAAATCATACAAACGATCGGGCAAGGTGTCGAAATATGTAATTATGATATGGGTCGAGCTAATTGCTAGTCTTGTTATTGCCAGTATTACCTGGTGTTTTCAAGATGGCTATATTCAACCAGGGTAAGCTTGAATCAGTTTGTTTCTATTGCCCACCATATCGGAAGTGTATCACTAACGAGAAATTGAAGATTCTTCTTCTTCTTCTTTATCGGTAGGTAAATTCTTCATAATCAGATGTGGTCTTGCCCTTGTACACAATTTAACTCAATGGTTTCAGTATTCTTCTGGAGCCTCCAAATCCAACTACTGCTTCAAATCATCATCAACAGAGTTTCCCTACTCATGGTGTCCAAACGACAAGCATCTCGCCTGAAGTGGAGCGTGTTCGCCATTATCCTCGCCATCAACATCAGTGTCTTCTGCATCTGGGTCCCTGCGCGTTTACAGATCAACGAAACATATATTCACGTCAATGAAGTTTGGGATCGGCTCGAGAAAGGCATATTTTGCGTAATCGACGCTGGACTCAACTTGCATTTCGTACACCTGGTCCGGTCACGGCTGGTCGCTTATGGCTTGACCAAATACACGAGGCTATATAAGACTAACCTCGTGATGATTGCCATCTCCGTATCGCTAGATGTAAGAATTGCTGGATTCGGCAGGGCTCAAGAGATCACGAGAGGCTAACGTCTCCACCGATGCAGATTGCCCTCATTGGAACAATGTCGCTTCACAATTCTTTCGTGTAAGTGGAGACGTTTTTCACCAGCTACTCACTAGCAATCATAGTGACCGTCATATCGCCGCCACAAATCGATAACTGTTAGACTAACAATTTGTACTTCAGGTATCTCCTCTTCCACCCCGTGGCCTACCTCCTCAAGCTACACATCGAAATGAACATGGCGGACCTCATCGCCAAGGTTGTCAAGGCCACGAATCCTGGGCAGGACCCGTACAAGTCCAAATCAAAGTCGGACAATCACACCAGCACAGTACATAAATCGCATAAGATGTCGCGAATCCTGAACACTGGTCGCGATCATCACAGCACTAGGGTCGAAGCTGGTGGCGATGCTGGTAATGATATCATAGAGCTGCAGGAACAGGGCATTCGGAGGGTCATCAAGACGGAGGTAATCCGCGAGGACTTCAAGATGCCCATAGAAACCGTGAGTGCGAGGGATGATGACATCGAGAGCCGATCAAGCTCTACACGGAAGCTGCGTGACTACGACGAGTTTTAGAAACAAGGAGCTGTAGGGTAGGAAGTGGGATAATTACGAAACCATCATAAGTCCGAAAACGCTGGACATCGGTATAACTTTATTATCACTAATATGATTAATATCAGGTATATAGTTAGAGCAAATTGTATGATAGGTGACAATAACGCTAAACACTTATCACGGGAGACAAGACATCTAGTTCCATTTCGGAGAGCTCAACTGTTCTAATTCGCATGTTCTCGCCATCGCCGGTCAATGACGAGGGAACAGTCACCTGCAGCTCGTGTCCTGGGTTCAATGCTGACCTTGAAACTCGACGAGGAGAGTTTTCTTCTCAAGGGGACATACGCCTGAACCCTAGAAGTTGGAGACGAAGTGCCGTGCTTGTTTTGTTTCTCGGCTTATATTATCAGCTAGTCCACCGCGCTTGGTCAACCCCCAGCGCTTTGCCGTTGCCATACTTCTAAGGAAGTTTCAAGGGGTCCGACATCCGATTTATAGTACGAAGATCCAACTACAGGGACGACATAGTAGGTGGCGGCATCATTGCGCCAACATTCAATGGATTATCGCCCATCCGTAAATGGTCAAAGTTGCAGATATATCGATCGTGCGACGACTATACACATAGCCTGCTCCCATCCACAAGCTCATCTGAGCACAGGAGGAAACGTCACAACACGTAGGCAAGGGTACCGGGAAAGGCTGGTGATACTGCATGACACATTAACAGAGCCTGGTGTTATATTAAGAAAATGGGCATTTGAACCATGCTCTAACATTCATCAATCCACAGGTCGGCAGCGCACAGTGCGATGTTGCCGCGGGCAATCATCTACCGCAACAAAGCGCCGGTGCGTATCGGATCAGCGACTCCGGGGCGGAGATTCCACTAGCAATCACGCAATTCCGGCCTCCGGTGACATCAGATATAGCTGACCCCATATTATCACCAGAACGCACTTGCTATTATATTGAGCCAATCACATTCACTCTGAATGCAGGCATGTCATTGACGACCAGCACGTACATATTTTGACCGATTGCCCGAAGCCGAGGCCATTAGAGTTTGGCGGGCATTGATGCTTGATCACCTTTTTCTCCATTGGCGAGTATTGCATAGTGTTACATGAATATGAAGGCGTCTTTTTCGGCGCTCTTTGCAGGGCTTGCAGCCCATTTGTTTACTTTAGCCATAGGAGCTGCATGTGGCAGCAACTCGACAGCGGGGAAACCCAATTTCATCTTCATAATCACAGACGACCAAGACCTCCACCTGCAATCTCTCGATTACCAACCAGCCGTCCAAAAGCACTTCATTCAACAGGGCACGACCTTTAGCAATCACTTTTGCACCATCTCGATATGTTGTCCTTCACGCGTTTCGCTACTTACCGGGCGGGCGGCCCATAACACAAATGTTACGGACGTTGCTGCTCCATACGGTAAGGATTATGCGTGTCTACCCCTTCTACACTTTGTTCCCTTTTTCTTTCTTGAGAAGAAAAGTATACATAAATAGTTGAAGTTTCTCTAACAAAAGTCATAGGCGGCTATACCAAATTCATCTCAGAAGGATGGAATGACAGATATTTACCAGTGTGGCTACAAGAGGCGGGTTACAACACCTATTATACTGGGAAGCTCATGAATGGACATTCAACTTCAACCTATAACAGCCCCTTTCCGAAAGGATGGACAAGTCACGATTGTGAAACACCCCTGTATCCTTGGTTTTAAATCCTCTCTAACATAAGTACTCTAGTTTTCCTCGACCCGAACACGTATATCTACTACAATGCAACAATGCAACATGACCAAGATATGCCTCGAAACCTCCCAGGACAATACTCCACAGACCTTGTAGCTGAGAGGTCCGTGGAGTTCCTAGACAGTGCTATCGCTAATGGGAAACCGTTTTTCATTGGTGTTGCTCCAATAGGCCCCCACTCAGAGACTATCCAGGGCAAATTCAATCCTGCTGTTCCAGCAGACCGACATAAGGATTTGTTCCCAGGTTTGAAGGTACCGCGGGCTGCAAATTTCAATCCTGATAAAGTGAGTGATGGGTAGTAGACATGAAACAGGGCGCACAACTAAAGCAAACTAGGCAAGCGGCGGTGGCTGGATTAAGACGTTGGCAAAGTTGAACCAGACTGTTGTTGACTATCTGGACAACTTTTACCGTAAGCGTATTCAATCGTTACAAGCTGTTGATGATTTGATCAATTCAATTGTCGATCGTCTGGAACAGAGCCCTGAGGTTCTGGAGAATACGTACCTCATTTACACTACGGACAATGGTTTCCATATCGGACAACATCGGTTGGCGCCGGGCAAAACTTGTGCAATCGAAGAAGACATCAATATCCCGTTTGTGATCAGGGGGCCTGGCGTTGATAAAGGAAGAACAGTATCGATTCCCACCTCGCATACGGATATCGTACCTACCCTGTTTCGCCTGGCAAACATTCCGCTGCAAGCCGAATTTGATGGAGAACCCATGCCGGTGACACGGGAACAATTGCGGTCTACTTCAAGGAGGAGTGAGCATGTCAATTTGGAGTTCTGGGGCGACGGCATTCTTGAAGGGGCGTATCCTGGAGTTGGTAGTGGCTTAGCTGGATGTGAGTACCAAAGCTTTTGGTATCCAGGCGGCTACTAACTCATTCTTAGCTCGTGGCTTGAACAACACGTGGAAATCAGTACGAATAATCGGTGAGGGATATGACCTTGCCTATGTGGTGTGGTGTACCAATGAGCACGAATTATATGACATGCTGGTATGTTCTTGCAGTTGACTCACCCATAGCAGCCAAAGTTAACAAGGTTCAGAGCGATCCTGTGCAAATGAACAACTTATATGGAGCCAGCGGCATCATCAACGGCTGGGATTTGTCAAAGCTCACACCTCGTATTGATGGCCTATTACTCACGCTCAAGGCTTGCAAGGGCCAAGTATGCACTCGGCCATGGGAGACTCTCCATCCACGAGGCGACGTGAATAGTCTCAGAGATGCCATGCGCCACGAATTTGACCGATTCTACCTGGAACAACAAGAAAAGGTTACATTTACGGCATGTAAAAACGGGTACCTCGCTGAGTTCGAGGGCGCTTTGCAGCCAGTGGTGTACCCAGGCAACCTGGAATTAAGAGAAGCACGATGGGAAGATTGGACCTGAGCAGCACATCCTCCAGAGTCATTATTATAAAGGCCGTTGGAGAGCCACCCAACCTTTACAAATTCGTATTATCATAACGGCTAATACAAGAAAGGGAATTCGGAATAAAGGTATTACTATTCTGCGTTTCCTGCTACCCAAATGGAATGTACCATATGCCGATTGTAGCAGTTTGTACAATCTTTCCAACCTGCTCTTTTTATCTTGATGGTTTTCAGTCGCTCACATGCTCCAAAGCTTCCCAATTGCTTGGCAGCTCGGCATATATGCTCCAAGTTCGTGTATATTTGGGGCCCGTGAAATTGTTGGCACTGCCCACATTGGACTTGTGAATATTCATGCTGTATGCACATATTTTTGAGTTTCCTGTAAGCCTCCCCTGACGTCTTGATGTTGTCGGTCAGTCTGTTTCCATATATGATCATGTGACTGGAGGTCGTCCATGGTTGCCGAAGGCCGACATGCACGGTTTAATAGTAAATCACTTTGCCATTGTGGCAATTTAGTGCGCTGTTTTCGGCTGTCACAATGAGTGAATGGCAGCCGCTGTGAAACAAGCGACTCATTCTATTCATGCTCTTTGACGTAGCTCATGACAAAGGAAAGCAGCTAGCCAGATTATGCAGTCATATTTATAGGCTGTTGTCCAGCCGCTTTTCTCCCTTGTTAATTCAGTGAGTGGAAGGATGATATCCTTCTCTCTGTAGATATAGTGTTTGGAATTTGTAATGAAGTCAAATTTTGTAGTGTTAGTGGAATATTGATGCAATTTAGAGCAGACTGATAACCTGAGACTCAAAACTCTGCTACTACTGCGGGTATCTTCCAGATAAACATGAAAACTTGGCAAAGCTATACGTAATTATTGTCATAGTGGCTCTTCGCGAGATATCTGTGTCTGGCACATCAAGTTCCCAAAAGGCCGTCGGTTTGGTTTCTGAATTCATACCTCTACATTGGCACTTCAGGAATTCGATAACCTGTTTTTTACGCCTTCCACCCAATCAAACTCGCTATGGATTGAAAATAACCTCAGAACGGTGAGGTGGATACGGTGAGAAGTGGTCCCTATGCCAGATGTTGACACATCGATGATACCTTATAGGGTCATACTGGAATTAGGGGCACGAGATACGAAGAAGCAATTGCAACGTCCAAGTCGACCTTTCACAACAGGGAGGATGCATGGACCGAACTGGCATGTAGAAGCCTTTGGGCCGCCCAAAACTGTAATTTATCAGGCCCGTTGTCAGCTGTGAGGTCATAGCAGAGAATGGACTTCGGATCCGGGGCTAGATCTCGTTTGTATCGCCTTTGATAGGATCGCTACAACTAGGCAAACGCTCCGGCTGAAAGCTCCAGTTTCGTGACTTGAATCTGACCTGTAGTGCCTCCAGCATGAAAATGTTACATAAGTTCACTTTGGACTGTTTCCAACGTTCGTCGATCATCTTCGGGCTCATTCGCGTGCATCATGTCCACAAACTAGGCAATATGGATCCACTTACATACTAACTCATCTATGCTACTAGGCGGGTGGCACTCTTTCAACAACGTCCGACTTCAGCATTCTCGCATTTCGACTGTTCAGCTATTGTATTGCAAGTCACTGATACACACCGTCAATGAGGCCGGACTCGTGGAAATATGATTTCGAGATCACAAGTGCGGCACTGATGCGCCGCGGTACGCAGCTCGAAGTTCTCCCGGCTTAAGAGTCGCAAGGGTTGTTCGCAGGAAAGTAGCCAATCAGAAACCCTCGTTTCTCCATTCACGGGCTTTTGGTTTCGCCAACTCGGAATTGTGCGCCAAGTCACTGGACATCACCTGGAGCCATCTGTACCTTCGCTATTATAACTGTGACCAGAAGGTAACGATCAGTGGTCGCGTGTTGAAGTTTTCAAGACGAGTTCGAGGCCAGATGATCTCGTGGTCGCCGTAACGGACTCCGGCTTAGACCGGCGCGGAATATGCAATTGCCACCACTTGGCAGCGATCTGTATGTATAGGTACGGAGAGGCGGCAGTTGGCCGCCGTTATCCGCCGGCATGAATTAGTGCGGCAACACGTGCTCTTAGCCTCCAGGCGGCATTTGATCGTGCGATCCAAATGCGATTCATCTGGGCGGCATCTTCAGGCCTACAGATCAGACATATAAATATTAAGAACCCCCTCTGCCGACAACTTACCGCGCCGGCTAGTACGATGGGAGCTCAATCAGAATCACCAACGCCAATGGGCAACATCCTGTCATCCATGGCCGCCCAGGCTGATAAGGCCCTGCAAGATAAGGAGCTGTCGATGGACTTGCCAATCGTGGACGTGGACGTCTTCCGGACCAAGCCTCGCGACTCACCCGAGGTGCTTGCCGAGTGCAAAAAAGCCGCAAACGCGCTTATCACATACGGTGCGTTGGTGTTGCACGACTCGCGTGTTTCGGAGGACGACAACACGACATTCCTGGATCTGTTGGAAGACTACTTTGCTCAGCCTGAAGAGGACCTAAAGAAGGATGAACGCCCGGAGCTCGGGTACCAGATCGGTGTGACGCTAGAGAACACCGAGAAGCCGAAGTGCGCGGTCGATGAACCTTGCCTGCAGGTTATTGAGCGCCTAGCTCCCTCAGAGCGACCACTGGATATCAAAGCACACGCACCAGACCCCAAGTGCAGGTTCTTCTGGCGGATGGTGGAGAAGCCTCCGTATGAGACCGAGTTCCCAGGTCTCAATGCCCCCAACATTGTTCCCGACGCGGAGCAAATCCATGACCGGTGGGAGTCTGTTATGGACAAGTGGGGAAACACTTTGAAGAATGCGTAAGCCACGGCCCTTAAAGCTGTGTCGGTGATGTGTAGGGGGCTAACTCCGATTGCCAGTGTATCAGACATTTCCGGTATGGCTGCGATTGGCCTGGGCTTGCCTGCCGAGGCATTTGTTGAGGCCGGAAAATATGGGTATGTCATTAAATTGAGTTTCTACAACATGGCGGCCACTTACGAACTGCAGTCCTCACCTTCTGGCACCGACGGCGTCGAACCTCAACAGATATGGCAAGAAGGACAGCATCCTCGCTGGTTTCCACACAGATCTCAACTTTTTGACCATCCACGGTCGTTCACGCTATCCAGGCCTCCACATCTGGGCACGAAACACGGGAAAACGCATCCCTGTAAAGATCCCGCCGGGGAAGCACTTGTTGGTGCAAGCCGGTAAACAGCTTGAGCATCTCACCGGTGGCCTGATCAAGGCTGGGTATCATGAGGTTGTTGTTAACGAGGCAACCATTGGCGTTATCGAGCGCCGCAAGAAGGAGTTACCTGACCGTCCTCTCGTGCGCATATCGTCAACCTTCTTCTACCACCTGTCATCAGATTATCTCTTGTCTCCGAATGAGATCCTAGCTGAGCAGGCCCGCAAGATACGCGAAGAGCAGTACAAGCTAGGCAGGGACGAAGGCGAAGAAGTTGAATATCCATCCATGAAGGTCGGTCAACAGGTTCAGAAGTGAGTGGTCCCTCAACCTTTGTGATTGGATCCGAGTCTAACAATTCGAGCAGTGAACTGAAGCACATTGCATTGATGGCGTAGTCTGGTCATGATATTGGCTTTGCATTCTGATTTGATTACACCAGTACGAGGAGGACACGGTCAGCATGCTTGATATTAACAAGTTACGTGATCACTAGATGGCGATGGAGCATTGTTTGTTAAAGAACGTTATGATACCTCAATAAGAACAGATAATGGATTACGTTGACATTCTTGCATGTGACATTGCAATAGATGATCGCCCTTGGCCCTTGTCTTGCGGATTCCAATTATTATGACTATCAGTCGGCAGGACCACGTTCTGATCCGCTTTTATGCTTGGGAGAGGATGCTGAGCCGTCGATGAGCAGTTATCCGATCGTATGATCTGTACGACCAACGAACATTACAACACTGGTATAGCTTGAAACCATTGATCCCTAAAGATACCCTTGGAACATGAAATACACGGGTTGCCACGTCCATCTCGCAAATATCTTACTGTAGGCTCACATCTCGCGCAAGTACGACGGTCAAAAAACTCTCAAGATGGGCTTGACTCATGCCATTATTTCGGGGGCCTAGCATTCGTAGGAAAAAGTCGCAACGAATCTCAGCCTACAAATAACCTTGCCTGTAACCATGAGAGATGCAGGGGAAGAAGCAGCTGATATTAGGGTCTTGGCACATTCCTCAAGGGATGACTTGTCACCAACAGTCCTTCGGGAGGACCAATGAGCTGTACAACGAATCGTGTTGGTCCCGTTGCTCTTTTACCATGCCCCACAGTTACAGGCTTCAAATCCGCTAAACAAGGCGAAAACGCGTATAACAGCGCTAGAGCACGGTTATGTGCAGGGGCTGTTGACAATCATATTGATTGTTGGCTGTTAGACGCACGTCTATTGCGCCTTGGTAGTACCATATTACGACTGAGACGTGCATACGGGGCCAAAAACCTGTCAGTGCATGCTTTGAAACCAACGCGAAAATCTTTCTCAGGTAGCAAGTGGATATATTAAAAACAGCGAAACACATGGAGTTGAATTTCCAATTGCCTTTTCGTATCTTGCAACATTTTCAAAGCAGCTGGAAACCTCGAGTCCTATACCCCTTCAACGACATCCTTCCACCATGTCTGTAGCCAAAACTGTTGGACAGACAACGTCTTCTACAGACCCCAAGACCACTCCAGTTCCTTCGATCGAGATATGGAGGCCATCGCTGCACGAAAGGCTCATCATTTACATGTTAGGTGTAACATCGCTGATCGTCGCCATGGATGCTAGCATCATACCGACAACATTATCCGTGAGAACCAGAATAATTACGGAAGTGTTAAGCTCTAACCCAGACTCATAGTCCATGGTAAACGATCTAGAGGGTGACTCTACTCAAGCCTTCTGGATCGGAACCTCATACCTGCTGGTCAATGCCGTGACCATGCCATTCATTTGTTCCGTCAGCGATATCTTCGGCCGTCCCATCTGCTTCGAGTTCTCTCTCGCCATGTTCTCTTTGGGCACGGTGATTTGTTGTACGGCCAACAGCATTGTGCACATGCTCGTTGGACGTTGCATACAAGGAATAGGTGGTGCTGGCATACACGCGTTAGGTCTCGTCATTCTAACTGATATTGTACCGTTGTCCCACCGGCCGAAGTGGTATGGCGTGACGTAAGTTAAGTCATTCGTTCACTCGTCCCAAAATAATATTCCTGGCCCGGAAGTTTACACTTTTTGACATCCATAGTCTCGGCGGCTGGGCTATCGGACTTTCGCTAGGACCAATTATTGGTGGCGGTATAGTGGAGCACGCTAGCTGGAGGGTGATCTTCTACATGTAAGTTCATTCGATTTCGCCCTCTGCCCCCTTTCAACGGCCCAGTCTATGTGTATTTTCAAGCGCAAGCGGTTTAAAGTAACTTCTGAGAAACTTTATTGACTAAGTGTCTAGCATGTTCCCAATTTGTGCATTGGGGTTGATTCTTACCCCGTGGCTCCTCACGCTTAAGCCAAAAACCGCTACGCTGAAAGAGAAGCTCGCCCGGGTCGACTGGCTCGGAGGCATTCTATTTATGTGTTCTGCAACCTCTTTCTTAATAGGTGAGTAACTAATATCACGTCCTCTGCCTTATATTACTTCTATAAAGTACATGTTAAAACTCAAACTTATGTGCTGTGGTAGGTGTCTCGTGGGGAGGTATCCAGTATGACTGGAATAGTGCGCAGACTATCGCACCTATAGTTCTTGGTGCTTTAGGTATGATCATGACTGTTTTTTATGAGAATCATTTTGCCAGAGACCCATATCTGCGCAAGAGCCTTTGGCAAGATTGGAGGATCGAGGGCTCGGACAAACTTAATTGGAGTGCTATCGTAACATATATCAATGGATGCCTCCAGGGACTTGCCGTAAGTGAGTGCCTTGGTGCACCTAAGTTCGTATGACTGATTCGAGCGTACCACAGATGTTCGGCTTCTTGTACTAGTATGACCGATCTAAAACTTCATGGACGTCTTGATGCTAAAGATGTCAACAGCGTTCCTCTATATTTCCTATCCGTTAAAGGACAGTCACCGTTGGAGGCGGGTGTCGACGTACTAGCATTGCTATTACCGACTCTACTATCAGCTATCGTGACTGGACGTTTGATTACAAGGACGAGAAATTACCGATGGGCAATTTGTGTTGGCTGGTTCATCGCATGTATTGGTACTGGCTTTCTTCTTGTTTGGTCTGTCCACTCAAGCACGGTGTTCTGGGCCTTTTCTCAAATAATCCTTGGTGTCGGAACAGGTGCTGTTCTCAATGCCCAGAACTTCGCCTGCCAAGCGATGTGTAAGCCTGCGGATGGTACCAGAACTGGTGAAGAAGGTGTGGCGGCCGCCATGTATCTTTTCTCGCGACAGTTCGGATTTGCCCTAGGAGTCGGCATTGGTGGAACCGCCTTTCAGAATGTCATGGCCCTCAAGCTTGAATGGGAAGGGTTGCCAGTTGATCCTGCCCGCCATGCAGAGGGCTATGTCGCTGTCCTGAGCTCGATGCAGGATGGACACGAGAAAGCTTCAATTCGTGAGGCGTACGAGTTCGGCTTTATGGGCTGTTTCTCGGTCTTCCTTGGTGTCTCAGTCGTTGCATTGATACTAAGTCTCATATTTGTGGAACAGTTTGATATGAACAGAGCACAAGATTCCGAGCATAAACTGCAACCTCGTCGAGCTATAACGAAAGCTATAGACCAAACTTCCCAGGAGCGGACATGCAAAGTCTGAGGGAGGAGGACAAGCCATTCAGTGCAAGAGACTGATAAGAAGACTGGGATGGCATCGTTGATTCCCAAAAGAAAATGCAGTTGAGATGGAACAATGAGGCAGCAATGGGGCTTGGTGAGTTTGGGTTGAGGAGATTCAGTGATATATGTGAGTTCGTGGTATTCTATGGTGGCGACATGTCTCTCGTTTTGTGCAGCGAGTGCGGGCTTTGCATTCTCTGCGCACATGAACAATTATATCAGTGAACAAACCCAAGCTTGACTCGTTTCCGTATCTCCGCCCAGTATTGTACTCGTTTCATCTCTCTGAATGTCTTGCCCCACTTGATCATGATGAGAAAGACGCTGCAAATTGCCAGTCCAACAAGCGCGGCGCTCAAAAAACAATTTTGGTATCCCAGATTCGTGAGCCACGGCGTGATCCCATATCCAATCGCAAAGCTCATTGTATTCCGAATTATGATACAAGTCGTTAACGCATCACCGGAGATGTCGCGATATGTATCGATGAGATATGAAACTGATAGCGTGACACCCATTGTATTCGCAAAAGATGTTGTGCCCATTGCAAAGATAAGTCCAAACCAATGGATGTGGTGTGCTGCACCAACTCCCCACAAGATTAGTGACGAAGGTATTACCAACGTTGAAACTGCAAAAAGCCATAGTCGATGCTCAGGTTCAGAGATGCCATTGTTTTTGCGGGCCATTCGAATAATCCAGCGATCTGAGAGGACTCCCGTGAAAACAGATCTGCAGTCTTGTTAGTATAGTTCATTAATGTACTCAAGATACCCACGCTGCGGTAACTCCAATCACGCATGAGATATAGCTTAATCCAACCATGGCGGGGCTAAAGTTGTAAGGCTCGCCTCCTAGAATGATCGAACTAGTGGCGTTGAGGATGTTGAAATAGATGAGGTAGGTCCCATAGCTGAATCCCGAATAGAATACTACCGGCCAAGAAATCAGTTTCAGAGATTGCCAAGCACGATGGTGCATCATGAATGGCCGCGGCTTGTCGAAAAGTGCCATCCTCTGCCAGATTGACTTGTGCTGCGATCCAGGATGGTGAATGGTGAAATGCTCGGCTCCTGTTGGTTTCGCTTCCTCGTTTGCGTCGTTGGCTGTTCCATTGAGAGGATCTATCCCAGGCGCAACATCCTCAACCATTTCCCTATCATAATTTGTTTCTTCCAAGAAAAAATACAGGAAAACCCAGGTAAAGGCAATAAAGATAGATGGGAGGTAGAAAACCCACTTGTAGCCCAACCCGTCGTTGATAAATCCACATATAACAGGCGCAAAAAAGTTACTGCCCGCTAGACTAAAGGCATACCAGCCCATGTATGTTGCTCTCTCGTGAGCGAAAAACAGATCTGCTATGGTAGTCTCGGGAAGTGCCTCGATTGGGGCGGCGAAAAAACCTGTCAATATGCTTTTCGCGATCCATTGGCTGTTACCTTGGGCATACGGGCTCCACAGCGTTACGGCCATGAGCGCCAACAAGGAGACCAGGTATGTGAATCTCTTTCCGTACTGTAGAGCAAAAGGCTGCCAGAACAACAGGCCCCAGCCTAGGAGAAGGAACATATAGCCCGTGCCAGCATTGAGATCCGAAATCTCGACGTGGAGAGCTACAGAAAGAGGCACCAAGACTGAGTAAACAACTGAGAGGGCTATTCCATTGAACCATGTATACCTGTAAGAGTTAGCACTCGCCGTACATTGTTTTAAGTCGTAGGAGCTCCAACAGCAATGCACAAGCCAAGGCAAGGTATTTGCGCTTTGAGCTCCAATTCAGCGGATCTTCGGGGTCTGGGGAGGGTGCGGGCACCAAGACAATTTCGACTTGGTCGCTCGCATGTCGTGTGGCTAAGCGGTGTTCTAAGTCGACAAGATGCACCGTACCCGGAGTACATGTTTCGTCTATCTGGTAATGCTGGACTTCTGTTGCTCGTGCCATTGTTAACATTTCCTGGGAGGGCAGCCTGGGTAAGATGGTCCAAGAGTCATTTCTGAATTGTAAACTGCGCGGTCGTCACCATATAACTTGGCCTGCATTTATCTCTGTCGGATAATCACTACTGATAAAGCCGAGTGTAGATTGATAACAAAATCTGTGATAGATGTCGTATCAGCGTGTCCAAGACTACCATGCGACCATATCAACAAATATGGAGCCGGAGGTGGAGTTCATGTGTGGGGTACACCAGTATGCCACTGATAAGGTGGCGAGAAGCTCTGAACAAATCCCCGTCCCCAGGGCCTCTTAAGTTACTTGCAAGACAGGGCACGACCAAGCTTTTCCCACCAACTGGACTGATGCAAGCGGCCTTTTTCTCGTGAGCCTTGGTGCTTTTGTCACAATACTGAGAAGGCTCGCTTCGATGGGGGTTCCGTAGATGTGAAGGATGTGTACTGTATCTTCCGTCTCATCGTTACGACGCATCACAGAAGGTGTCTCTAAAAGTCTGAACGGATATGCGGTAACGGCTCTATGGGGTGGGGTGAGACTATCAGCCACAAGCGCCTACATCCAGCACCGAATCATTTGCAAAAACGCGCATCACGTATCCGGCTGTCTTGGGACAACACTTTTGGGATTGCTGGGAATACAGGCTTTGAGCGATAAGGGTTTGACGGTAGTCAACTGGTAAACTTGGTAAAGCAATGGGGACTCAAACCACAAGGTCCTCAACGCCCGAAAAGGCCCGAAAATCCCGAAGACATCTCCAAGTTGTCACGTGCCGCTCTGTTCGAGAGCTTCTGAAGTTCTGATGTACAGGAGACTTTATAGACTGGAAGAACGACCGACTTCAGGATAATGGCCCATTGCTCGATGCAGTCAATATCGAGCAGGAATAACAGCGCTCTCATACCGAAGGCGGGGTTCGCCTAGGGGTAAAGTATGCCAGATGCTTTTCTATGTGCGGGGTGGGTGGCCCGCCAGTTTGCTTGGAAATTAGTGTGGAGGATTATCATTTCCTTCCCTGGACCGTCACATTCGGCAGTGTTACATTACCAGCAGACCCAGGAAGAGCCATCCATGCTGGAGGTGGACGACAATTCGATCTTGAGAAACAGCGGGGGCCGAGGAAAAGATACAGTATCTTGTCCTTGATCCTTCAAGTGTTCTGAAGCCTCTGGCACCAGTTCAATATGCGCGCCACTTCCGCCGCCGCCGGTACGCTGGCGATTGTCCTTGGGTCCGCTCAAGAGACTGGTGAACATACTGATTGGCCTCGTTGGTGTGGCAAGGTGTATCAATCGGGTTATCCCAGCTTCGAACCTGGCGGTCACACAACGACCCCAGATGATAACGGAACAACGAATCTTTATGTCCAATTCAAGCCGCGTTACAACATATACGTTGACGGTGAATCAACGGGATCCTTCGTTATCAATGCTGCATTATCACCTTGGTATGGCTCTCCGTGGACGAACTCGACCTCAGATGGCGGCAGTACAAAGCCTTTCAACAGACTCTACTTCTCTATCAACTTGGTTTCCGATGACAGGCCGCTCATCGAAAACTCAATAGAGGTTAATACCACGGGCTTTGAAGTCAACTTCGACCTATCCGGTTTCACCCCGAGCACAACACCCTATGGGGTAGTCCTTTACGGAGCATCTGAGTTTGGCGACAAAACTTATAATGCCACCAGCTCTTTCCTGTACCTTCCAGAAAACCCCTCCGGAAGTGTTACCAAAATTGACAACTTGAAAGGAAGCTTGCTGTTTAAGAATGTCAACACAGATAACCAGTTCCAACCTTTGCTTCCATATGGTTATTATGGACTATATAACGGATCAAACAGCTCAGCAGTCAGCGATGACTTCGTTCGAAACTACACGAATGGAGGTCAGGGTCTGAACGCAATTATTGCTCTGGCTGGATTTGATGACCTTAATCCAGTCTACGACAGCATGGACCATCAGAGCTTACCTTTCATGTACGACCTCAGGGGCTCCTATGAGAATCTGTCCATTGTCGAGCAGCACGTCAACACCGTCAAACATCATACGTCGCTATTCGCCTACTGGACGGCAGACGAGTAAGAAGTCCATACTGACGATATGCTGCTGCTTCTACGTATACTAACAGAGGATATAAGGCCAGATGGCTGGCAAAAGCCATTTGACGCGCCAGCCAAAGCTCAAGACCTTATCCATCAACTTGACCCTTATCATCCCGTTGCGATTACGCTGAATTGCCAAGATTACTATTTTGGTCCCTATTCGCTGGGGGGCGATATCCTGATGGAGGATGTTTACCCGATTGGTATCAACTCGACGTTCTCGAAATGGAATACTACATGCAACACTACTCTGGGAGATTGTGGATGTGATAATTGCCAAGGAAATGTGCAAGACGTATCTTCAAGACTCGACGACCTCTCAATGTATGAGTTCTGGCTTGGTATGTGGCCCAAACCAAAGTTCCACAATCCGCAAGTTTTTCACGGGGAGATCTACTGGTTTCGGGATCCGACGCCTGGAGAAGCACGGGTAATGAATGCGCTGGCTTTCAACAGAGGAGCTACTGGTATTTTCGGCTGGACATGGCCAGGGAGCTGGGAGTTGTTTGACGTACACTCAGACATGTCTGCCGTGGTCACTCGGAGTCCTGTGAGAGACTTCCTTTTGAACGGTAAACCAAAAAGGCTTTTCATTTCCGGAGAAGACGTGCTTGACATGGCGTACTGGTCGTATGGAAACCAAATTATGGTTAGTGTAGTCAATGCTGGGTACGTGGATATTGGCGGGCCCTTATCAATACCGTTGCCTGAGGGGACGACATCCATTGAGTCTATTCCTTTCGGCGGGTTGCCATGGAAGTTTGCTGGTTCTGAGCTCTCTATCGACACCCTCCCTGCTATGACAGTTAGTCTTCTGATGCTTAGCTCGGTCTCAGCACAATAATCTTGAAAGTTATCAGGGAACACTTATATATATTTTTAAAGCACCAGCACAAGAAACAGATTGAATGCAGTTGTGTGTACTCAACTTCACCCGAGAGCCAAATGTGTCACATGGTAGGAAGGAGAAAAAGAAAAACAACACAGCGCTGATCGTTGAACTCACCAACCGGACGTACGAGAAGGCGTAAATGGAGGAAGGCTCCTTTCAATATACTAAATGTATGAGTTTTAGGCCATCTGCGGTCGAAATATGGAACGGGGTTAATTTAGGATGGCATAGACGCAAAGGGCCGGATACATTCCAAGTCCGATATTTGTCTGTCCAACGTGCAATTGAATGTTATATAACTTAAGAGCAGTGAAACAGCAATTTCATTAGACTGCTGTATCTAAAGCCTCCCCGACCATAAATCAACATCCTTAGCCCGAACAAACTAGACCCCATATCAGCAGATGACTTTTATAACCTTTTGCCTTAGAGAGCTTACCTTTGTCTTCTTCCAAATTTTCCAAGCTATGATAGGCACAACGAATATAGGTATCCCGACGTACGACGCAACAAAGTTGGAGGTATCCCAGTTTCCATCAAGGAAAACCGGAAACCCCGTTATGAGAGTAATTATACTGGAGCCGATGAAACCAACCCAAGCTGCATATGGCTGGAATGGACCTTTCCAAGGAAGGCTGTCCCGGCTGACGCCTTGGACGGTCAAGGCACGGTGGAAGCGAATATAGCAGAAACACAAGGTAGCCCAAGCGATGAGGCCTCCGACTGTGCTCAAGCTTAAAAGCCAAGTAAAGGCTTGAGCGGCACCACCCGTGCCGAGACCTGATGCATTATTTAGCTTTGTTACTACTTCGGGCACAGTGCGGTCTAGCAAAGAAAAAGACCATCGCGATACATATCAATCCAGACAGAGATGACTTACTCAAGTAGGCCAATAGTCCGAAGAGCCATGCAACAATGACGGCGACCCAAGGCACGCCGTTCTTGGTGACGCGGCCAAAGACCTGAGGCAACTGCCTATCTGTGGTCATGGCCACGATCATGCGTGATCCGACCCAGCAATATGAGCTTCCTGCAGACCAAGCCGAAACCAAGATGCAGGCGTTGACGATAGAAGGTAAGATGTCAATACCAGCAGTTCTTATAGCGATGACCCAGGGTGAGCTGTTGGCATTCCCAGATCCGGAAACGAGGTTTTCGTTCGTAGGATCAACAATCAGACTGATTAGCAAGGCGCCCAGAATATAGAAGATCCCTATTCGCCACGTGACGCGGCTCGCAGCCTTGGGGATGGCTCGATGTGGGTTCACAGATTCAGCGGCCGTGATTACCACCGTCTCAACACCAATAAAGGAAAAGCTTGCGTTAACGAAAGCTGACAAAAAGCCCAAGAAGTGGCCGGTGGATCCAGTAATGCCCCTGTAGTTGGTCCACGCTCCCGGGGCATGCCAGTATCTGAAGCCAATCCCTTCATGGTTGGGACCACCGCCAGCAGTGATCACAATGGAGACTATGACGAGGCCGAGAAAGCAGGCCACCTTGATGGATCCGGTGATGACCTCTGCTTCGCCAAAGAAGCGTACGCTAAGCAGGTTGATCATCAGGATCAGGACGAGAGAAACGGTGATGACAACCGCAGGTGACATATCGGTCCAGTAGGAAACGAGAATAGCCGCAGCTGAGCACTCCGAAGCAATTGCAATCATGAAGCAGTAACCATACGAAATAGCCAGAGAAAACCCAACGGCTGGGTCGATGAATCGAGTCGCCCAGTGAGGGAATGAGCCAGCTGTTGGGATCTGTTTCTCATGTCAGCAGCTTAGTATATTTAATTGGAACGCCATCTTCTCCTATCATTCAATCGGGCCAGTGTATTATAGGCAAAATCCAAACCCCAAGGCGTCTGGTCTTGAGGTAAACTTACCAAAGTGGCCAGCTCGGCAATACTCTGCATAACGCACCACAGCACAGCGCCAACAACGGTATAAGCGAGGAGCAGTCCGGCAGGGCCAGCCTTGGCATATGCGCTCCCTGTTCCGATAAACAGGCCAGTTCCAATGCCGCTGCAGATACCTATCATTGTCACTTGATAGTCTTTCAGTCGTCTTTGTGTGGCACCATGACCCCCAATGTTGAGCTGTGGCGCAAGATCACTCTTCTCGTCCGCCGTGAGGCTGGGGTTCTTCTCAATGTCACTAACAGTCTCCATCGTCGGCGGACTCTGAGTGCGATTCATCATGGTCAGTGCAGACGTTCCAGTAAGCTAAGTGCATCGAGGTCGACGTCCCGTAGCACAAGGTTGAACGAATAGCACGCCGTCCTACAGTACCATCATTTGAAAATCGTCTTTGTAAGTAATGTTTGATACAGTTCTGCTATATACCGTCGGGCAGAGTTTTCAAGTTTTCAAGGCGATATCGTCGACGATGGTGTACGGAAGTCCACTCTATTTCCGACAATCGGCAGTCCAACCAAATCTAGCCTGAGTAGGTAGGTATAAGAGCTGTCAAGAGCGGAGACTAGAGGATAGCTTGCCCCACGACACACCAGAGTCGTGGGATATGGGACCGTGCGATGAGTTCTTAGTGTCAGACCAAAAATGCCACTTCTGGCCAGGACGTTCCAGAATCCTCCAACGCCTGAAAAAGAAATGTCAAAACTGAGCGTAGTGGGTGGGCCAGAACCGTGGCTTTCGAGACAAGCATGGATGGCGTACTGATCGAACATAGACATCAATGGCTAATAAAGGGGGTATTATCAGCTCTGCTGCGTATCTCGTAGATTCTCTTTGAGGCGTCTGATGTCAACTGCAGACGCCTTACAACATCCACCCACGACGAAATTTTGAAAACACCCGCGATCCTGAGACTCCTTGACAATATTTGCAAGTTGAGCTGCCCACGAACTCTGGATGAGGTTAGCATTGAGCATAGAGTGACCTTTCATTTTCCGACTTACATCCCCACGAGAATTACTCTCCTGGCCCTCAACTATCTCCCACGTTTTTGTCGTGGTGTTGTATACCTCTCCCTGTGTCCCGTCCGGGTACAGCATCAGCGTCGGTACTGACTGTAGATATCCGGCATCTATCAGTCCCTGTAGGCTTTGCTCAAAGGCTTCAACAAGCGCCGGCAGCTTGTGAAGTTTCGTGCAATTGAGTCCTACTCCCCATGGTGCCGCACCATCTTCCGTCCTTTCGACCATTGCCTTGACTACTTGATCAACAGAGCTACCATCTGGCAGAGAAAGATCTTCCCCGGGGAAGACGCAAGTAATCCAAAACGGCAAGTCTATGCCGGATCTTTTGATGGCCTTTCTCACGGCACGTATCTCGTCCAGTCTTGGGATCGTCTCCAATGCGACATACTGCACCCGTTTGATTAGACCCTCGACTTTGGTAAACAGCTGCAACCTTTCCAGATGCCAGCAGTAGAGTGACTCTTCCGAACTGTGAGCACTGTCGTAATCGCCGCTATACTCCTGGCCAGGTATCATGCATGCGCCATAGGGACCTAGACTCAATGCGAATTTTGTGTAGTCGTGGACCCGAGCCGTCTCCACGATTTCTACAGCCTTTTGCAAGTAAGGTCCAATCGCCGTCTTGGAGATCCCATTCGGGTGGTCGACGGTCTTCGTTCGAGAGAATCCCTCTATCGAAGTCTGATACGTCGCAGTCAGCAGAATATCCACCCCGACCCCCGCAAAATCCCGCTGGCAAGATAGTAGCGTTTCTTCCCCCTCGACGAGGAAATGGGTCGACCAGAGAGGTTTGGAGTGGTCGAAGGTAACACTGTAGGTATCCTCGAGCGAGGTGCCTAGCCCACCGTCTAAGATTTGAATTGTGCCCATTGATAGTATTTGGGGTTGCTGAGTTAAGAACGGAGTCTCACGTTTGTGCTACGAGTACCACACGAGGCGCAATAAATTCTTAGGCGTAAATCACAGGCGGGTCCGGGGCCGGTGGGACCGGTTGAGTCCGGTGCTCGGAGGCAACGCCGAGTCAGTCTTGAAAGTCTCGACATGCATCACAATGCATAATGCCAACCGACCTTGATCGTATTCTGATTCGCCCTGTTCATATTTGAAGTACCAATTATGGATTCAAGGAATTGCTTCGAGGACTAGATAGTCTGAGGATAGACGGGAAGTTTACTGGGCCTTCACCCCCAACCACAGTGCCATAAACCATCATCCAACAGAGAGTGTTCTCCTTCCTGCATAGCTCGACCCGGGCCGGAATAGCTCGTTCTACTCGAAGCATTTTTGACCGTTTGTACAAGGGGTGTCGCAGTGAGCAATGTTGTTGCTCTGTTGCTCGTTGAGGCACTTGCCTCCACACGCGCAGAAGAGTTGAATACTTGCCGGGCTATCGTCCATGCACAGGAAGACAGCTTGATCCGGCTTTGTTCTCGGAACGCCACTGAGACAATTGCCTTCGAGGCCCTCACAGTAAGTTTTGTTGATGACATCAGGGGCAAAGTCTGCGTTGTATTTAGTTGAACATGGTCTAGGAGACTAGGTATAGTACGATGCAGTTGACATACTATGACCTCCCGACTGCAGCATGTAACCGCAGTATGTGTAACCCTTGCCACATTTGGGCCCCGAGCCCGTAGTTGGAAGAGGTATGGGGCCGGATGCTGTAGCCGGGGCGCTAGCCGTGACCACAGTGAAAGGTGGTGAGGCCGGGGCCGTTGGGAACTCGGGAGCAGAGGCCGACCCAGACCCGGAGAGAAGGCCCTGTCGGGGAAGTTGGTGGTTCGCAATGCCAAGGCTGGCGATCGATAGAACTGTCCAGGAAGACAGCATGACTGGGCGACCAACTCACGGTGAAAATAGGGTTGAAATAAATGGGCAATTATTTGTACTTTATCTACATCCAAGTAAGCAAGGATGGTAGATTGCTGTGGCTGTATAGGTTGAGTATCGGGGGGGAAATCTTAAAAGCGGATTGTGAGCATGGGTGGCTTTATAGCCCGAGACCCCAAGTGATATAATAGTCAGCCTGCATGTAGTATTTGTCGCCGGCCATCCTCGATGAATAATCAGCGAAACGTTGACACGTCTCTGTCACACTGCTCAACAAGGAGATAGATGCTATACATGGGCAAAAGAGCCGAGAACACACATATTACGTTACAATCACCCCTCGGTTTAAAGTACAGCGCGCTGCCTGGGATTTGGGCCTGATATAGCTTTGATGTCACAGACAGCAAGCCTTTCTCAGTGGGCTGGCTTGATCACAGATGGCCTCTATGCCACCGAGTTCTCTGACCAGCCAAGGGGGACACGAGACATGATACTCCGACCAAGTCAGACTCTACAGGTCTCTCAAGGATTCTAGGACTGTGCAGTGAGTCGGACTGACCCGATCTGGACCGGTCGGACACACTTGTCAAGAAGCGATGCTCAGAAGCAACCCGAATGCTAGTGAGACCTGTGCAGGAGATGCCTAGTGCGAGGCGGGACATTTGGCCTTGCGGTTTCTTTGGACAGACGGACGAAGCACAAAATATGTAGAACATGGGGCTGGGACACATGTGTCTTGAGCCAGCTGGCCTTGGTCATTGTGAAGCCCGGGTGAGCTGCCGAAGAATGTTGGTGCGACTGTACTCATCAACGTTGCAATGGAGTCACCGCTCTCGGAGGACAGGGAAAGCGAGAGAAACAGATTAAGACTGCATTTATCTGCCGGGACTGACACGATGGCCTTGTTGTGCCCTGTGGAACACCGCGACAGCTTCTACCAGCATTAGACACTAAGTCCACCTATACAGCCTATACTGCAGATTCCTTCGATGGCTCGTGCTTCGCAGACCGTCAAGAATACTAACAAGTATTTGCTGTGGCGTGCTTACACCATGGCTAGTCTAACACGGCGAGATCGACAAAGACATGTATATAGATATATAATAACAGGCTATTGAAAGGCCCACGACGCCGGGATGCCTTCCACCTGCATATGACGAGAATATATGTATGGGGTGTATCGGAGACAGGACATTGATGTGACTCCCTTCTTCCCTTTATTGCCCGAGGACTTAAACGGCCGGAGTGGGACGAGGTGAGAACCTCGACTGAGAGAAACGGGGTACTGTGACGTGCTGTGTACCTTAAGATAGGTATACAGTCTGGTGCCTCACGTAAACCATGCAATTCTAGGTGTGTACCCAAGTCCATTCCAGGTTACGTGGAAGTACCCGTGGACGGTAGGTTGGCGAGGTACCTTACATGAGCGTGCCCTCAGCTGCGGGCGCTGCAGGCGAATCCAAGTCCCTGGCTGCAGGTGGGTTGGGTGCTGGGCCCCTGGTTGGCAGGCCTTGGCAGGCCCTGCAAGCCTCACTGTCCGCACTAGAGGGTATCCTACTACTCATAATTAGGCACCTGGGTACTGTACTGAATGTGCTGCCCGGCAGGCTACCCCGCAGTGCAAATCCAGTTCCATTGCCATCCATCCCACCATCCCGCCATCCCGCACTGCCGCAGTCAGGAACCCCGCGGTCAATTGCCCAATTACTTACTTACAGAACTTCACTGAATAAGGTGAGCAAGCGGTCACAAAACAGCCTCAAGTCAGACAACCCAGCTCGAAGTCCACGACCCAGGCACAGTGCGCACGAGGGAGGCAGTCCTGGAGTCTTGTTCTGCCGCCACCTTCGCTGGCCAAGGGATCAATCGCCTCGACAACACTCCGCCACGTCCACCACCAGCCCTCGCTCTCGCCTGCGCCCACGCCCACGCCCCGCCATAACCTTCCCCCGTCAGACTTTCAGGTCGTCAAGGTAACCTAGCTGTACTGCTCCGACCGCCAGCAGCCAGCAGCCAGCAGCCATCATGTCGACACCCGCGATGCAGCCTGTCATCACGCCGTCCGACTCCCACAGCAAGTCGGTCACGATCCGCGTCGGCACGAGAAAGTCAGCACTCGCCCTCAAACAGGCCGACTATGTCGTCAGCTCGCTGTCCAAGCTCCACCCGGACGTCAACTTCGAGATCGTCGGCATGCACTCGGCTGCCGACAAGGACAAGGTCACGGCCCTCTACAACTTTGGCGGCAAGGGCCTGTGGACCAACGAGCTCGAGGCCGGCCTCATGGCCCGCGAGCTCGACATCATCGTGCACTCGCTCAAGGACATGCCCACCAGCCTACCCGACGGCTGCGTGCTCGCCTGCGTGCCCGAGAGGGAGGACCCCCGTGACGTCGTCGTGGTCAAGAAGGCGCTGGAGGGCAGGTACAACTCACTGGCCGACCTGCCCGCCGGCAGCGTCGTCGGCACCAGCTCGGTGCGCAGGATGGCCCAGATCCGGAGGCGATACCCGGCGCTCGAGTTCAGGGACATGAGGGGCAACATTGACACCCGGCTCAAGAAGCTGGACGCCGAGGATTCCGACTACTCGGTGCTGATCCTGGCGGCGGCTGGCCTGTCGAGGATGGGACTCCTGGGGCGCGTCACGCAGTACCTGGACAGCACCACCGAGGGCGGCGGCATGCTGCACGCCGTCGGCCAGGGCGGGCTGGGCATCGAGGCCCGGGCAGACGACGAGCAGACTCTCAGGCTCCTCAAGGCGCTGGAGAGCAACGAGGTCATGCTGGCGGCCGAGGCGGAACGCAGCGTCATGCGGACCCTGGAGGGCGGCTGCAGCATCCCCATCGGCGTCGAGACGAGGTGGGTCGGCGACAACAGGCTGCGCCTGGCCGCTACCGTGGTCAGCGTCGACGGCACGCAGGCGGCAGATGACGCACTGGAGCAGGAGGTCAAGACCAGGGAGCAGGCAGTCGAGTTTGGCGAGGAGGTTGCGCGGCGGCTGACCGAGAACGGGGCGCAGAAGATCCTTGATGTCATCAATGCCGAAAGAGCGGCCAACCCCAGCACCGAGAAATGGGTTCCGGCGTAACGCCGTTTGCGTTTCCTCTTGGGAGGAAGGTGAGGAGGAAGGCGATGCCGGGGCATCTACATCACTTGTGTGGTCTTGGGCCGAGACGTCGGTCAGTTGCGTGTCAAGCTCGACGCATGCCGAGCTCGCGCCATGTCGAGATACCCATGCGGCAATGGACCAGAGACAGTGCATAAAAGAAGAAGAAAAATCTACTAAATTTGGTTTATCCTGCTTCCAGACCCGTGTTGATGCAGTGTGTGATTATATGCACGATGGCCTTTGATACGCCTTAGTGTCGTGTTGAACCTATAAACATTGGAGCCATCCACGAGAGCTCTCGTACCGTCTGTCCTGTTTGCGAGACTTTTTTCCGCCTAGGTTCTCTGTTGTGTTGAAGACCTATTGCCCCTGCCGAGAACCGGTGGGGGTGGAGGCGTCCTCCCCCGTCCTTCTGCCCGTCCTTCTTCTCGTTCTCCTCGTCGGACCTCCATCAGTGGTCGGCGCCGGTGAAGGCCTTGTACTCGTCGGCATCCATCAGGCCCTCAAAGTCCTTGGCGCCCTGCTCGTCGACGGCGACCTTGCAGATCCAGCCGCCGCCGTGGGAGTCGTCCTCGGGGACGGCGTTGATCTGGCCGGGCTTCTCCTCGAGCACGAGGTTGACGTCGGTGACGCGGCAGGTGATCGGGGCGTTGATGTCGGCGGCGCTCTTGACGGACTCGACGGCGCCAATGGCGTCGCCGGCCTTGACGAACTTGTCGCCCTCGGGCAGCTCGACGTAGACGACGTCGCCCAGCTCCTCGGCGGCGTAGGACGAGATGCCGATGACGCCCGAGGTCTTGTCGGCGTTGAGGTCGACCCACTCGTGGTCCTTGGTGTATTTACGGATCTCGCCTGCAGAGTGGGTTGGGGGGGTTAGCATCGGCATCGGCATCGACACGAGTATGGGCATGGGCATGGGCATGGGCAGCATCAGCGGCCGGCGTATTGTATTGTCGCGCAGCCACGGCACAGGAGCAACGTACGTAGAGGCGTGGCCGAGAAGGCCCTGACGGGGGACGCTCGCCAGCTGCTTCGCAGGGCCGGCGTCGGGGCCAGCTTGAAGAGGGTCGACGGCCGGGCCGCCCGCAGGCATCGCGCAATTGAGGCCATGGCTGTGATCGGGGTGTGCGGAAGTATGAGGGGCGGGGATGGGGATGGGGATGGGGATGGCGAGCCGGGCGGATGTGACGTCGTGATCGAGGTCGAGGTCGAGGTCGTGGTAGAGGTGGTGAGTATTTTTTTTTTTTTTTTAGAAGAGTAAAAACCCTCCCCCGGCTGCTGCGAGTATGCTTCGGCACGCACGATATGAACTTGTTACTGCTGGCTGCGATGGTTTAGGTAAGTTACCTTATCAATGATGCGGGTGGAGCTGTGTGCCACCGGTACAGAAACGCCCATTGGTAGGCAGGCCCCCAGATCCTCCGTCCGCGGGCACCCGTCGCTGGCCTCCAGTTCTTAGCTCTCCAACTCCTGTTCGGACGCCCCAAGTCAACTAGAGCCGTCTGCGTAGCCGGCACCTGCTACCTGCATGGACTCGGCTCCCTAAGCCGAGAGTGCCCCTCGGCTCCCATCCACCGATAACGCTCTTCGGGGCAGGCTCCAAGTCAATGAATGCAAGGGGTTGAGAGGCCTGCAGCGACCAGATAGGGTACTTGGGAAGAGAATGGTCTAGTTTAAGGGAGTTGGCATACTCCCCAACTGCTGCACTGTGACCACATCTAGGCAGTTATCGGTCGGTGGCTGTGACACAGACTGATACCGTGCGTCGCAACGAGGCTCTC